CTTCTCCTCCATCCATCATCCATCCATCCATCCATCCACTCCACTCCCTTCCTTCCCTCCCCGTCTTCCCTCCCTCCCTCCCCTCCCTCCCTCTCTCCCTCTCTCCCTCCCTACCTACCTACCTCCCTACCTACCTACCTTCCTTTGGAGGCTTTTTCTTTATCATTGTCGATCAGAAGATTCGGAGATTCTATTGGACGTTTCATTCATTCTACAGTGATCTGTCGCTTCATGACTAGCATACGTCGGGCATCCAACTTGATGGTTCATAGATACATCGGCACAGGTCACATCTAGCCTGTCAATTGGCTGCTTTACATGCTTGAATGCTGCTGCTCCCTGCTGGAGACGTGAAGTTCGGCGGACAAGGCACGCAAGAGGTCGGCACTGAGATCATGTCATCGTCGTTGCTGTCACTGAGAGCGATGTTGAAGATCGGGCTGGTGGCCCCACTGGCGGAGAGCGCGGTCAAGCAGCCGTCGTTGACAGAGCGCAACTCCAACAGGATGGCAGAGAGCGAGTCCCCGTAGTGATGGACGACTTGCTTCATGAAGGTGGTGACATCGATGTCATACCACACGTTGATCGTAGTGCTGAGATCGAAGTAGGTAGAGATCCGCTGGCCGTTGTCGAGGACGTACATCCCCTGACTGTCTGTCTGCTTCCCGCTGGAGTACGGAAAGTTCTGCTCGATGTAGCTCACCACCTGGGTAGAGTCGTAGACCGACAGGTTCCCAACAGACGCCAAACGGATCTGGTACTTGTGCTCTGAGCAGCTCCAGCCATCGGCGCTTCCATCCCACGTCTTATAAAGTTTCATCTGCGCCTTTGTGATGCTGTTTGCACTCAGGGAGCAGCCCGCTGGGGCGGAGCCTAGCTTGAGGAGGATGTACGACATCCGGTCAGGATTCCCGCTACCGGACGAGGCGTCGTGGTACAACTTCAGGCCCCCTCCGATCCACACTGAAGTCCCAGCCGCGTTCCCCCTTGTGTGCCCGTCGATAAGGATGGTGGCTGACAAGGAATGGCACAGGTGCATCTCAGCGCTGTAAGTGCCTTCCTGGCAGAGCTTGCACCCAACGTCCGAGTTGCCCCCGAAGCCCGGGCTGCACATGATGGTGGAGTTGGCGGCGATGTACAGCCTGCTGCCGGCACACGAAGAGGGTCTGAGCGAGGACGACTCGTTCTTGAGCTGCTGGATCTGTCTGGAAAGAGCCTCGATCTCCGACGAGCATCCCTCCCATTTCCTCTCGCTAGGCACGACGAGCTGCAGCTCACTGTTTGGCCCCCATGGGATGAACTTGCTAGTGACCTCGTCGTACACGAAGCAGAACCAGGGGTCCTCGGGGCCTGTAGCGCAGTAGTGATCCTTGAAGCACTGCCATGTATAGATCCCCTCCCTCTGCAGCTCTCCCAGCCCTCCAGTCTTGAAGAAGACGCTGTTCGTCTTGTAGTTCTGCACAAGCTCCGTCCATGTGTAAGGCTGGACGCAGTGGACGAAGGTGATGTTTCCCCAGTCCCTCCCGGCTGCTGCTGCTGCCGGTGTTGCTGCTGCTGCATCCGACATGAAGAAGAAGAGGAAGATGGGGAGGTAGAAGAATGTCCCGACAACCATGACTGGTATTTACCTGCGGCATGAATCACGTTCTAAAACAGGGGGATCAAGCTCAGCACAGACAACTATAGGAGATAATTTGACAAGTGGTCTTGTGAAGGGAGAGGCATTCATGTATACTTTCATCATCCTCGCACCCTCACTGACCTCCCTTCCCTCCCTCCCTCCCTCCCTCCCTCCCTCCCTCCCTCCGCTTCTTCCCTTCCCTTCCCTTCCCTCTCTCCCTCTTCCTGCTGCTGCTCGCGCTAATATGAACCTAATCTCCCAGCTGGGAGCAACATTACATTACTCTTCCAAGCGAGCCAGCCTCGGAGAGATCACTAGTTGAAGTGACGAAGGCAGAAAAGGTGTTCAAAGATCTGCTTACTGAGTAACTATCACTAACTCGCTGCTACCTCTGTAACACTATCACTCAACTATCAGTGCTCAAAAGACTGAGTCGTTTGCCAGTTCACTACCACACACCCTCCTCCTCCTTGCTCCAAGGTTCCGCCAGTCCTCCTCAGTGCTGCTTCAAGTCCTCACGTCTTCTCCCACCGTGAAGCCAGTGATCCTGGTTGATGGAGACATCTCCATGTTTTTATGAAGGACGTTTACAAACAACTATCGGTCATCCCAATAATTCCTCTTGTCGCACATACAGGAGCACGTTTTCTGCCGGATCAACACGGTCAGCACCGCCATGCAGCTACAAGACATTATCATCTTACCTGGTACGCCCAACTTGACTTGGAAATCTCCTTGATACGTCCAAAGTCACCCCTGACAAGTTCAAGTTCAGTCCAACCGCCTCTTTAGTCAACATGGGACAACTCACGCGCCGACTGGGGAGAAATCCGTGCGGACGACGGAGCCTGAAGGCAGATCCAGTTTGCTGTAGCAATCGCACTCTACGTCGCCGTAGCTGCCATGGCATCGGCACTGCTTCAGGCACTGGGGCAGACTCAAGTCAGGCTGAATGGAAGGACAGAAACGAGAGGCACCGAGCAGCTAAAGGTCTTGGAGGAATCGTAGTAGGAGACGTCACTCTTGGGGTACCACTGGGAGGGTTGGTGGGAGGCGTTGCCCTTGAAACGCCATGTGAGACAAGAAAAAAGGAAGAAGAAATATCGCACCAGCGGCTGTAGAGCCCATTTAAGACCTCCGTCCTTGCAGTAGATGTTTTCTGAAGGTCAAGTCAGTGTTGATGTGTTGACATCTCAAACGATTACCTGGATTCTTCACACAGTACTCCTGCGCAGACTCATACTTCATGCAGAATCCGTTGGCATCGACGTACCTGATCAGTTTGACACGTCAGACCGGAGCAGTACAACATCCTCTAGAGATCAATGTGGCAACAAACCACTGCTCACCTGCAACCGGCGTACGGGTGCCAGTTCGATGCAGTTTCCAGGCTCTGACTGCAATCTTGCTCCATACACCATGACATGTATGCAGCCTAGGAACCAGCAATGATGAGCGACAGAGTATGCTGATCGAATTGCAAGACCTGGGACTTTCGATTGATCCAGCCAGCCCAATCAGTCCAAGCCTGACATCCGCTGTTGATGGGGAGGAAGCAGCCTCCTCCTCTCTAAACAACCTGTCAGATCCGCGCCATGCGCTCGACTGACTTCTCACCATCGACAAGCCCAACGAGCTGGGACAAGTTTTGATGACAACAGGTTGCTCCTTCACACACTGATATGCACTTCACCCTAGGCAACGATGCAGAAGAAGACAAGGGGAGCATACAGCAGAAGGACAGTGGGAAACAAAAGGTAGAGCAAGATAAGGTAACCAGAAGAGAATAAAACAAGTTAGAGTCAGGGACCACACCTTGGGAGGAAGCCTGTCCCATGTAGCATTCTTTCCCAGGCCTGAATTAAGACTGGCAGAAGTTCAACCTGGGGTGTTCGCTTCCGGGGCTCCCTCACTCACCAGTTGAGAATCAGGACCGTGTTGGACTCGTTCTGAAAGGTGAAGCCATTGTCACACATCACCTGCGTATCGTGTCAGGACAACCCAAGCATTGACCAATCTTCACTCTGCCAACAAGCCAAGAAACCCGCCTCCTCCTCATCCTCCTCCCTCCCTCCCTCCCTCCCTCCCTCCCTCCCTCCCTCATCCTCCTCCTCTCCCTCATTATTTTTCAACGCCACAAGCAGCAACCCTGTCAGCATCATCGATACCCGAGCTATCCCTCCCGCAAGCGTCTTGTTGCCCGTCAAGAAGGTTCCGTTGCCGAGCCTGCAACGAGAATTCTCATTTTCCTCGCAACGAGTTGACAATCAAATCACGTCGGGAGAGTGCAATAGGCGTTGCTTAAACACGAGGCGAACATAGTCTGATCCGCTACATCCTTGATCTGCGTCACAACTGCTCCGGAGGTTTGATCCACCTTCCCTGTTCCAACCTGGCCGTAAAGATTTCCTCCCCAGCAGACAGTGCTGAGGTTCACGAGGACGGCACATGCATGATCGATTCCTGCAACAACTTTGATCGCCTTCAGGCCATTCATCGATGCTTCCTGCTCCGCAAGGTAGCGAAACATGGAGTTGTCGAGCGGCTGACCATTCCCAAGTTGCCCTGCACCATCACATTCTCAGAAAACCTTCCCCGGCAGGCGAAATTGCCTCACCTTTGTCGTTGTTGCCGACACATCGGACGGTCTGGTCTTGCAACAAGAAGCAGGAGAAGGAGGAACTTCCAATGGCGACCTCCTCAACTCCTTCCATCACAAAGTAATCTTTCATGAAACTCGAGGAGTAGTCTGATCCGCGATCGGTGCTGTCGGAGTACCCCAACATTCCCCAAGAGTTCTGTCCCCAGCAAGCGACTCTCCCGTTCGAGAGCAGAACGCAAGTTGAGAATCCTCCAGCCCATACTCTGAGGGAGTGGAAGTCATCAGGAGAGGTGAAATGCAAGCAGGAAGGAGCGAAGAAGCGGAGGAGGGAGGGAGAGGGGGAGGGGGGAAAGAAGAAGGGGGGAGAGAAGGGAGCGAAGGAAAGTGGTAGGAGGAAAACAGGGACAGAGGAGGCAGACGCGAGACCGCCTCACCTGAGGGCGTAGAGATCGCCTGGAAGCTCAACCACGGGGATGGACTCATTCGTGAAGCCGACTATCCCGTCAACCCCGTACCCCAGCTCTCCCACAAAGTTGCTCCCCCAGCACTGGGTGTTGCCGTCCGCAAGCACGACACAGGTATGGAAGTTCCCTGCTGCGATGGAGACAGGTGTTCCTGACAGGCTCACGGGGGGCAGGGCATCTCCCATGGCTTTCATGATCCGCGCCCACTCGTCGGCTGCCACCGGGCCCACGCCGCATGCTGGGAGTGACTCAGTGTGATAACCCCAGCACTTCACCTGGCTGTTGTTGAGGATTGCGCAGGTGTGCCATGCTCCAGCGGCGGCGTCGACCACCCCGAGCCCCTTACCGACGTTCACTTGCACCATGTTCAAGGTCCAGTTCTTCCCTCCGATCCCTGCCTGACCGACTGAATTCGAGCCCGAGCAGAAGAGATCGCCGGACACGAGGATCACGCATAGAAAGCCCTCCCCTGCGATCACTTTCTTGGGCTCCCCATTGATGTCCAGTGTGTAGAGGATGCCATCTGGGTTCACGGCAGCTGAACTCCCAAACTGCATGTAGGAGTTGTCACCCCAGCACTTCACCTTCCCCCCTGAGACCATGCAGGAGGAGCCACCCCTTGCGCTAGCAAATATCTTGCGCGTTGGCTTCAGCTCAGCTTGTTTCGAAACGTCCGGACAGTGGCAGTTGGAATCTGAACCTGCAAGCAGGGGAAGAAGACATGTCGTTGTTGCAGAAGATACTCCAAAGACGCCGAACACAAGTAAGGTACTAAGTTGGATGCTGATCATGTTTTCATAGACTATCACCTCTGCTGTTTGAAAGTCAGCCAAGATCTGATTTTTTCCAACAGAATAGAAGGGATTTAGAAGTAAGAAGGTGAAGGAAGGTGGGAAATCTCGGGAACTTCCTTTATCCCACTCAATGAAGCAAATTTGAACTCTTTCATCTGCAAACTATCTCCTCACAAGCTTTACAGCAAAATTCATCCCAATTAGGCCATTCTAATACACCAATCAGAATTTTCTCAGTCAATTCAAACATTCCTCCTCCTCCTGCTCTCCCTCCCTCCTGCTCTCCCTCCCTCCCTCCCTCCCTCCCCTCCAAGGTTTTCCGACTGCATACTCTTCATTGAGCACATACCCCACCCCATGCTCCGACATATCCGTCACCCGCCCTTTGTAAGCGATAATGCTCTCAAAGAACCGGGTCTTTTGGGTGATATATCTGTCCTTGTCCAGTCAGAAACAGGGTGGGGTGGTCACGCGCTCCCCCAAAGTATTTTACTCCTTACATTTCTTTTTAGATTCTTTTTTGGTTTTTTTAGCGGGCCGCCTGCCCCCCGGGCCCGGTGGGCTCGGACTGGGAGGCTTCGAAGTTCCGGATCAGCGGGCCGCGATGATTGACTGACCGAATTCTTTTTACTCACATTGAAAGATACGTAATGATTTTTCACTTAACTTTGAGTAAAGGGTCCGGTACGGCGGAAAGATAAGTTAAAAATCCAGAGCCTCGGAGGCTTCAGTGACCCGAATTCCGAATCATACTCATCGGGCCGTGGTTGCAGTGGGTTGAGGCGAACTTGCTTCGGAACTCGGAGCCGTTTGGCCTGTGCGACAGTGTCAGGGTCAAGCCTCCTCGACTCTCATTATTGTCCTCGTACTGATTTTTAACTTAACTTTGAGTAAAGAAGAATGAGGCCGGGCAGTGCCGCGGTCGCGGGCCCGGCCCGGGACCGTCGGACCCGCCCGGCCAGTCGGAGCGGCCGCTGGTGACAGCCGGTGCTCCGTTCAACAGTGTGACAAACGGATACAGAACGATGTGTTTTCGCATCTTCTCGAGATCGATCACGCTGACATATCTTCTAGAAGAGTGTTCAAGAGTTCAAACGCCTCAAAATCGTGTCCTTTCCACAAACTCTCGCAATGTAGCCCTTTTCCCCCGAATCCTCAAGTCTTCCGGGGGATCAGCAACCGCACCCTCCCCCTCCACCCGCACCCTCCACCTCCACCTCTCCTCCTCGTCCCTCGAGATTCGAAACATCTCCTGCTCTTCACAACTCTTTCTCTTCTCCTGTCTCGTTGCTCCCAATATCTTCCTAATCTCCTCTGCAATCCACCTCGAAACGAGCATGCAAGAAACACTATTTCATTCCTCTTCGACGACGGTGCTGACTGAGCAAACAAAGCTTCTTGTCTCTCGAGCACCAGCATCGAGTTTCACGAGCATTCCTGGAAGTTTGCCTCTGACCCCATCAATCGATTCGTTCGGAAGGACAAAAGCTGGTAGCCCCTACTTCCACGCGTTGCTGGCAATGAGATCTGCCGATGGCACCAAGTCGATCGATAACAACGGGAGGTACCTGGTGAGGGGCCTTGGAAGCATCAGCAGCCAAGATTGAAGGATCACACGGGACCTTGGGCAACTTCAACGAACTTGCCGAGTGGAAGGCCAAGGGACAGAAGTTGCTTGAAATGTTACCTTGCACTTGTTGGACTCAACTCTCAGGCTCGTCATGTACTTGTATGTAATTTAGGATTGGATACCACATGCTGGTAATTTTTTAATATGAGAAATGATGTAGAAAATATTGCTATGAACTCGAATACAATCAAAATTTCCTCCCGTGCGTTGCTTCTAGGTATCGTCAACATGATCGGCTAAACAGCTTCTTTGTGACAGAAAGGCATGACATCCTTTCTTGACCCTGTTGGGTCGTTGACTGTGCTTGGTTCAACGGATTTTTTTATTACAACATCTTTTCTGAATACGAAACTACAAGTTTCGCTTCTCATCTCATCTCATCTCATCTCATCTCATCTCATCCCGTCCCATCCCATCCCATCCCGTCCCATCCCGTCCCGTCCCGTCCCATCCCGTCCCATCCCGTCCCGTCCCATCCCATCCCGTCCCATCCCGTCTCATCTCATCTCATCTCATCTCATCTCATCTCATCGCATCCTCATCTCCTTAAAACTTTCATTTTTGTTGGAAGTTCTTGTTGAAAGTTTCACCAACAACGAACTGAAAGTTTTACCTCAAAGTTTGAAGTTCTCAAATCGTGCACAAATGCGTCCAGCAAAAATGAGTCGAGGCAGGGAGCGATTGCGAGTCAGGAGGACAGGAGGACAGGAGGACAGGAGGACAGGAGGACAGGAGGACAGGAGGACAGGAGGACAGGAGGACAGGAGGACAGGAATTGATTTGAAAAACGTGCAATTGCTTGTGGATACTCTCCTGTTTTCAGACTGACGGCGGTGCCTGTCAGGATGTCTTTCGATGTGCCCGAGCCGTCAGCACCGGAATACGTACCATATTCCACCAGGAGGATAACGATAGAGATTGAAGATGGGAGGTCGCTACATGATGCTGGCAGCCTTGCTATTCTTGACATGTCAAGCAGGGGTGTATGGAGCTGGCTCGGAAACTTTATGTGGGTAGTCTTCGGGGGTTTGCAGTCTGCGATCGTCTGGTTGATCGCTGGACTTCTGTGCTGTATCACTATTGTGGGTATCCCATGTGCGCACCAGTGCTTCAAGCTCTCGGGTCTGAGCCTGTGAGTTTTTACCCCCTGCCACCACCTTACACTATGTTTCGGGCTCATCATCTCCTTTCTTACCCTCAGATTTCCCTTCGGACAATCGATTGTGTATGAACCTGCTGAGCCTTGCACGTTCTTGGGAAACGTCATGTAAGAAGAACATGCTGAAGAGCAATATCTCTTCTTGACATCAATCTTCAGCTGGTTGCCGATGGGCATTCTGATAGCCCTCGTGCATGTGTTCTGGGCGTTCTTGTACACGTGCACCATCATCGGGATTCCATTCGCTGTGCAGTAAGCATGCACAACTGAACGACACCAGCTGACTTGTCCTTCAGGCACATTAAGCTAGCACAACTTGCATTGTGGCCGTTTGGAGCAGAGATTACTCCGCTTGTCTTCCATGCCAGGCAAGGATGATTGATGCGTTGACAGCCTCTGACGATTTACTCCCAAGGTCGGAGACTATCGAACCTTTCATGGCTTGAAGGTAGGCCGATCTCCTTTCGTGGGGATCGGTGTACGAGTTTGGATTCGATTGCTATCTGTGAATCGAAGAATGATTGTGATGATTGATTGTGTTTTAATTAAGTGTGAATCGACTGTGAATGAAGATCTTTGAACTGCGACAGAGCTGCTCTTGAATTGTACAAAGAATGTGCTAGGCCGATCTCCCTTGTTCTGTTTGAATAGCAAAGTGAAGCAATCCTCGGACAAGAGACTCAGTCCCGTCTCTTGATGTTCCTGTCCCCTGGTGCCGTCACAGTGCTCTCGACGTCCCTTCATGGCGTCTCTCATACTTCGAGTCACTGATCAGCCTCGGGGCTTTCGAGTGCTGGTGGTAGAGCGATGACTTGAAGGGTCTCGGAGGCCCCCGGAGAGGGCAGATCGGATGGTCAAGGCTGTCCGTGAGTCACGTCAGTCACTCGACAAATTACATTCAAGTAGCTCTTCAGTCCATGTGACAGGTGGCTCGCAGGGACGGTCAGACCTTAGGCCAGGTTGATGCACTTGCACATCAAGAAGCCGATCTGGTATGAGGGAAACATCGACAGATAGCAAGAAAATGACCCCAGAGACTTGGAAAGGGAAGATTTGGAACGCAGCTGTTCCTGCAGGCTCCAAGTCGCTCCCAACCATATCGAGGTGATTCTACTGAGAGCAGCTGCATCTCTGACTGTATTCCCCCCCAACAGCAACCTCTCGCTCCACTCCGACGGAGCTCCGGAGGAAATGAAACAAGAAGTTGACATTCGCTTGCTCCTGCCGACTGTTGGCATGTTGAGGCATGCTGCCGAGGAACGTAAGCTGATGCCCTTACACCCTCAGGACATGATGATAGATCGGAAAATTGGAATAGAAAACACTGCGGTGCTGGTATGATATGAGAGGTTATCGCTCATGACGAGCGTGGTGTTGCAGATCTCTGCTTTCCTTAGATGGATGACGCGAGGAAACTGCAAGCTGAACTTTTGTTTGCACTTGATGGAAAGTTGAATGGCAACCATGACAGGGCTCCACGTCCCGCACGTTGACCCATCCTCGGATACTTAACGCCCCGCACGTTGACCCATCCTCGTTCGATCCCATCCAAGTCTCTCGTTTTAGTTGAGCAGTGAGGGATTTCATCCTTCTACTCTCACGAGCATCACCTCAGTCCTTCAAGCTGAGTCCACATTGGCAACGAGAGCTTTCGTTCTCTCATGTCGCCTCGTAAAGGACTAGAGAAGCCCTGCTATCTAGATGTTCGATGGCGTCGAAGCACGGTTGTGACTGACCAACAGATTGCATGATACAAGTCTTTCTTCATCAACTTGTTTCCTCATCATGACATATTCTTGTTAATGGTCTCGGGATGTGTCCACTTGGCTCACACAATGCCCCTCTCCTCTACTTCTGTCTGCTCCCCTCCCCTCCCTTCTTCTCCTCTCCTATCCCATTCTCTCCTCCACGGCCATGTCCACTGATCCCTGCACTGCTCACCTTGAATGTCACAATGTCACTGACTGGTGGGAGCATTGGATTCCATGGGAGGCGTTCTCACCCTACTCTTGCATAGATCAATGCCTTTAGTCGCTGCATATTGCCCTGTGTTACAATGATTGTCAGTGTGCTATTCTGAACTGCTTACACCACTGTTTACGAGAGAGACCATCTAAGCAGGTCTGATTTGAACCTAGGTAACTCAATGCACTTTTCTCGCCCATTTCTCCAGCTCACCCACCTCTTCACTCAATCTCACATGTGAATGATCCTAAAAAGTCATCTGCACTATTTCAGACGCAACGACAGCCTTCGATCAAGCTGCAGACAATAGATTGCTGGTGAGGTGCTGTCCACCAAATGCTTCGCAACTCTTGGAGAAGGACGCTTCACCCGTCCAGGAGATTTTTGTCCCCTTTGCGAGAGAGCTGCGAATTGCAACAAGGACGAAAATCTCGAGACAAGTCCTTATGCCCGATTTGTCTCGTTTCTACCAGAGATGGAGCTGAGCTGCACATCCTGATGGATCGAGCAAAGGTGCTGGTGACTCCATGACCCTTGTTGCTTCACTACATGAACAGCACGCAGGTGATAGCAGGTGACCTACGCGCAAATCTACGGGAAAAATATCTAGAAAGGAGGAGGAGGAGAAGGTGCGGGGACAGTTCCCCCAATGTCATACTGAGGCAGGCGGTGAGGGGGGGGTGAAGCAGCAGGACGGGAAAAGAGGGTATGCGATGAGATCAGAACTCACTCTATGTGCAAAACCATTCACGGCCAATATCCCCAATTCATGATTCAAAGACTGTAGCGCCCAGCAACGATGATTGGCTTCCCGACTCTTCACTATCCAATGTACCCTCGATCGAAATCAATACTGGCCACCTCGGCCATCGACCGTTCCAGCCATTTCGTCCACATGTACTGCTCCAGCGCCCCGTCATCCTTGACAGGGGCTATTCGAAACGACCACCTATTCTCTGGCGGGACGACAACAACGATCCGTATGGTCCATGTCCTACCTGGCGGAATCCTGAGAGCCTCAAGAGCACTCAAGAAGTACGAGAGCTTGAAAGAGTGATCCATTGCCACCGTCATCTGGAAAAACTGTACGACCTTCTTGATTTGATCTACAATCAATGCGTCGTAGCCACCTTGAAATTCACTGATTGGCTTGTAACACACCCTTTCGTGAGGTAGCAAGTCAGTCTGTTGTGACGGATCGAAGTTTACAACGAAATTACATGCTTTCAAGACTTCAGGCTGATTTGATTTTTCATAAGTGATGCTCAGGTCTCGTCTGACTTCCTCGAAAAAGAGCATCTCCAAAAGATGTCCATGCATGGCTCGCGGGCCTTTGAAGGTAGTAAACATCTTTCTCAGCATGTCAACTGCTCCAACGGACGCCGTAAGATTGCTGGCTACGTACTTACTCACAGGATACCAGACCACCCTCTTCTGAACTACGAAAGTAGCAATCAACCGATTTGTCATATCTGCTGCCGAAGCGCCTACATTGCCCCGAAAAAGATCTTGTAAGTTTGGAGCTCTTTGAAACGCAAGATCCAAGTACTCAAGGACCTTCTCCGAAGTTATGTCGAACATGTACCGACATGACGCACCTGCGAGGTAATGCTTATGATTCACCCGCTGTTCTTTCGATTTCGGCCCATTTGTTACTTTGACACCCAAAATGTCTGCGTCCACATCCATCTCCAGATTGGCTTTCACTTTGTCGTAAAACTCGTCGAGCTGCACTGCATCTAGATATTCATCGATCCTCCATGATGGAACTATGTGCTGCTCCAGCTGCATGTGTTTCTCCTCTTCTTCGTAGGTCTTTCCTCGAGAAGCCATTGACGTCACAACCACAAGACGTCGATTTTGCCTGTCAGCATTCCGCCATATTATACAAGCATCCAAAGCTTTGATATGATATTCTTGGTGTGTCAAATAGCCGTCGAGTACCAGGAGGCTCTTCTTGCCGCCTGACAACTCTTCAAGCAACTGTGTCAACTGTTTCCTCTCAGCCTTGGCGACAGAGCATGTTTTTCTCTTATTGCCTTCAACCGCCACAACAAATGTGTTGTCTTTGGCCTTCAGTCTGATGTATTTGAAGCTCCACTCGTTCATATCCAGCGTCATACAAAAGGAAAGCGTTGTTGTTGTCTTCCCTGTCCCTGGAGAGCCTTGTATCCATCCAAGAGCACCTTGCTCTAGCACTTGCTTTCGCAGGAAACGGAACTGCTCCAGGAAGGCTGCTCGGCAGTAGAGAAGAAGCTGCTCTCTGTTGTCTTCACTTGTGCCCATAAAGTAGGAGCAATCTAGACGGAAGTATTTCTCCTCCATGCAAAATCCCATACTGTCAAACCGAGCTTCTGACTCTGTCCAGGGAAATGATGTCTGCTTCTCTTCCTGCTTTCCCCCTCGAAACTGTCTCTTGTCAGCTCGAAGCTGTGCCTCTTTGTCTCGAAGCCGTTTCTTGTCTTCGACAAGGTTCTTGTGATTAGTGATAATGAAGGCCTTCATATCGGGGTCTTGTGCCTGGCTGATCTCTTGCTCTACACGAGTGATGGCTTGATCTACGGTTTTGATCTCTTGCTCTACACGAGTGATGGCTTGATCTACGGTTTGATCTCTTGCTCTACACGAGTGATGGCTTGATTTACGGTTTTGATCTCTTGCTCTACACGAGTGATGGCTTGATTTACGGTTTTGATCTCTTGCTCTACACGAGTGATGGCTTGATCTACGGTTTTGATCTCTTGCTCTACATCCAGGATGCCTTGCTCTACGAGAATTCGTCTCTTGCTCAAACAGCTCTCGATTTCTTTTGGCCATTACTCAATATGATGATGATAAATTGGTGACAGCATCCGAAAGATTTTTTTCAATCCACACTGTTCGTGGTAATGGACGTGTTGGAATGAATTTCAAAGGTGATGGTAGACTAAAGCAGTTTGAGGTTGTCTCATCATACATCCATTATCATATGACTAGCTATAATGTACAGAGGAAAAGAATTTCAGATGTTCAGAAGTGTTGTGTTTGAAAATGTTCATAGGATGCTTCGCTGCCAAGAATGAAATTAAGTTGAACATCGGGACGACTCGGTCTGGCCCGGGCCCGGATGAGATTCGGATGACCTGGATTTGAGCGGGGATGAGGTAGCGATATCAGTCCAACCAAGGTGTTCATGGTGACCGTAGTTCAGAAGAGGGAGGGGGGGGGAGGAGGAGGAGGAGGAGGAGGAGGAGGAGGAGGAGGAGGAGGAGGAGGAGGAGGAGGAGGAGGAGGAGGATGATAGGGATAAGAATAGGGATGGTCAGGGTCATCAGAACTATGATCAGGATGAGGAAGAAAGAAGTTGAGGACCGGGAGGGATGTTAAGGTAGAAAGATTAAATAATTCTCCAGGCAGAAGAATGATAACCGTGAGGTAGGGAGAGTATGGATATGGCAGGTGTGATGAGGCATGTAAGAATTCTTTATTTTGAGGTTGACGTGGAGATTGAGTGGGAAGGATAGACACCAGAGACAAGGACTGTCGCATTAGTAGTAGAAGGAAAATGTAAGCTGGAAAATGTTCCATGTTCCTTGGAGATGCTGTAAAAGTTCTCTGACCCTTAGCTTCCATCCCCAGCGGAGCAGGAACGATCGTTTCTTCGAAGTATGGCTATCGACATAGCAGCAAAGCTTCAAGACTTCGATCGCTTACCCGCAACGGCAGAGAGCAAGTCCGCCCTGCTTGCCGCTGTTCCGCTGCCCAAGTTGCTGGAGCTGCTCAACGATGCCAATCATGTCGAGCTTGTTTCCAAGTGTCTCAACAAGCTGTTCTCAGAGAGCTCTCAGGAGGACCTCAATGTCCTCAAGCAGCAAGGATCGGAGTTGTTTCCTCTAGGTCTTCAGCACCCCAGCGATGTTGTGCGGAAGTCCACTATCAAGCTAGTGGAGAAGCTCATGGGGAACGAGGGAGACCTCCTATGGCTACAGGAGAGAGATATAGTCTTCCTGCTCGTCAAGATGCTCTCCGACGAGAGCATCCAGATGTCTTCTGCCGCCTCCTCTGCTCTCCTGAGAGCCGTGGGGCAGCCCAGTGGAGTGCGAGTCGTCTTCAACGAGCGCCACGTCGCGCACATGAGCAAGATCATCTGTGACAGAGAGCAGGCTGTTGTCGCTTTCCGAGTGCTGGAGTTCATCTGCACGGCGTGGAGGAGGAGGGAGGACGAGACGGAGGTCTTCAAGTCAACTGGAGCCAAGGATCAGCTGGTTGCAATCATCCACTCCGACGACATATTGCTGCAGCTCAACGCGGTAGAAGTGATTGCGCTGTTGCCTTCGCATGAGATCGGCAAGGTAGCGCCGCGTTCCCTCTTCCTCTCCTCTTCCTGCTCCTCTTCCTGCTCCTCTTCCTGCTCCTCCTCTTCCTGCTCCTCTTCCTGCTCCTCCTCTTCCTGCTCCTCTTCCTCTGTCCCTCTCGCCTGCTCACTGTCCTTGTTTCTTTCTTGTGCTCCTCTCCCCTCTCCTCCCTGCCCCAGTCTCCTCTTCTTCCTCCACCTTCCCCTTTCAACCTCACGGGCTCTTCAGGAACTTCTCGTGCACCTCCTTCAGGTAGCTGAGAGCACCCTGGGCAGTGGAGCAGTGCCGGCAAGGTTGCTAGAGGCATGTGCGAGATTTCTTGCAGGTCGAGGAGCGTTACTAGTTCTGCTCTCCTCCTCCGTCCTCTCCTCTCTTGTTCCACTCCATTCTGCTCTGCTCTACTCTGCTCTACTCTGCTCTACTCTTCTGTGCACTGCTCTGCACTCCCCTTCTCCACTTTTCGCATATCTTCTTCTTGCCCGTGTTTCCTCTGCTCAACACTGTCTACTCTCATCCCGTTTCCCTTCCTCCCTCTCCCCCCTCACTTCCTCCCTCATGACGATCGTTTGGCAGGGGAAGTTGAGTCCTCCGCAGAGTTGGAGGGAAGGTTCTGCGAGACTGTGAGCCAGAGAGCAAGAGGAGAGGTAGGAGGAGGGCGGAGAATCGGCTCGAGCGCTGACGACACTCGCAAGAGTTCGAGCGTGCAAGAGCAAGTCGACATGCTGAATGTCCTTTCTGTACTGAGCTCCTCTCCCCGAGGGTTGAAAAGTGAGCAGCAGACTGTCCCTTGTTTCCTCTCCCTCCCTCCCTAGTCTGCATCCCTCCTCCTTTCTCCCTTCGCTGGCAACTTTCCTCTGCCCTCCTTTCTTCCATCCTCATCCCTTTCATCAACCGCTCCTGCTGCCCTTGCCGTAACTTTCCCTTGCTCTTTGTCGCCCCCCTCTCTCCTCTCCTCCTCTCTCCTCCTTTGCTCCCTCTTCCCTTCGGTGCCTTCTGACCCTCTTCAAGTCTTGGTGAGGAGCAAAACTCTCCCCTCCGTCTGCCGGGGCGTCTCATCAAACCTCAAGGTCGCTCGTGCCCGTGACGTGCTCGGCCTCACTCGCCCCGCAGAGCCAGCAGTCGGATCTCAAGCTCGCAACTCTCTCCTTGTGTGTGGAGGCGATCAGGTTGGAGGGAGGGAGGGAGGGAGGGAGGGAGGTCGACGAGGATAGTTGATGAGCAAACAGATCGGCAAAGTTTGCTGAGGAGGAGGGAGAAGCGGCGTCGACGATTTTCGCTGAGGGGCTTGGGGATGTGATGGAACCTTTGATCAAGCTGGCGAAATGTCCGATCCAAGAGGAGAAAGTGAGGGAAGGAGGGGAGAGAGGCCGAGGAAGAGGAAGAGCGAAGATGAGGAAGAAGGAGACGAGGTTTGAGGCAGATCATAAGGGAGGAGGAAGGAAGGAAACCAGTTATGGATGGGAGGAGGGGGAAGTCGAGGAGGAGGAGGTGGAGGTGGTGGATTGAGCAGCGACAGGTGGGAGCGATCTGCATGTTTAAGTCGATGGCGCATCACGCTTGGGGTGTGAAGAAACTTTTCTCTCACGGGGATTTCCTGGCGTTCCTGCTGGACAGAAAGGCCGAGAGCAGCAAGCGAGCGCTGGATGAGAAGGTAGGGGAGAGAAATCGAGACTCGCGATCATCCTTGCTCCCCCTCCTTCTCTCTCGTCCTCCTCCTCCACTTCCTCCTCCTCCTCCTCCTCCTCCTCCTCTTCCTCCTCCCTCTCCACCCTCCTTCTCTACCCGTACCACCACCACCACCACCTCGTCCTCGTCCTCGTCCTCGTCCTCGTCCTCGTCCTCCGCTAACTTTTTCTTACCTTCTCAGTTTGAAGTTGCCAAACTCGTCCTCTCCCACCCGCAAACTTCAGAAATCCTCGGAGCCGGTCAAGGTGAGGAGAAGCTTCTTCTTACCCTGTAGCTGACGTCGAGTCAGTGGAGATGATCTCGAACTTCGTCGCCAACGGCGCTTACTACACCCAGCAAGGCGCTGGAGGAAACCTGATGCCGAACGTGGGAACTATGGCGCTCTGAGGAGGAGGGCACATGTGCTGAGAGGAGCGTGATGAAGCAACGAGTTGAGAGGGGAGAGATCTTGAGGAGACTTGGTGCGAGTTTTTGGTGATATTGAAGTGATGCAAGTGATTGTCGAGCAAGTGAGAAGAAGTGCGATGGGGAAGTGCGATGGGTGATGAGAAATAAGGATGGCGCGATGATGTACAAAGACGAAAGCAGATGGATCAGCAGAGGACATGTGAAGTTTGAAGGTTTCGGGCGGAAAACAACACGTCTTCATGAGAAGATTTGTTGAGAAAGAATAAAGACTCAGAAGACAAACTTGGTCTCCTGTCTTGTTCGATTGCCGGCGATCATGCGGTCCAGAAACCGAAAAGACGATCTCACTAGAGTTTTCGTTAACTGCAAACACAACCTCATCACAACAAGGCAGAGAGTTTGAGAAACGATATAGGAAATTTTCTGTCTCGGCGAACTGAACTCACCAGTGGGTAAGGTTGGTGTAAAAAGTGATGATAGTGATTCTGAAGGAGCAGAAAATCAACATCTCTTGGCTAGAAGGAAAGACATGAAGACCATACATGCGAAGGAGGAAAGAGCCATTCATGTACAACAGACAGCGGGACCTGCGAGATTGTCACAAGACCAAGTGTCGTCACATCCGAGAGCAACCTTGAGCAACCGACTATGGTCGTCGTTACACCCGTATGTGAAGAGAACAAACTTGTTTCCTCCGGCTTGGACGACTTCGAGGCCGGACAAAAAGTTGTTCTGACCCTCGTTGTTAAGGAGGGGGAGCTGCGAACGCAGTCATCACGAGTTGAGGTGCTTCTGAGAGCAAGTGCGATCACCTGGCGACTTAAGGCGAGAACGCTGAAAGGTCTCTCATTGTCGAAGGCGAAGGCAAAGTTGAGATATCTGCCGGAAGAGATCAGAGATGGCGATGAGCGCAGATGACAAGACAGTCAGCAAAGTGCACAAACTCCATTGCTCTTCATGTTCTCCCCTGCCCTGCCCTGCCCTGCCCTGCCCTGCCCTGCCCTGCCCTGCCCTGCCCTGCCCTGCCCTGTCCTGTCCTGCTCGTTCTCTTTATTTGTCTTGTCTGCTCGCGGCCTCACCTTCCCTTCTTGTCGACCGTATGAAACGCGGCAAGGAAGTAGCAGGACGAGTCGACTGACATCACGACAGTCAGACGAAGACCGTCAGTCTTCCTCCTGCTACCTCCATCGCAGACAAGCACTGCGTTGCTCCCTCCGTGAATCTTGAGCTACGGGAATACAGTGAGATGAAACCCTCCTCCTCCTCCTCCTTCTCCTTCTTCTCCTCCTCCTCCTCCTCCTTCTCGTACCTTCTCATGTTGCACTACTTGCGCGAACGCAGGAACTTCTGTCCGTACAATGACCTATCAAGAATTGTAATGAAAAGGATGGGAATAAACAGAAGAAAGACGAAAATGAGGATGAGGAGGATGAGGAGGAGACGACTGGGGACCAGGAGGAGGAGTGAGGAGGGTAGGAGGAGGAGTGAGGAGGGTAAGAGGAGGAGGAGGAGGAGGAGGAGGAGGAGGAGGAGGAGGAGGAGGAGGAGGAGGAGGAGGAGGAGGAGGAGGAGGAGGAGGAGGAGCACAAAACGCAATTTCATTCACCTGAGTTGAGGCTTTGCGAGAAGATTGCCGGACGACGATGTAAGGGTGGAGAGATCGGATGTAATGGACCACTCCCTTCACTTCAAACCTGACAAGCATCTCATCTCCTCTCCCCTTCCCTCCCTTCCCTTCTCTCCTCTCCTCCCCTCCCCTCCCTTTCCATTTCCTCTTCCTCTCCCCCTCCTCTTCCTCTTCCTTTTGCTCTTCCTCGCATGTCAAAGTGACATCCTCGTATCACTCACCTCATCCAATTCTTCTCGATCTCTTGACGCTCAGCTCCATCGAAACTCAACTGTCAGTCAATTCAGATGCAACCAATCCTTTGCCCCCGTTTCCTCCAGCACCTGTTTGGTCTCAAGTCGGTTTTCCTCAGCAAACACAATCGTCTCGTAGAATTTCCCGTATGATGTCGGATCGGAACAACGAGGAGGAATATCTGCTGAGCATGAGAACTGGGAGAAGGTCAAGGTTGTCAAACAGACCTGTCTTGCCTCGATGCCCTGGGACGAACGAAAAGAAAGTGATATGCATCTGCGAATCTGACGTGCCGAACTGAGGGATGGTGGTAAGATTGAGAGAGAACACAGGACAGGACAGGACAGGACAGGACAGGACAGGACAGGACAGGACAGGACTGGACAGGACAGGACTGGACAGGACAGGACAGGACAGGACAGGACAGGACAGGACAGGACAGGACAGGACAAAATGAGACATCGTCCAATCCACATCTCCTGACATCTATGACCGCCACATTCACCACTCTATCGTTCATCTCTCCCTCTCCTCTCTTCATCTGTTTATCTCTTCGCCTCTCCGTCTCCTCGTCTCCCCTCGCTCCTCTCCCAACGATCATCTATCTTCACACCTGGATCCTCGGATCCTCAGGGCCTGTTGAGAACCGCAGCGTCGCCGAGTTGTTGACAGGATGACGGAGAGGAGGAGGAAGACAAGGAGTCCAGATCGAGCTGTTGAGATTCATGTCGGCAGGAAGAGGAATGTCAACCTGAACATCAAACTTCAGCTTGCAACCTTGACAGTCTTGTCGTTGTTTGCACCGGATGTATGGGAGCGAACGTGTTCCAGTGGGTGTCTGTGAGTTTTGAGACGGAGAGCACTCCGACTGTGACAGGTTTGAGAACAATGAGGGCAAGGAGTGAGGGAGGCGGACAAGGAGGAGTGAGGGAGGCGAACAAGGAGGAGGAGGAGGAGGAGGAGGAGGAGAAGGAGGAGGAGGAGGAGGAGGAGGAGGAGGAGGAGGAGGAGGAGGAGGAGGAGGAGGAGAGGGAGAGTGAGGAGGAGGAGGAGACAAGAAAGAAGGTAATGGTCGCCATGGTGGCAGAAGAACTCAATCTTGATCATCAACACATCTCAACCTGCAATTCGTGAATTCCACTTGGAAACAGAAAGAGCGACGTCCTCTGCCTTTGACACTTTCCTCGAACCAGCCTTCCTCCTCCTTCTAGATTGAACTTGATGCCTGTACCAGGAATGAGGGCATACAAAAGCCTCAACTGTAACATGCAAAATGGTGCTGCCGAAGATGGGAGAAACAGATCAGAGATATCAGTCCACGGATGTTTGTCTTGCAGTGTGTCAAAGATCAAGACAACAAAGCAACACAACAAGTGATGTTTACATGTACAGGGATTCAGAGCAATCAGAACAGGTTTGCAGATAAGAGATCAACTCTTCGCTCTTCTCACTTCTCCTTGTCTTCTCGATGAAGCCTTGCCGCCACCCACAGCACGTCCGAGTCCTTGGGATCGACCGCAATGGAGGGGTTGATGACCTTGTGGTTCTGAAGCGAGGAGGGAAGTCAGTCAGGAGCAAGTGGATGGTGCGAGAGAGGAAGAGGAAGATCGAACAACACGCAATAAGACAACAAACATAGAAAGATTGTTGCAGGGGGAAGGTGAGTGAAAACTAACACATCATCACGAAGAAGCACAGAAAAGAGAAAGGCAAAACATGAATTTCAGGTTGTCAAGGTGAGAATTGAAGGGAGGTCGATTCGATATACCAGGCCCTTGTTCTCCCAATCCCAGAAAGCATCCTCTTCATCTTGCTGCGGGATCTGCACTGTGATGAGAGACAAACACTTGAAAATGTTTCAACATAAAACTCTCAATGTCATTGCAATGATTACGGGCAAGAGGTGTTGATTTACAAGATCAAAGACGAAACATCACCTGCAGATCAAGGCGGACATCAACGATCCCTTGCTCGTAGATGATCGCGAAAGGCGTCTGCTTGCTGAGAGAACCTGAACATATTCTTCACAACTTTGCCATGTGCTAAGACTGCTTTCCCTCCCTCCCTCCCTCCCTCCCCTCCCCTCCCCTACCTCCCTCCCTCTCTCCTTCTCTACCTCCCTCCCCTCCCTCCCTACCTCTCTGGAACAAATAGTTCTTCCATGGATCTGGGAGGACTGAAACGGCAAAGAACAAGGCGAAGGCGGAGGCTGAAGGATCGTCGGGGTCAAAGTTGAGATAAGAATCTAGATGTGTTGCCTGCTGCAATGTAGACAATCTTCGAGAAAACTTTATCTGAAGTACATGGAACCTGGGAATTGAGAATCGTCATGGTAAAATCATCACAAGAGGGAGGAGGAGAAGCAGGAGCAGAAGCAGAAGCAGGAGCAGGAGCAGGAGCAGGAGCAGGAGCAGGAGCAGGAGCAGGAGGTGTTGAGCAGGAGCAGCAGCAGCAGGAGCAGCAGCAGCAGCAGAAGCAGGAGCAGCAGCAGCAGCAGCAGCAGCAGAAGCAGGAGCAGCAGCAGCAGCAAACATTGACACCAATCTCCACCTGTATGGTGTGATACGAGATTGCAGCCAACACAACCAGAAGGAACCAGAACCCGAAATCCGCCTGATGGACGTCAGCAGAAAACTTGACCGATTCTGACAAGACCTCGTCTCCTCCCCACAACCAGAATACAATGTACTGCAGTCGGCAAGAATTAGTGATCATGTCAAACATGCCAGGCTGCCACTGACTTGCAGTATGTAGATGCAGTAGGAAAACTTGCCCAGTGATGCCATGAACTTGGTCTTGAAGAATCTGAGCAGAGATAGAAGCGATGGACAAGGAGGAGGAGATGCAGGTGCAGCGAGTGCAGCAGCAGGTGAAGGAGTGGGAGGGGAGCAGGAGCAGGATAAAAAGACAAGAAGTTGAAGAAGAAGATCAGAGAGAAGCAAAGATGTGAGAAAAGAGAAAACAACAAGAAGGAGAGAGAAAGGACAAGTCAAACAAACGTTCACTGACCTCGCAACCGCATCTTCCTCTTGCGACAACCCGATCAAGATCAAGCATTGCAGCGGTGCCAGCCCGCCGAGGCGACAGAGGAGCTAAAGGAAGTCAAAGGAAGGGAAAAAGAGCGCGAGAAGAAATGAAGAGAAAGGGAGAAATGCGGACGAGTAGGATGTATACCAGAAGGAAGAGCAGGAGGAGCAGGAGCAGGAGCGAAGAAACAGGAGCAAGAGCAGGTGTAGGAGCGGAAGAAAAGGAAAGAGAGGTAGAAGGAGGAGCAGCAACAGCAGCAAGAGAAGGAGGAGAAGCACGATCATAGGCACGTAGTCCTCTCACTTTGCTGGCAGGAGGACGGATAGCAGGGAAGCAGAAGACGACGAGGAGGAGAGAATATCCTATGAGCGACCCTCTGCGCCACATCCATGGCACTGAACCTGATCACGAATCAGACCTCCCTCCTGCCCCTTCCTCCTTCTCCTCCTCCTCCTCCTCCTCCTCGCTTCTCCTCCTCCTCCTCCTCCTCCTTGTTATCCGTCGTTTTGTCCTCCACCATCAACTCATCATCATCATCATCATCCATCTCCTCCTCCTCCTCGCTTCTCCTCCTCCTCGCTCCTCCTCCCTTCCGTTCTGGTACTGCTGCCCTTCTGGTTCCTTCCTCCTCCCCTCATGTTTCTTCCCTCCCATGTCCTCCCTTCTCACCCTGTTGCTTCTGCCGCACGTAGACGATGGCCAGGATCATCCCCGTGACGTACATGTGGAAGTAGCAGAAGGGATGGAACCTGTGAGCAAGACAAGCAGGACAAGATAACACGTAGAGAGCGAAGAGAGAAGAAGAACAGAGGTAAGAACAGAGATTTCAAAGAGCAAGAGAACAGGAACAACGATGGAGATTTGACAATACAAGCCGACAGAGATAAGAAAGAGATGTCAGGTCTCGTAGCTGATGTGGTGAGAACTGATTTTGTCACTTGAGCACGACGACCAGCACGTCAGCCCAATTCTCGAATCGCCCCCACTGCGAACATCGTCGTCGTCATCAACACCATCATCATCGTCATCGCCATGAATAACGACGTTTTCAATAGCAATCACACAATAAAGGAAGAAATCAAGAAGAACGAGGAGGAGACAAGTCAGAAGCTCCACAACAGCTCGCTCAAGTCACCTTGTGATATTTGTACCATTCCAATGGGGCCCTCAACAAGAACGGCAGGACGAAGAGGAAGATCCAAGGAAAAACAAACAGCAGCGAGAGGAGAAGGCGAAGCCTCTGAGCGAGAAGCTGGCATCAACGACCATGACATCCAAGGGGGTCAAGAACCTTGGTATCCAGCAGCAGGAGACGTTTGAGCGTCGTGTTGTGCATGTACCAGAAGGGAACGATCGAGCTGAGAAACCAGCACTGGGACTGTCGGAAAACGACAATCAACCGATTGAGAGCGAGAGAGAGCGAGAGGAGAGATGGAGTTGTAGAGAAGTCATGTTGAGGTTATGAAAAGACAGGAGGAGTTGTTGACGAGACAAGAAGCGTTCTCCCCTGCTTACCTGCAGGCTGTGCTCTGTCTCCGAGGGGAACCAAGATTGAAGCAAGAACATCTGGATGATGATGGAGGAGAGGGAGAAGGAGCGAAGAAGGTTGTGAGAGCCGAGCGAAGAGATCAAAGAAACTGCAAATCCTGCACAATCACGTGGAGAGGTCAAACAAGGACCATCGTGATTTCTTCGAACAACACAGTGCAAGGATGAAGACAAAAACATGCAAGGATATACACCAAGGGCACAAAAGACCTGCAGAACAAACAACCAGGAGGCAGGAAGCAAATCGAGAATGAGCAGACGGGACAGTGAAGTCAAGCAACACGCATATCACCAAAGATGTAAAGCGGGTAGACAGCAGCCAATCGCTTCCACACAAACTGCAGAGGATCGAGATCGTCGGCCCTCGACCTCCTCGTTACCCTCCCGAATGTCAAAATGTAGCCGGACAAGAGGAAGAACCAGGGGACCCACGTGTATCCCCACTGCAGCAGGTATGGATGCGAGGAGGAGGAGGAGAGGCGGGAGAGGTGTGTACCAACGACATGCAAAGATGCGATGAGACGAGCTCCGCTGATCGCCTCCAACCTCTCGCCCCCTTTTCCTCTACCCGCTCCTGCTCCTGCTTCTGTCCCTGGCGTTGACGAGGATGATGCTGCACCATCGGCATCTGACTGTTTGCTAGATTGCATGGGAACCGCACTTGTCAACGAGTCATGTTGCGACTTCTTGGTTCGTCTCCCAGCTGATCGGAGGAGCTGCAGCAAGCAGGCAAGGTCGATTTCTTCCATCTCACCTGCATGCAGCACGTACACCAGCAGGAGAGCGAAAAGGAGGAGGAGCCCGTGCCTGAGCTCCAGCATCCTGCGAGAGATGGTGGGGACGGATAGCTTCTTCATCACCTTCAGCGAGATCGTGCTCTTTGACATGATCAGCCTTCCCGTCCTCCTGCTCCTCTTGCCACTTATCACTTCACGGATCACGCTGCTGCCGTCTTCCGCCGTGATGTTGTACAAGCTCACATCGCATCTCCTCCCTATCATCGTCCTCCAGTCCCCTGAAGGCCCACATGAGGAGCTCCACGATGAAAACTTCCCGCAGACTTGCTTTGCCGAGCGTCTCCTTGACGCGATGCCTGGAACTGGCTCTCCAGCTCTCTTCCTTTCCTCCGCCCCTCCCGCTGCTCTTTCCTCTCCTTCTCCCTCCCCTCCTCTGCCTGTCCTCGTGTCCTCGTGGTCGCAGAGTACAGACAGGATCCTCTGCATCCCCATGATACCAGCCTGATGGCTCGAATGAGCTCCTCCCTGCTGCCCGATGCTGACGCTAGACCAGTCAACCATGAAGACTGACACCTCCTCCTCCTCCTCCTCCTCCTCCTCCCTTCCCTCTCCTCCCCCCCTCGCACTACTGCCTGACATGTGCCCCTCTACCACCATCTCAACGATCCTGTTCAGCCCTTGTCTGCAACCCAGCGCTTCTCGCTTCCGGCACGCGTGCCTGCTGGTCGGCATGTTGCCGATGGCGATCGCCGACACGCGCATCGTCTTCATCCTCCTGATCATCCAGTCGATGTCCTCCATGTACAGCCGAAAGAGCTCATTCGTTGTCCTCAGCGCATGCAGCGTGCGGCTCTCGCTCGTGTTCAGCCCCCATGCTCTCGACTTCCCGTCGAACCCGTTGAGGTACCACTGGCCCACCTGCACGTAGACGATGGGAGACGCTTGCCGATCCCTGCTGCACCTCATCGCGTCTCTGAGCTGCGTGACGGCCTCATGCGCGTACTGCACAGGGATAACCGTCAGTCTCCATCCTCCTGGGACAACAGGGGCGTCAGAGAGGTTTCTGTCCCCGCTCTTGTAGACAACTCTCCCTCCTCCATCGAAGACAACATCCAGCCTCATGTAAGCGAAGTTCACGAAGCCAGGGACCGTGTGAAGCGGCTTCGAGCAGCCTCCCTTCTCCGTCCAGCAGCTCATGTTGTACCATTGCGGACCGTTGAACGAGTCCGACAAGGTTGGGTCAAGGGACGACAACCAGCTCAGTCCTGCCATGAAGGTAAGGCGGGCAGACTGTCCAACAAGCCAGGAAGCTCACCTAGGTTGGTCACTCCAGAGCTCCCCAGCATGACAACCCAGCTGTCTCTCAGGCATCGTGCTGTCTCCCATCGATCGTAGAAGTAGTACAGGCAGTCCTGGCTCGAAGGGATGAACGTGCTCCCACAGTCTCTTTCGTCCTCTGGGCACCACTGCACCCAATCTCCCGGCTGCCAGCTACCCACGCACGCTTGCGGGCAGGAGGGAGGAGGAGAGGAGGAGCTGTTTGGTGTGCGGGGTGGGCTGATGCGGAAGGAACTGTCACTCAGCTCATGCGAGCGGTAGAATCGGCTGCACTCAAGCTCCTCCCAGCTCTTCACGTCGGTCAAGCTGGTGAACCCGTGACTCCGACTACCTGCTTTCAACTTTTGATGTAGAATGCTACATAGAGCGAGCTTGTTCCTTCAGAACAAGTCAATGGTGCTAGTCGAAACGAAGTTAGATTACCTGTTCCGCCAGCGATTCACCAATGACCATTGAAGGAACAAGAACAGATTTGCAGCGAAGACGAAGAACCCAACAGTTCGTGTTGATACCCCAAGATATTTCCTCATCATACTGTCGTGACATTCGCTCTGAGGTTGCTCGTTCACTTCGATTGAGACTTCCGTTCACTCCAAGTCGCACAACCTTCTCTCGTCCCTTACCGCAACGAGCACAAGGACTGTGCCGGGAGAGGAGAGCCAAGATGGATGTCTCAGTGTTGAACCATGCTCTCACTCTCCATGTTCACCGTCATGCTCGCACTTCTCCCCCTCTGCGCTTTCACCATCGCCCCCCTGGCCATCCCGATGCCGTCATTCTTTTACTGATTGAGAACCTTGTGAATGGTCACCCACCCCTCAATTAGACAACCAACAGACGTGTGACCCCGTACTCAATAACTTTGACAAAAGTACCCTGATATGTTGTACCCTATCCTGTTCATTCTCCGAAATTTGTGGTCAAAGTTACGGGTACTTTTGTACCCCTACCCACTTTTTGAAAGTACCTACCCTACTAAGTCCTACAACCTGTCTACATCGGTACCCGTACCCACCCAAATTGTCGTCGACCTGCCGGAGGACCCTACGTTTTACACATGGTCATTAAAAAAAACAGTACTGATTCGGCCCAAAAAAAAGAATAATTTCCATCTGATCTGCGGGCCAACCATTTCACCCAGACCTGAATTGGTACAAATATTTAGTTAAAAATACCCTCCGTCCGACTACGATGCACATCGCAGTTGGTGGCCATGCAGCGGATAGAAGGCAAGAACGCAAGATCTATGACGCACCATGGGGAGAAACACAATCAACATACTAGTGGGTAACATGTTCTGCATCCTCACCATGAAGAAGATAAGAGCATGCCGAGAGGATTGCCCTATGTGCAACACGAGGCACAGTTCCAACAGCATCCAAAAAATCCCGAGAACGGTATCAGAGGGTGTTCACGTTGTCGACAAGCTCTCTTTGACTCCAACTTGACAGATTTAGAAAATCGTTCAAGTCTCACTGATGCAATTTTTTTGAAGTTGTTGCATTTCCTGCAAAATTATGGGCAAGCAAATGTAGAGATCAACAACACGAATGATATGTTGCTTCAAGTTGCTGCCAAGGATTTGAAACTAAGCCTTCAACTAATCACCTTCTCTCAAGTACGAGACAGGTTGATAGTGCTAGGCAACCTCTTGGGACAGACAGCAGAGAACTTCGAGAATGATTTTTTCGTTTCTTCACCTTGTTTCAACAAGGAGATCAGGGGAAATGGCATCATGATGAGCTCCAGTTGCACATGGAGATGGAAAGACTTCGAAATCAAGTAAATAATTATCAGAAAAAGCACAGGTCACTGTATGAGCGTATTGCATGTTGGGCTACCTCTGATAATGATACTGTTGATCAATTACAACAAGATATACAAGAATATCACTCTAGATAATCAGCGAGCTTAGTGCATTAGGTGTTTAACAAAATACTGACATGCTACCATGTAGTTCTGCAAGATATCAACATTCGAGAGTAGACAGGAACAATGATGTGCCAATTGCAATCTCACACCTTACAGACACAATTTGCGAAATCTTCTCTTCATTTACCTCAGGATGCAGACCCGATCTTATCCGAAAGATTCTTGCTGGAATCTTACGCCTCCCATGGAATCCAATGCTCCCACCAGTCAGTGACATTGTGACATTCAAGGTGAGCAGTGCAGGGATCAGTGGACATGGCCGTGGAGGAGAGAATGGGATAGGAGAGGAGAAGGAGGGAGGGGAGGGGAGCAGACAGAAGTAGAGGAGAGGGGCATTGTGTGAGCCAAGTGGACACATCCCGAGACCATTGACAAGAATATGTCATGATGAGGAAACAAGTTGATGAAGAAAGGACTTGTATCATGCAATCTGTTGGTCAGTCACAACCGTGCTTCGACGCCATCGAACATCTAGATAGCAGCGCTTCTCTAGTCCTTTACGAGGCGACATGAGAGAACGAAAGCTCTCGTTGCCAATCTGGACTCAGCTTGGAGGACTGAGGTGATGCTCGTGAGAGTATAAGGATGAAATCCCTCACTGCTCAACTAAAACGAGAGACTTGGATGGGATCGAACGAGGATGGGTCAACATGCAGGGCGTTAAGTATCCGAGGATGGGTCAACTTGCAGGGCGTGAAGTATCCGAGGGTTGGAAGTTGAAATGCAAGAGGCCAGCGATTCCATTCGAGTAGTTGATTCAATCAGGCTGCAGTCGCAACTTCAGTATTTACAGTACAAGGCGTTCATGGAGCGTCGAGGTAATTCCAGCTGGACACGAAATCGCCGTATTGGGGTGTCTGAGGACTAGGTCCATCCCAGTACCTGCTTAGGGGAGAAGAGTGATGAACAGTTGAACTGAGGGAACAACAGGAGTGTCTTACCATCCCCACATTCTACAGGATGGGTTGTTGTCTACGCCAACGCCATCGACTACACACTTGTTGAGCATCGTGACATTCTGCAAAGTAACGAATGACAGTCAGGGTGTAGGAGAGGCAGGAGATGTCAGTGGATCAAATCCAAACTCGCTCTCTCAATGATTGGCTCTGAATCATCTTCTGAATGAACATCTGGATAATGAAACAATAGCACAAAAAACAGCACAAAGTCCAGAGTAAATAGAGTGCTCTTGCAATCTATTCTTCATGAGCTCCTTGGTTTGCTGCTTTGCTCCCCTTGAGAAACCGTTTCAATTTCAATCTCTTGCCTACCACCATATCTGCAAAGTGCATCCCACCGCTTCACTATTTGTGGCTGCTGCCTTTCAAAAGAGATGGCGGTTGCTATACCAATCTCCTGTCATGCAAGACCTTCTTTGGATCTGTTGAGCACTTTCGCATCCTCAAGGCACCCTTTAACTCGTCTTATCCTCTTCCTGCCCATGCATTCTCAAATCTTACAGCTCCATATCATCCCTCCTGACCTATGTGTTCGTTCTTTTTGTTCTCAACATCCTCTCAGTCTCACCCCTCATATTCCTCTTTCATCCTCATTCCCAGTGTAGCATCTCCTCCTGCTCCTGCTCATGATCATGCTCCTGCTCCTGCTCCTGCTCCTGCTCCTCCTGCTCCTCCTCCTCCTCCTCCTCCTCCTCACCTGTGGAAACACATACAGCAGCATGTCTGTGACTTTTCGCTCTAGATCACCCCCACCCCCGTTTTTTCACCTTCCATTGTACTAAAATACCCCACCAATTTACCTTTCAAGTACCGGTATGTAGATACCACCCACAAATCCTTGGGTGCTTTCTGAGGCGGGTGGGGACAGTTGATGGGGGGGTGGGGGGGGGGGTTACAATTGGGGGTACGTTGTGTTCCTACACCCCCCCTATTTCTCATAGTCTAAAGGGGTGATAATGGGGGTCAGGGGTGGGGTGGTAAGAATTATGGAAGAGCGCGGATTTTGAGTATGGGCAGGCACGAGGAGGAGCGGGCGGGGCAGCAGCGGCAGCACTGTGAGGAGGAGGACATGCAGCAGGAGTATGAAAATGATGATGACACAGGGAGAGGAGAAGGAGGAACTGATGGGGAAGGATGGATGTAGGCAAATGGAGTGCAGGAGCAGGAATGTTACATGGTTGATTGATTTGTGTATAGATAGAAATACTACAAGTGAAGTGCTTTCATTTTTCAGTATGCTCGGGAGAGCAGTAAGTTGCGGATGAAGCCAAAGAAGCCAAAGGAAATTGTGATGGAGAGAGAAATTTGAGTATGAAGACCTGCAAAGTGGAATGTTGAACATGATGGAGGGAACATCGAAGGCAAAGCAGATGAAGCTGTAGCTTGTCTTGGGCAGGTTTATAAGCTGAGGAGATTTGTAAGGACTTACAGAATGTTGTTTAGAGAGAGAGAGAGAAGTCAGACGGGGATGAGGAAGGATTTATGTGAGGAAGGATTTATGTGAGGAAGGATTTATGTGAGGAAGGATTTATGTGAGGAAGGATTTATGTGAGGAAGGATTTATGGCAGAAACAGAAACAGAGGCATCGAGTCATTCAAGTAGACCCAGCATCTATTTGCACGAACCGTTTGGACTGCAAGCGCATTGCCGTGAGCTCGTTTGCAATGATTGACAAGTCACCAGGTTCTCTGAGAAAGAAGTGGTGAGTGGTACAGACTCTTCAAGTCCTCTCCGTGCGGAAGGAGAAGGACGTCATGTTCTTTCACGTGAAGAGGCTGTCGAAGAACCTCCAGATAGAGCCAAAGTATTATGGGCCCAGCCTTGCGGTCGTGATCAAGCAGAGGCTACAGGATGAGGTCGATCTTGTCTTGCTTGCTCCACCTGCCCCTGACGGTCTGTCTCAAGGTTGAGAACTCTTGCAGCGAGCGATATGGCATCGTCTTGAAGGTCTTCAACATTGACGTAGACAACCTGGAAGGCAAGATCATGCCCACGGGTATGCATCCGGGAGGAACGGCTGTCTTCACGGTCCCTTATGACGCGATTGTCTTCAAGCCCTTCAAGTATTCGTCTACCTCTCGAGTGACCTTCTTCTTGACTTGGCGTTGATAGAGGAGAGGTGCTCAATGGAGTGGTGAAGAGCTCGGCCGCCCAGGGTCTGTTTGTGCAGTGCGGCCCTTTGCAGGTGAGACAACATGAGAAGAGATGATTTCATGAGGCTGTTTGAAGGTCTTCATCGCAAAAGCAAACCTGGCGGATGATAACAATGGGTTGGAATGGCGCGGCGACAACACTCCTCCGTGCGTACCCGCCTCGAGTTGCCGGCCAGTGATGCTGCTGCTGCTGCTCAGGTGTTGGATGTCACGAGATGAGCGAATAGTGATCGGAGACAAGACCCACCTCCGGTTGCGCATACTGGGAACGAGAATTCAAAACGACATCTCCCAATGTGTAAGTCCACTGTGCTTCGAGAAGGGCAGGGGAAGACTGGGGGAGGGATGGGGGTGTAGCACCCAGTGACGTACTTGCAGAGTGCAGTAGGGACAATCCTGGACGACTACCTGGGCCCGATCGACTAAGGGGAGGGGGCAGCGACAGAGGGAGTATCTCAATTTTCAAAAGTTATAAACAGCAAGTTCAAAGTTCATGCCCAGAGAATCTCAGGGTTACGGCAGAAAAACTTCATCAGTCCTCCAGAAATTCACCGATAAACTTCCAACCCACCAGGACAGCGACGAGGATAACGCTCATGCTCAGGGCCTTCGCCACCCTCGAGGTCTCGGTGAACAGGATGTAGGTGACGAGCATGAATATCGAGGCAAACTGGTAGACGGCAGTGGAACCCAGCTTCTGGTAGATGAAGGCCCAGAAAATGTTTCCGATACCCGCGCCGAAGGTGTAGTGGCACCAGCTGATGGCAGATTGAGTCACCACGAAGAAGCGCGAGTCCACGTTCACAGTGGCAGACTCCACGCTTGCGGTGGTGAAGAGTGCGAACAGTGCCCCTTTGACAGCTGAGAGGACGAGGAAGGCGTAGACCGTCTGCTGCGTGACGAACGAGTAGAGGAACAGCACGACCGCGAACAGGAGCATGGTCCAGTTCTGAGTTTCCATCAGCCCGACCTTGTCCAGGATACTCTTGCTGAACCAGAACGCTGGCAGCGTGCCGAAGATGATCACCCCGCCCACGGCCCCGATGAAAGTCCTCCCGGTCTCGAACTGGTCCTCCAGCTGCATCACTGTGATGGTTGTCGGGACCACGTAGACGAACCCGTAGATGAAGTTGGAGAGGAGAAGATCCCTGACGACCCTCTCCTGCAGGAGTTCTCGATACCCCACCACTGCCGCCCTATCGCCCGTCGCCCCTCCAGCGTCACTTCCGTCCCCTCCCCCGGACTCCTTGTCGAGGGCCTCGAGCTCTGAACCGTCATGGGGCGATGGCATCGTGTACTGCAGGTAGCAGAGAGTCATCGTCAGGCAGGCTCTGAACACGTATGTGCACAGGAAGATCACGCCGATCCCAAACTTGTCGATGAGCACTCCTCCCAGGAGAGATAGCCCACACCAAGACACAGAGTAGAACATCCTATTCTTGCCGTATCCCTCCCTGCTCCTGGAGGAAAGGTCCGCTATGATTACATCCACCAACGAAAGCCCCGCTGAGAGCGAAGCCAGTGCGATCCGCGCCATGAACAGCACGTAAAGGTCCGACTGTACGCACCTCCTGTAGATCTCCATTGAGAAGATGGACGCGATCAGCGCGAGGGAGGAGAACGAGAAGAGCTGGTTCTCTCGATCTACCACCGTGACGTCAGCAAGACAGTTCAGGGCACCACAGGGACCTCACCTAGTGTGCTCTGACGATCAGCAATAACCGCCCAGAGCGGCTGCGCACAGGCCTTGACGAGGTGGCCGACGGACTTCAACATGCCGATGTGAACGGGACTGATGCCCGTGGACATGAGCCAGATGATGGAGTACTTGTTCCATATGACCTTGCACGCTCCGTTCTGGAATGCAACGACCCTGGCCGCCCATCGGGCATCTTGCGCATGTGGTGGGCGGGAGGAAGGAGGGTGGGGGGCTGAGGAATAGGAGGAGGAAGAGGAGGTCTTCTCTTGAGAAGAATCGATAAGCCTGTGACGGTTGTCCTCGACATCGATCTCGATCTTGAAAATCGACTTGTGGTGTTTCCTGTCTGTTATCCCCTCCTCTCCCGCTGGATGTGAAGGAAAGATGGAAAACTCTGTTTGCATGCTGGGGGTGGGGTGCATGGAGAACCAAGAGGTTCAGGAGGAGGTTATGTCATGGAGCCTAGCTTCAGAGCAGGGAATTACTTGAAATCTGTCATGAATCATGGTTCAGCAATGAAAGGCGACATCGGGCACTCTAGGATCACATCACACGTGAAAACAACTGAAGAAAAAGAACTGAAGAATTTCGGTCTTGTCGCAACGGTACATCACATGGTTACAATTGCAACCATAACTCGATTATCTCGTAAGAAAACCTCAAAACTGGCCTTGATTGGGCATTCTACAACAACTGCAAGAACAATCTTCCAAGGGTATTTCAAACTCTTAAACCCTGCCACTTCGACTCTTGAAAAGCTGTAATAGACTACTCTGAAGTTATCTTCTAACAAAGTCCCGTCCTTCAACACACAGCCCTCCTTGATGTTATCACTTCACTGGGATCCTCTCATTCCACGCCTGCTTTCACTCGACCTCATCCTCCTGCGCTCCTGATTCGATAGGCTGTTGTCGTTTGTTGTAACTGATCGTCTGCCACGACGTAATCTCCAACCATCTTCTCATCCTCACCATCATCACCGTCCTCATCCTTACCCTGGAGATCATTATCCTCCCTTCCTCCTCCTGCTCTTCCCCCTGCTCTTCCCCCTGCGAACCTCTTGCTGTGTGTCCCCGTACTAACACAGTCCGTACCCCCACCCCAGCTCGAATGGCTATGGCACCCCCTCCCCACAGCGTGATGGAAAAAACAAAAATGTCCAATGACCACTCATACATCCCGTCAAGAATTTACCACCCCATTCCTTTTGTCCAGTACCCCATTCTTCCGTAGCGATTTCAGTCTATCATGGGGTATATTTCACTACCCCACCCTAATGACTATGGGTCACCTGTCTGCTCCCCATTTTCTACCCACCCCCGAGCGGAAAAAGTCATTCAGAACCCCCTTCGAAACTACCCCTACCACCAAATATCCAGGATAATACACCGGTAAATGAAGACTGCTGCTCGAGAGCCCCACCCATAGAATTCACCAGCAAGTACCCCGTAATCCCCCAATGCAATATAGTCAAGGACCCGGGTACTTGTGACATTCAAGGACCCTACCTCTTGCCGTTTAATTTTTCAAGAGGCAAGCACGTTGGTGGGAAAACAATCCCAAGGGGTGGGGGTATCAAAAGAGGGGGTAAGGGTAGTGAAAAACTTGGTGTTGGAACAGGAAGATGGGGGTGGGTTATGGATTTGTGGGGGTGAGGGCAGTATCGAGAGTTGCATGAAATGAGGGTGATGATTTATGGATCAGTTGGGGGATGAGGCCCTGGATGCCTTGCTGATCAGTCTGCCTCAGCTGCCTGGCTGCCTCAGAGTCTGCCTGTCCAGCGAGGGGAAGAGGGGGGATATGGTTCCACCGGGTTTTCGCGCCATGGGGCCCGTCCATGGTAGAGGCGGCAGACAGGCAAGGATGCAGACAAGGATGCAGACAAGGATGCAGACAAGGATGCAGACAAGGATGCAGACAAGGATGCAGACAAGGATGCAGACAAGGATGCAGATGCAGACAGAGGAAACGGAGAGGATGGTAAACAAGTAGAAATTAGGATGGATAGAGGAGGTTGCAAACTAGTAGAAAGAAAGATTGATAAAGATTCGGGAAAGAGGAAGGTTGACGCACTTGGATACAATGTCGCGAGGGCAGAATATTGGGGAAAGGCTCAGACCGATATCATTTTCGGAAGCACATGAGTCACAGAGGAGAATTAAGGTCAGAAGGACACGTAGATTGAGCGAAGATATCAATCAGGACAAGCTGAAGCTCTTCGTATTTATGATGTGTGTTTATTTGGCTCAAATGCAGGCAATGTACAAAAGCATATCTAATCGGAAGAGGATCTTAGCTCCCGACGACCGCAGTCGATCAAGGAAGAGCTTTGGCGAAGGTGCAGGATCATTCGAGGTGAGTTCCGAATGATTGAACGCAGTTGATCATTGAGGTGAGTAGGAATCCGTCAAGCAAGGCGGTCACAAGGACAAAATGCTTTGGAGGAAGATGAGTGTAAAGACAAGGGTTGGAGCATGGGGCAGCGATCAAGAGGACATGTCGGACTGTGAGGATTCAAGATGTAGCTCCTCTTCTTCCAGACAAGAAGCCCGAGCAAAGCACGATGAAGTAAACAGGTGGAAGCTAGAAGCAGAGAAGAGCGTCATGATTGCGGAGGAGCTGAAAATGATGGTACTCGGTCTCTTCATCTTCGCCATCGCTGACGGCGTCTGCAACAAGATCATCGAGAGGGAGAAGGAGATCGACTCGCTCAAGTCCCGTCAGGAAGGCGATCCGCTGGATGCCCTGCACGTGCGACGAGAGCTGAAGCAATGCAGGAGGGAGATCGAGGTCTGTGCACACAGCCGTCTCTGTGAGCTGACCTTGTGTGCAGAATCTCAGCAGGAAGGTAATGGCGGAGAAAGAGCGAGCCGAGTGTGCTGAAGAAAGACTCGGAGAATCCGAGTACCTCCGAGAGATGCTGACGATGAAGATGAAGAAGGTATAGCACCTGAGTTGTACCTGCTGACTCTGGTGTTGGTTGCTTTGCGCATTGTGATTGGAGCTGCACAGTTGCAGGAGGAAGTGAGATCGATGAAGGAAAGAATGCGCAGGGAGTTCGATCATGAGCACGAGGCGATCCAGGCAGAGATGCTGAGGATCGAGCACGAGAAGATCGAGCTGGAAGAGCGGCTGGAGAGAGCGAACCTGATGATTGAGGTCCTCGCTCTTGCTGTGACTCACGGCACGATGACTGAGTCAACTGTCACAGGCGGAACAGAAGCTGAGCAGCGAGCAGAGGACCTCGCACGAGGCAGAGCGGGAGCAGTTGAAGCAAGCCCTTTTGCAAGCCGGTGATGAACTCAAGGAAATCAAGGATCAAGTTAAGAAAGAGCTCGACAGCCAACGGGGATCCACCGAGCTTGAGGTCTTCGCCCTCATCAGAGTCCTGCTTTTTTTGACAGGCAGGTGCTGCAGGAGAGGCTGGCGGAGGAGAGCAAGCAGAAGCTGGTCTACCTCGAGTGCTATCAGAGAGAGTCGGAGGAGATGAAGGTGAAGGATCTCGAATGCGATCGACTGCGAGCAGAGATATCGACTCTGAGCTACGAGATGGAGATGAAACAGCGGGAGAACGAGTCTCTCCAGAGAGATGTGGAGATGATTCGGAGGGAGGAAAGGGAAGCTCGTTCGATCAACGAGCAACTGCAGGTTCAACTCAACAATAGGGAGCAAGAGTATGTGGAGACAATACAGCGATTGAACAGTCTGCAGCGAAAACAACAAGCCCTGTGCGAAATCCAGGAATATGGTACTCAGACAGAACAAGTCTTGACATGCAATGAGGCCTGCATTCAAACTCTGACGTGCGAGTCTGGTTGTGAAAGCTATTCGCAGACAGAGGAGAAAGAAGTTGGTCAAGCACAGACTCAGACCCACAGGCAGGAATATCGTGATAGAGATTTGCAGACAGAGGATGGGACAGACTCGAACTTCCATATCAGAGATGCGTGTATGGATCGAAATCCTTTTGCTGGGGGAGAACTAGGAGCTCCGGGAGAAGTCGAAGGGCTTGAAGAGCGTGAAGATCTGAAGGCGAAGATTGCGCAACATGTCGAGGAGATCGAATCCCTCAAGTTGCAAGTCAATACGTTGAGATTGGATCTTGACTCGAAGCGCAGAGAGGTAATGTAAAAAGGACTCAACGGTCCCCCATGTCGATTCTCGCCTTCTCCTTCCATCGAACTTCCCCCTCTCTCACCCTCCCATCGCCTCTCCTGTGTCACTTCCATCGCCTCTCCTGTGTCACTTCTATCGCCTCTCCTGTCTCCCTTCCCCATCGCTCTCTTGCTAACAGCTGCGGCAGAACAATCGCCTCATGGAGGCACTGGACGAGGTTGACCTGCTCGTCAGGAAGCAGACTGAAGAGAAGGAGAGGAGGGCTGCTGAGATGCAGTCGTTAGATCTTTTCCTCTCGCATGTCTCTGCTCTCCCTGACATGTTCGCCCCTTCTCAAGCCGAGAAAGTCAGTCTTGCCGGGGAGAACTTGGACAGTACCAGCACCAGCGACGAGATGAGCGTCATGGCAACCCGCGAGATCTCGTTGGAGACTAGAAGCGAGGAGAGGAGGGCAGCTTGCAAGGAGCTTATGAAGTTGGGGATGGAGCCAGAGCGAGGGGTCCTGTATGGCGATCGACGTGCTCCTGAAGCACGGGAGGACCCCGACGACTCTCAGTGTCTCGCGCTTGTGAGCAGATGATCCTTGCTCGCTGCGTCGCCGCTGACGTTGGACCTGCAGGCTGAGCAGGAAGCTGAGATCTCAAGTGATTTTCAAGTCGGCAACTCAGCTGGGTTGCAGCTGGAAGGTGTGGGGCACTCAAGCAGGGAGAGGAGTGAAGGGATGTGGGGGTAGAGGGAGGGGGAGGGAGAGGATAGGTCGTCCTCTTGTAACTGACTTGCCTTGATGCTTGCAGCCATAGACGCCTTGCTCTGTCGAGATGTGCATGCTGAGGAGCACGAGCACGAGCACGAGCACGGAATCGGTTTCGAAGGCGCCTCCTCGTTCATTCAATTCGACTCAGACGATGATATTGAGGTTGACTCGCTAGCCTCGAGCGAGGCGAGTAGTGAGGACGAAGAATAGACTGCACAAGGAGTCCAATGGTGAGGATGGGGCGGGAGTGGGAAGAGGAAGAGAAATGGTATGGAAGGAGGTCATGTTGACAATATGTGTCTGGGCAAATATGAGGAGTAAGGTATCTTAATTCAATCATGCACTACATCACATAGGTGTAACTAGATTACAAAATAGAAACACAAACAAGGCAAACCAACACTCAACTTCTACGTAACCGATGTAATGCGTCCAGCATCTAAAGCACCAGCAGCTGACTTCCATCCTTCAGCTTAGATGATAAAGGGAGGGGTGCAACAAGCATCGCAGCCTCCCCGTCCTCCTCGACGTCTCTCTCCATCTCCTGCAGGAGATTCTTCTTATAACCCTCCTCGTCGATGTGCATCGCATCCAAAGACTCCCTCTCCTCCCTGCATGGCACTCGGCACGGCGTCGACGCAACAGCAGCCTTCCATCCTCTCAGGTGCTGAGGAAACCAGTCGGGCCACTGGAGCAGGAAGTCGTTCAAGATCATGTGCGTGCAAGCTTCGATATCCTTCTCCCGGAAGCTCAGCGTCTCCTCGAGGCTGGTGGGCCACCAGGGTTGCAGCTGGACCGACAGCCGGGCAGCTCCTGAAACGAGTCAAGTCACCTTGACAGACTCAACCGGAGGAGGGAGAGGGAGGGCACAGGAGAGAAGGCGCGGGCCAGAGTGGTGCAGGAGCAGTACGATGGCGGGGATGACGGAGAGACCGCAGCAGGAGCGAGAGCTCACCGATGATGGAGGAGACGACGTGGCCGACCGGGAGGTCGGAGTACTTGCAGTTGAGCAGGCACAGGTCGGCGAAGAAGTAGATGTACTTGACCAGGTTCCTTCGCGAGATGTCGTCGACAGACGCCTCCTCTGTCGTGCTGCATATCCCCTGGCGGCCTTGTCAGCGTCCTCGAGGAGGCAATGGCATGAAGCACCGTGCTGATGTGCGAGTCCAACATGTGGACGTAGGTACAGACGTGCAGTTTCCATCCTAGACCCTTGAGGATCATGAGTTCCGACGACGAGACCTCTGAGTGGTCGAAGCCTCGCAGTTCGGGGAGTAGGAAGAGCTCTTGGACGTATGGCACGTGGTCAGGCCGTTCCTGCGACTTTAGTTCACCTCAAGCGATCGACGAGCGGGGAACATGGATACCTCGAACTTGGCGGCTATCATCAGAGAAGCAGCTGCGAAGACAAAGTATCGAGATTTGTCCGAGCTCTTCATATTGATGGCTCTCACGAAACGATCGAGGTAGTTCATCGCATAGTGGATCGTCAAAGTCTTCAGCTTGAACTTGGAGCACACTTTGGCAACAAACTGGACAATCTCTCGCCTGTACGAGAAGTATGGCGAAGAATACTCCGATGATGAATCGAATTCTTGCTTGCGAGCACAATCGACATCAACGAACATCCTCCGATCCACTCTATTCGGCACTCTCTTTTTCGTAGTCTCTCGATTGATACCACCACCTATGACGATCTTGATGTCTCCGTTTCTGTTTTCCTTCCACTCTCCTCGTCTCCTCTTCGCTTCTCCTTTCGCTCTTCTTCTCTTCTTCTCTTCTTCTCTTCTTCTCTTCTTCTCCTCTTATCCTCCACTTATTTCTCTCTTTTTCTCTTTTTCTTGTTCTCTTCTTCTTCTCTCCTTCTCTTCTTCTTTACTTGTTATGCCTCTAGTACATATTCAAGCCATGAAAAATCCCGCGCCTATCGCCCTTTGTACTTTTACTACCCTACCCTATCATTTCACATCTCGATTGAAAGGCAAGGGTAGGGTATTTTAGAGCCATAAATTCGGGGTACAAACGTGTGATAAGACCACGTAGGGTGATGTACCCCACCTGCTCTAAACAGCACAGATCCAAAAGTACCCCACCCCCAAGTCGATACAAAACAAACTTTTTATCAACTCTCAAGCCCCTACGGTTTTTTAGTTTTTTACATTTTACAAGATTTTCTTTCCAGAAATTCATGTTACACTTGGAATGATCACCCGTACATATCTGAGTAAAATGATGTTCTTAGGAGGGGTAGTGAAAGTACCCGTACCCCCCTGAATGTCTATGACCCAAATTCATTCGCAGTTGCGCAATGCACGTGCGGTCATGCGGCGATTAACGCCTCGCGCCGTTCATGACGCTCCGGCTCCTCCTCCCCCTCCTGCTCCTGCTCCTGCTCCTGATCCTGATCCTGCTCCTCCTGCATGCTCATGCTCACACTCATACTCTTCCGATACATTGTTAGGACAAGGTTGGAGTAAGTGCTGCTGCCCCTGTAGTTGCAGTAGAAGCTTGCTGCCCCTGCCCCTACTGCCCTATGCTCCATTGCTACTGCTGCTCATTGCTGCACTCTTGTTCTTACTCCTGCTTGTGGTGTAGCTTCTAATGCTTGCAATTGACTCGCTTGCGCTGCTTCCTCCAACCATTTTCCACCTCAATGTTCATATTTCTCGTTGCCATACACTGTACAATGAAGCTATTAGAGTGTTTTTTTCTCTGCCTGTTATCTTTCTTCTGACTCTTGCCATGCCCAGGCCAAGAGAGAGGCACAGGCAGCAGCTGAAGCTTCTTGGTAAGCTCGACACAGGCGGCAGGCTCTTCTCTCTCGATACAGCAGGCAAAATGGTGGCCAAAGGGAAGCAGAGGGGAGGAGGAACGCACAAGGAGCAGCGATCAAAGAAGCATGAAAGGCTGGAGGAGGAGATTCAGACCCTAGAGCAGCGTATCGCAGCTGAAGCTCCTCCTCCTGGGACCAACCCGCTTGCCAATGACCTTGCCAGCAAGCCAGCAGCCAAGTCATTCAGGGAGCTGCCGCTGTCGCGCCCGACGCTGCAGGGGCTCGAGGAGGGAGGCTACAAGACTATGAAGGACATCCAGAGGGCCTGCATCCCGCACATCCTGGCAGGTCGAGACCTGCTGGGAGCCGCGAAGACGGGATCGGGGAAGACGCTGGCGTTCCTGATTCCAGTAATGGAGAGGCTGTTCCGGCTCAAGTGGTCGAAGCTGGACGGGCTGGGAGGGCTGGTGATCTCGCCGACAAGAGAGCTTGCGATCCAGATCTTCGAGGTCCTGAGGAAGGTCGGGAAGAAGCATGAGATGTCGGCAGGGCTGGTGATCGGTGGCAAGGACGTGGGGCAGGAGCAGGAGCGAGTCACCCACATGAACATCCTGGTCTGCACGCCGGGGAGGCTGCTGCAGCACATGGACGAGACGTACGGCTTCGACGCCTGCAACCTCCAGGTGCTAGTCCTTGACGAGGCCGATCGCATCCTGGACCTCGGCTTCTCTGCGACGATCAACAGTATCGTTGAGAACCTGCCCAAGAGCAGGCAGACTCTGCTCTTCTCTGCTACCCTGTCCAAGCAGGTGAGGGACCTGGCGAGGCTAAGCCTCAAGGAGCCCGAGTACATAGCTATCCACGAGGCCTCCTCCACCGTCACCCCCAGCAGACTCCAGCAGCACTACATGGTCACCCCCTCCTCCCTTCTCTTCTTCCCGCTCCTCCTCCGATTCTCTCCCCTCCTTTTCTCACCGTTTTCTTTCCTTCCTTCAGCGACTCCTCCCCGTCTGCTTCTCCTCCTCTGCTCTCTCTGAAGCTTCCGCTGGCTCCTCCACATCCTGCCCCTCTCTCCAACTCCCTTTCTCTTTCTTCCCGCCCTCCTCATCTCTCCCGTGACCGTCTGCTGACCTGCTGCCTCGCCCCGTAGGTTGTAAACCCGGCGGAGAAACTGGACGTGCTGTGGTCTTTCATCAAGATGCACCTCAAGAGCAAGTCCATCGTCTTCCTGTCCTCCTGCAATCAAGTTCGTTTCGTCCACGAGGTCTTCTGCCGCCTTCGCCCAGGTGTGGTCCTGAGCGCCCTCCATGGCAAGATCAAGCAGGAGAAGAGGCTGCAGGTCCGTTCGCATCCTCCACCTCCTCCTCATCCTCCTCTTTGTCCTCCCTTCCCTCCCTGCCATCCATCTCCTTCCTCTCCGTCGAGTTCCTCCTCCTCACCTCCTTTGTTCCCTCTCTCCTTCCCATCCTCCTCCATGTTCTGCCTTCAGCAGTCCCACCATCTCCCTCTCCTTCCTCTCCTTTCTGCTTGTCTCCCTTCCTCGTCTCCCTCCCTCCTGATGGACCTGCAGATCTTCCTGGACTTTTGCGAGAGGAAAGAGGCAGTTCTCTTCGCGACTGACGTGGCTGGACGAGGACTGGACTTCCCCGAGGTCGACTGGGTGATCCAGGCAAGTCGATCAGAGGAGATGAGGAGCAGATGGAACCAGAGAATGAACAGGAGAGGAGATAGGGAACAGGGAGCGGGGAGCGGGGAGCGGGGAGCGGGGAGCGGGGAGCAGGAAGGACGCACACGAGGAGCGAAGGGGGTGCAAAGAGCAGCTGAGTATGTGCACAGGTCGACTGCCCGGAGGATGTGGCGACGTACATCCATCGGGTGGGGAGGACAGCCAGGAACGAGGCGAAGGGGAAGTCACTGCTGCTGCTATGCGAGCACGAGAAGAAGATGGCGAGCAACGTGCAAGAGGCAAGGATACCCATCAAGCAGATCCAAGTGAACAAGTCGAGGATGCAGGTAGAAGATCAGCATCCTTGCCTTCGCGCGTGACTGACCTCCATTTTCTCTTCCTCTTCCTCTCCGTCTCTTCCTATCCCCTTCTCCTGGTCTCCCTCATTCCTCGTCTTCCGTTCTTCCTCCTGGATCTTGCCCTCTCTCCTGCTTCCCCCAGCCTCTCCATCAAAAGCTCGCCACTCTTCTCTCCCAGGACGCTTCCTTGAAGCACATGGCTCAAAAGGCCTTCGTCTCCTACCTGAGGAGCGTCCACCTGCAGCCGGACAAGCAGATCTTTGACGTCAACAAGCTCCCCGTCGAGCTGCTGGCCTCCTCCTGGGGCCTCCCTACGATGCCGCGGCTGCGGTTTGTGGCCGCTCCTGCTGTGAAGAAGAAGAACATCCCCTACGCTCTCCGGGAGGACGGAAATAAGGGAGCTGAGAAGGAGGAGAAAGAGGAAGAGGAAGAGGAAGAGGAAGAGGAAGAGGAAGAGGAAGAGAAGTCACAGAGGACACGAGTGATCGCGACCGTGCAGCCAGAGTCAAAGTTCACCAAGATGTTCAACAGGAAGAACCATGACGTGCTGTCCGACAGCTACAGGAGAATGGTGGAGAAGGAGGAGGAGGAGGGGGGAGGGGAGAGCGACGATGAGATCTTCAAGGTCTCGGAGAACCCTAAGTACCTCAACATGGCGGACGAGGAGGAGGAGCAGAAGGAGGAGCTCAAGCCAAGGATCTCCAAGAGGTCCATGAAGAAGATCCGAGTGAACGGAGGGAACGGCTCGCGCATCGTCTTTGACGAGGAGACCGGGGAGGCGTTGGACGCGATCGCGTACATGGGGAGGAAGGGGACGGGGAGGGAGGGAGTCGATGATGATATCACCCCCGAGGCACACGCCGAACAGCTGCGGGTGAGAAACCCCCAGCTGTGTCCCAACAGACTGACGAGTTTGCCAACAGAACCTGATGGCGTCGAGAGATCGGGAAGACCGCGAGGAGTTCAGGAGGAGGCAGAAGGAGCAGAAGCTGAAGCTCAAGATCAAGCTCAAGAAGATGCTCAAGGAGGACGAGGAAGGCTCCGACGGGGCCGGTCCCGCGAAGGAGAATGACGATGATGATGATGATGATGAGGAGGAGGAGGAGGAGGAGGAGGAGCAAGGCGCTCGCAGCTCTGACGGGAGTGACGAGGAGAATAGTGATGTTGAGGTGGCAAGCGCAGGTTGGAAGGGAGGGAAAGGCAAGGAGGAAGCAATAGACAAGAAACGATCGCTGCAGGACGAGGAGGAGCTGGCGCTGACACTTCTCAAGAAACGGCAGAGGGTTTGAGGAGGAGGACAGTAAAGTAGCAGAGTCTCTCGATCGTTTTCCGTATTGATCTCAGGGCGAGTGTCAGGCAGGTAGAGGAGAGGCAAGCAGGTCAAGGTGAATCGCAGAAGTGACGTAGGAGGTGGACAGACATGTCCATGGCGATAGAGTCGGTCTAGGTGCTGGTTCCAGGTGGTGATGGGACCAGGTGCCGAAGCCGGGGCAGGAGCAGAGGCGCAGGAGCAGGAGTACAGGAGCAGGCGCAGGAGCACAGGAGCAGGTGGAAGATCAAGAGTTGCATCGTTCAACCAGCTTCATGACTTGCCTTGCTTCTCTACTCGCCCATCAGGCACCATTCAGCACGCCAGTGATACCTGGCGGCGTCAAAGGACCTGTAGCTGCCGCCGGTCCACACGATATACTTGAGCGTCTTGATGTCCACCCAGCTGAAGGCTGCGGTACCTCCCACGCGGTCTGCCGTCCCTGCGTCTCCTCGTAGGTTGATGAGAACAGTCGAGACGACGCTGAAGCCGCAGCGAGAGACGTCGACAGTGCGGTAGATAGTCTTGCCGTCTCCTGTGTCCAGCCATCCTGAGTACTTGGTCTTGTCGCAGCACATCTTGCCGTTGTTGCTCTGGACGCTCTGACCTCCTGCTCCAGCGAGCAAGCGAGGAGCCGTGCCTGCAGCAGTAAGGGTGAGACAGGTAAGCTGAGAGAGCAAGGCTCCTTCACGGAGACAGCGCCAAGGACGGCTACTCACATGGATATCCCGCGAAGCCCTCGTTGATTCGAGGCTGGAACGCGCACCAGTTGAGCTGGAAGTTGGCCTGGTTGTACCCCTGGTACCCCATAGTCGAATATCCGGGAAGCATCTTGAGGTATACAGTGAACGCATCGTTGCTCGGCGAATAGATCGAGTTCACGCCAAGAGCTCGAGCCGATTTTCCTCCGCTCGTGTCGGACAAGGAGGTGAAGACGTAGGGAGTCTCAGACCCGGTGAACTCGCAGCCCTTAAGCGAGACAGTCGTTACTCCATCTCCATAATAGTCATTCCAGTTGCTCGTACTGGACCTGCCGCAGCACATGGCGTATGAGGGTGCTGGCACGTCCACGCTGCCTACTCCACACCAGCGAACCGACCACTTCCAATCGTTAGCCACATTGCTAAGAGAAGCATACACGTTAGCACGGAGCCAGATTCTAAGCTGATTCTTGGAGATAGAGTCAGGCGTCCCGGACGGGTCGGTCATGTCAGCAGCCGTGATAACTTCCCATTGAGCTCCATTTCCATAGACAGATGCGTAGTAGATAGGCTGCCCTGTGAACTGACAGTGGGAAGTGTCCACAGTCGTGTAGAACGAGACGGAGGATTCTACAGGGAAAAATCACTCAGAGCCGTCTAAGCGAGAGGAGAATGAGCCGGAAAAAAGGGAGCGACGGTGTATCAGACACTTACCGATTTGCAACGCGGAGGACGGGACAGTTCCACAGCACCACTGCTTCCCCAGCCCAGTCTGCAGGCTGCACTGACTCTTGCCCGGGGCCCCTTGAGAGCCTCGTGGACCAGGATTCCCATTGTTCCCTGCCTCACGACTCAGCAAGCAAGGAAAGGAGGAGAAACCAAATCACCTGGGGCTCCTTCGAACCCAGGTGGGCCCATATCACCAGCTACTCCTGCCACTCCGTCGATACCAGGAGGTCCAGGGGGTCCGGGGGGTCCGGGGGGTCCGGCCATGCCGTCGTTGGCATCTGGGCCAGGAGGGCCGAGCGTTCCCATCTCTCCGGGTGCGCCGGGAGGACCGTTCTTCCCAAGAGGACCCTCGTCCCCTCGGAGACCTTCCTTGCCCCTGCGTCCCTTGGGGCCAGGGGGTCCGGGGGGACCTGCGTCACCCTGATCACCGTGAGGTCCTGGCAGACCGTCCTCGCCCTTGATCCCCTGGATGCCTTGGGGTCCTGCGGACGGGAAGGTCACGACTCTCCAGCAAGAGGCGCTGCTTTCCGACCTTGGTCTCCTCTGGGACCAGTCGGTCCGATGACTCCTCGTGGGCCTCGCTCTCCCCTAAAGCCTTGAGGACCCGGGTATCCCTTGGGCCCCGTCGGACCACGTGGGCCGATCTGCGCCAAGGTGGTTACATGCTCACTGTCGAGGCTGATTGGAAAGATCGCGCAAGCGAGCACATGACGGTCAACGCTCAACAGTAGGGTAAAACACGTCGACTCTACGACCATAGCACAACACTGAAGCGCACACGACGCTACTCGCGCAGATACAGCATCGAAGTCGACATCTCAGCTATACACCATGTCCCACGGTCATCACATCCCCGCTCTCAGGTATCTCACCTGTCCAGCTTCGACACGAATCTCAACGCGTTGATGCTTCTTAGCCCTCGTCTGGATCTTTCCTAGCAAGACCTTTTCTTTCGCCATGATCTTCTCAATCTCCATCGCCATGTCCTCGGGGGAGCCTTCGTTGAGCGGCAGGTACTCCTGGTCGCCGACCTGATACAGCTGCTGTGCCTGGGCTGCACCAGGCGATGCTTGCATCAAAGCTACATCCTTCACTTGGCGGTTCAGGGTGAGGTTCAATACTCCGATCAATGCCACGGCGGCGATCAGACCGACAATAATGCCGGCCCGATGGCCAGTTCTCGACCAGTCCATGGAGATGAGACCTGTACAAGATGTATCGTGAATAGCTGCCACATTATCCAGGTGTACTACAGGTTAGCTTTACTTTGAATGGATTGATTGACTACTCTAATGTTCATACGCGCTTGATACCTCTTTCGAGATGAGAACCCACCTACACAATCTTCTCCGCATCTGATAGAGAGGAGAATATGTACTTCACGAGATTTCAGGGCAGAAGGATCTGTTTCTGGGTTGCTTCTTTACTATCTTTGTCTTCTCATTCTCCTTCCCCTTCTCCTCCTTATCCTTCCTCTTTTTGCCGTCTCATCGCGTTGCCATCTTGACTCTTCGCATTCCTAGTATCTCCTAGCCCCGTACCCCATAGGATATCTACCTATCACCTCTCTTCATATATATATTCTGGATTAGTACCGAGGTGAATGACAATCGTAGTGAATGTTTTATATATATAATCTTAAAAATATATTTACCGTCAAATAATTCAACAAAACTCTTCCGCCTACCCTCCTTCATCCTCCTCTCCTCTTCATCCTCCTCCTCCTATACTCCTCCTCCTCTGGCATCCTCTTCCCCCTCCTCCTCTTCATCCTCGTCATCCTCGTCCTCCTCCTCCTCTGGCATCCTCTTCCCCCTCCTCCTCTTCATCCTCGTCATCCTCGTCCTCCTCCTCCTGTAATCCTCCTCCTCCTATACTCCTCCTGCTCCTCTTCAACCTCCTCCTCCTCCTCTTTCATCCTCCTCTCCTCCTCCTCCTCCCCTCCTCTGGCATCCTCCTCCTTATCCTCCTCTCCTCCTTATCCCTCTCCTTTTCATCCTCCTCCTCCTCTTCCTCCTCTCCATCCTATGGCGTCTAAGGGTCACTTCGCGTCCCTGGGTGAAGAATTCCTCGCCAGGCCGGCAGACCAGCTCCCGCGATGCAGATCGTTTGCACACAGCGTCTTCCCTTATGTCTCTCACTTCTACCAGGGAGATTGCCGTCTCTTTTCAAAGCAAGGAACGCGAGCTTGGCTCTTCGATTGCTCTGCAGAGCAAGAAAGTCTGCAGTATCTTCTCACGCAGAGCAACCGATGGTGTCAAATTCTTGCCGACTACGACTTGGAAGAAATCTCCTATGTCATCGCAGACTATCTGTCTCGGCAAAATGATACTACTACAATCGTTCCGCTATAGAGTGCGTGAGATCATGAGATCCGGCAGCGTGACCGAGGTTGCACCTGGGTGAAGTGAAGACTCCGCATGATAAGTATCCATCAGCGTGCTCAGTTCCTTTCGTAACATAGCGCGAGCGTCATCCATTTGCAACCTGAAACGAAATCAACGAAAACACGTTCCCACATGCCTAGGGTTACACTAGGCCTCTTGGACACAAGATAGCATGCCTGAAGGTGCGTAACCATGGATTGAAACCTTGCAGTATACGCTTCAACCGACTCCTTTCAACGAGATGGACAGTATTTTGAGGTCGACAGTATTTTGGCTCGTCGTGGGATAGGTAATCGTGTGCAGTACCTTGTTCGTTGAAAAGGATATGACAAGTCGTCAGGTCTTTCTTGAATAGATGTCACACTGTTATGCACACTTGCTCTTTGGTTTTTTGACGGGATTACTTCGTGTATCAACACTGATTCGAGAGATACTTTTGGAGAGTTTATCACTCAGTGACCTGGATGACGCGCACTTGAACAATTCGATCCCGTCTCCAGCTCTCTTTCAACTCGCGGGCGGACCTCCTTTTCTTCCCCCCCAGCGTTCAATCACAGGACGGTTGATGCAGACTTTTCCCCCTCATCTGGAGCGACGGGCGCAATTGTCTCAGGTGCAGGCAGCTCTCTCCGGGCTCATGCCAGCTACACTGTGGAGCTCTATCCCCCCGAGTCAGCGAGTCAGTCTTGTAGCCCGTTCCCCCTGGAGCCCCTCCTTCCGAAGGCTCACAACCCTCATCAGCGCTGCAGAAGGAGCTAGACTCTCATTGATGCAGCGTCAAATATAATATGTCGGAGCTGAGAAAGCACCTCGATGAGCGACGGGAGCTCAACGAGGACGCCGAGAGCTACGCGCAGTTGCTGCTCGCCAGGATACGGAGGAGAGGGCGGAAAGAGAGCAAGAGAGCGCTGCAGGGCATCGACAAAAAGGAGGAGGAGGAGCAGAAGAATCAGCAGGCGAGGAGCTGGAGGAAGTTTCTGTTGATCGTGTTTGACAATCTGCTTTTAGATTGGAAGTGACATGCTCCCAGCACATAGAGAAGATGAGATGCATGAGCTGCAGCAGTGCCAGAGGAGAGGAGATGAGAAGGAAGTTGAGGTGGGGCGAGAGGAGGAGAGTCCGCTTTTGAAACTCTCGAGCAGAAGGAGCAGCGGGAGCAGCGGGAGCAGAAGGAGCAGCGGGAGCAGACTGCTGCCATGGAGGAGAGAGACAGACAGAGGAGGAGCAGCTGCGGGAGCAGATTGGAAGCCGAAATAGCTTCCCTAATTGTGAGTGCAAATGTGAAGCCGAGAAGAGGGAGGGAATGGAGAAAAGCAAAAAAACAGAGAGCAAAGAAGCTGGTGCAAAAGAACGGAATGGAATAGAGGTAAGAAACAAGGACAGTAAAGTAGCAGAGTTTCTCGATCGTTTTCCGTATTGATCTCAGGGCGAGTGTCAGGCAGGTAGAGGAGAGGCAAGCAGGTCAAGGTGAATCGCAGAAGTGACGTAGGAGGTGGACAGACATGTCCATGGCGATAGAGTCGGTCTAGGTGCTGGTTCCAGGTGGTGATGGGACCAGGTGCCGAAGCCGGGGCAGGCGCAGGAACAGGAACAGGTGCAGGTGCAGCGCAGGAGCAGGAGCACAGGAGCAGGTGGAAGATCAAGAGTTGCATCGTTCAACCAGCTTCATGACTTGTCTTGCTTCTCTACTCGCCCATCAGGCACCATTCAGCACGCCAGTGATACTTGTCGGCGTCATAGTACTTGTAGACGCCGCCGGTCCACACGACATACTTGAGCGTCTTGCTGTCCACCCAGCTGAAGGCTGCGGTACCTCCCACGCGGTCTGCCGTCCCTGCGTCTCCTCGTAGGTTGATGAGAACAGTCGAGACGACGCTGAAGCCGCAGCGAGAGACGTCGACAGTGCGGTAGATAGTCTTGCTGTCTCCTGTGTCCAGCCATCCTGAGTACTTGGTCTTGTCGCAGCACATCTTGCCGTTGTTGCTCTGGACGCTCTGACCTCCTGCTCCAGCGAGCAAGCGAGGAGCCGTGCCTGCAGCAGTAAGGGTGAGACAGGTAAGCTGAGAGAGCAAGGCTCCTTCACGGAGACAGCGCCAAGGACGGCTACTCACATGGATATCCCGCGAAGCCCTCGTTGATTCGAGGCTGGAACGCGCACCAGTTGAGCTGGAAGTTGGCCTGGTTGTACCCCTGGTACCCTATAGTCGAATATCCGGGAAGCATCTTGAGAGATACAGTGAACGCATCTTTGCTCGGCCCATAGATCGAGTTCACGCCAAGAGCTTGAGCCGATTTTCCTCCGCTCGTGTCGGACAAGGAGGTGAAGATGTAGGGAGTCTCAGACCCGGTGAACTCGCAGCCCTTAAGCGACACAACCACCTTTCCTTGTCCATGATCCTCTTCCCAGCCGGTGGGACTGGTCTTGCCGCAGCACATGGCGTATGAGGGTGCTGGCACGTCCACGCTGCCTACTCCACACCAGCGAAGGTTCCAGTTCCAATCATCAGCAACCTTGCTAAGAGTGGTGTACACGTTAGCACGGAGCCAGATTCTAAGCTGATTCTTGGAGATAGAGTCAGGCAACCCGGACGGGTCGGTCATGTCAGCAGCCGTGATAACTTCCCACATACCAGCATTTCCATAGACAGTTGCGTAGTAGATAGGCTGCCCTGTGAACTGACAGTGGGAAGTGTCCACAGTCGTGAAGAACGAGGTGGAGGATTCTACAGGGAAAAATCACTCAGAGCCGTCTGAGCGAGAGGAGGAGGAGCCAAGTGAGACGCTGCAGAAAGCAAACAGGGCACCAATCTTCTTGGGCCTACTCCCTCAGCCCGACATCCCCCAAGACACACACATAGCGGATGCGGGGAAAGAAGGGAGCGACGGTGTATCAGACACTTACCGATTTGCAACGCGGAGGACGGGACAGTTCCACAGCACCACTGCTTCCCCAGCCCAGTCTGCAGGCTGCACTGACTCTTGCCCGGGGCCCCTTGAGAGCCTTGTGGACCAGGATTCCCATTGTTCCCTGCCTCACGACTCAGCAAGCAAGGAAAGGAGGAGAAACCAAATCACCTGGGGCTCCTTCGAACCCAGGTGGGCCCATATCACCAGCTACTCCCGCCACTCCGTCGATACCAGGAGGTCCAGGGGGTCCGGGGGGTCCGGGGGGTCCGGCCATGCCGTCGTTGGCATCTGGGCCAGGAGGGCCGAGCGTTCCCATCTCTCCGGGTGCGCCGGGAGGACCGTTCTTCCCAAGAGGACCCTCGTCCCCTCGGAGACCTTCCTTGCCCCTGCGTCCCTTGGGGCCAGGGGGTCCGGGGGGACCTGCGTCACCCTGATCGCCGTGAGGTCCTGGCAGACCGTCCTCGCCCTTGATCCCCTGGATGCCTTGGGGTCCTGCGGACGGGAAGGTCACGACTCTCCAGCAAGAGGCGCTGCTTTCCGACCTTGGTCTCCTATGGGACCAGTCGGTCCGATGACTCCTCGTGGGCCTCGCTCTCCCCTAAAGCCTTGAGGACCCGGGTATCCCTTGGGCCCCGTCGGACCGCGTGGGCCGATCTGCGCCAAGGTGGTTACATGCTCACTGTCGCAGGCTGATTGGAAAGATCGCGCAAGCGAGCACATGACGGTCAACGCTCAACAGTAGGGTAAAACACGTCGACTCTACGACCATAGCACAACACTGAAGCGCACACGACGCTACTCGCGCACTCACCTGTCCAGCTTCGACACGAATCTCAACGCGTTGATGCTTCTTAGCCCTCGTCTGGAGCTTTCCTAGCAAGACCTTTTCTTTCGCTATGATCTTCTCAATCTCCATCGCCATGTCCTCCGGGGAGCCTTCGTTGAGCGGCAGGTACTCCTGGTCGCCGACCTGATACAGCTGCTGTGTCTGGGCTGCACCAGGCGATGCTTGCATCAAAGCTACATCCTTCACTTGGCGGTTCAGGGTGAGGTTCAATACTCCGATCAATGCCACGGCGGCGATCAGACCGACGAAAATGCCGGCCCGATGGCCAGTTCTCGACCAGTCCATGGAGATGAGACCTGTACAAGATGTATCGTGAATAGCTGCCACATTATCCAGGTGTACTACAGGTTAGCTTTAGTTTGAATGGATTGATTGACTACTCTAATGTTCATACGCTCTTCATTTTTTTTGTGAAATATTTACAGCCCTTTCGATGAGAACACACCTACAAAATTACATTCTCCCATGCAAACGTTCCGCATCTGATAGAGAGGAGAATATGTTCGTCACGAGATTGCAGGGTAGAAGGGTCTAATCTTCGTTTCTATCATCGTCTAAACCCATTCATTCGTCTCGCATCTGCTTCCCCTCCTTGCGACCCTCCGAAAGGTGGATCCTTTGTTGTCACCACCGTTCTCCGTCTCCCCCCCTCCTCCTCCTCCTCCTTCTCCCCCTTCCCCATTCTCTTCCTCATCCTACCCCCTCCCCTCAGCCACCACCACCTCGTCCTCCTTCTCTTCCCCCTCTTCCTCCTCCTCCCCCTCTTCCTCTTCTTCTTCCTCTTCCTCCTCATCGTCATCGTCATCGTCATCGTCATCGTCATCGTCATCATTATCGTCATCATTCATCCTCTCCATTGCATTGACTCTTCGCGTTCTTAGGATCTTCTAGCCAGGTACCCCCCGGGGTATCTATCTATGACATCCCTCAAGCGGATACCTAGGACTCACCTATCTCCTTTATCCTAGCGCAAGGTCTTATAGTCATGTGCCAAAATATATTTTTGATCTGTACCTTTTAATCGAAATGAAACTTTGTTTCTAAATAAAACATTACTTATTATTAATTGCCTTCCTACAAGATAATATTCTTATTTGACTGGTTCAGTTGGATATGTAATCTTTAAATATTACATATATGCGTGAAGAAAAATGTTTTAAGAGGGGTAGCGGTCAAACGAATGGATGGCAGGGGACGGGCTAGGAAATGGAGAGGAGAGGAGAGGAGAGGAGAGGAGAGGAGAGGAGAGGAGAGGAGAGGAGGTAGCATAAGGAGGTAAAGTGAATGATATGAAAGAAACGTCTGACGCAACACAACACAACACAACACAACACAACACAACACAACACTTGCAAAGATTTGTGATGGAGTGGAGCTGAAAAGCTGACAACGGTACAGGCCATGAACCTTCAAGCTATCCTCCTTGTCTTCTGCATGTCTGCCGGCGGCATCTTTGGTATTTCTGTGAGCGACTGGAAGACAGCATCTCCTGACATGATGGGGGAAGTGCAACAAGTAGCGAAGGTGCCAAAATATTGACTATCTCCATCTTCTCTGACATGAATCAGTATGCGGTGGACTACATGAACATCAAGAACATTTTCTGCACGTCGGTGATCTTGAACAAGATTGCGATGGCCTCATACTTGTCAACAAGCCCTGCGGTTTGCCCCTTCTCTTGAGAATGCAACTTACTCATAATGTCGTGGCAGGACAAGCAATGTTTTTACCTCCTCTTGGACATCGCAATGGCCGATCAGTCCAAGACTCAACCCGTGCAGATCTGCAAGAAACCGCAGCTTCCCTGGTCGATCCTCCTCCAGACCTCTTCGAAGAACATCAAGTCCTCCTCCCCCGAGATGATCACGACTGTTGGAGACTCCTGGTCTCAGCTCAGCCTCGATGCTCCCGTGCTGCTGGAGGGGACGAACGCAACGGACAAGCTGCTGAGATCCTACGCCCTGAAGCCGACGACAGAGGAGAGCTACGTGCTGAACCAGCTGCTGCATGCAGAGACGAGGGTGCGGAACATCGGGCAAGAGATTTCGACCCTCAGCGACCTGCAAACAAGCAGTCAGACCCTCCTCCAGCAGGCCTCCGACCAAATCTTGAAGCTACAAGCAGTCCTGGTCCAGAAGCTGAGCTTCAAGAAGTCTGCGCTGGAGAGCGGAAATTCCGTGGACTCTGCCTTAATCTCCGGGATCAACTCAGACATCTCCGCCTTGCAGAACAGCATCGGCGCGGCCGAACAGCAGCAGAAGCTGAGCCAGCAGAAGATCACTGAAACCCAGCAAGGAATCCAGCAGCTGGTCGAGCAGGATGCCAAGGCGCAGGCTCAGGTCTTGTCAAGCGGCCTGCAGAAGAACTCGCTGACGTGAGTCTTAATGGGTTTGTTCTGATCGGTTACGAGCGAGTCAGGTACCTGTATCTCATCCTAGACTACAAGAAAGTTGTCAACTCCGTCGAGACGAATGTCCGGGCAAATGTGAGGGCACTTTGAAGTGGAAGCGACTTGTAGTGTTGAGACATATGCCGAAGCGCTGTCGATTTTCGCTCTGGAAGATGGGTTGTGTTGTTATTGCAGTCCCTTATTTGTGATGTGTAGCAGTGGTAGTCTTGTTCAGTTTGCTGTTACTGGAATGTTCGTATGTTGTCGCAACGGCTCCTGCCTGAGTTGCTTTACAGGCGCTGGTGTACAAGGACGTCGATGGGGTCTGGAAGATGATCGACTATCAGACAAGCTCGTGCAACTAGTCAACGTTGCTGAGGGTCGAGCCCTGTGTACATTACAGTGAAGAGATAAGAAGGCTGGTTTGCTGTAGCTCAAGGAAGGAGAGACGGAGAAATGTGTATAAGGCATCTTCAGAGTGAACATGTGTGTGAAGTGAGAGAGATTGGACAGGGGAGGAGATGGGAGGAGTTTGGAAGCGCAACGGCAATCAGGTCTTCGTGTTGTTTGAGATTTACGTGAATGAAAGAGTGAAGGAGAAAGTGGTAGGGACTCTGACAAGTCAAGCCGAGTAATTCTCGTCTCTTCATCTCATACAGCGCGTCATGGCATCAAGGACTTCATGTCATCACTGACGGAGCCTTCCTGCCGGTGAACTCCTCCAACTTGGAGAGCTTCAATGCCAGCTGGAAGAAAGGGTGAGGGCGAGGAGGGGAGATAGACAGGGTTGAGGATGAGGAGTGTGTGAGAGAAAAAGGTAGCCAAGGGTGCTTGAGATAGCCAATGAGGACGGAGGCACGAGCAGCAGCAGCATCAATGATTTACCTCGGCGATCGGCTTCACAGTTTCAAGTGGGTGAGCGTTCAAGTTTCCTGCCAGGTTGTCAGCGGGAGTAGGAGGGAAAGGAAGAAGAGGACGAGGAGAGGGGAGTGAACTGAGGACGGGAGGAGGAGGACGGAGCAACAGGTTCACCTGATGGACCCTCGTACTTCTCGAGGTAGAGGCGGATAGTCGCCCCGACCACTCCTGGTAGCATCGTGAGCGAAAAGAGGAGAACTAGGAGGAGAGTATAGAACGGACGGGGGGAGGAAATGGGCGAAACCAACACTAGAGACGAGAGGAGGGAGGAAAGAAGGTTACTGCAGGACCGAAGCGGGTATGACATCCGGTTGGAGGGGAAGGGTGGGGAGTGGTGGGAGAAGATGAGGGGAGGGAAAAATGGAGTAGAGGAGGGGAAGTTGAGCGCAGAGTAGGGATCGGCAAGGGAACAGGACTGAATCAATTGACCTGTTCCGCTAACGCGGAAGACGATGCGGGAGCCATTCTTGAAGATGAATCGAATGCCCTGCGGTGATGAAATCGTATCACTCGCCCTCTACTCCCTCACCTCTTCGTCCTCTGCTACACATGCTTGTTCTCCCCTCTCCCCTCCTTCTTTCCAAACACTTGTTTTCCCTCCTCAACCCCTTTTTCCCCTTGCACTCCCCGTCTACCCCGCCCGCCACCCTGCTCCTCTCCGATCCTTGCTCCCTACCTGATTGTCGGAGACGGACTTGTCGACAGGGTCGTTGTACTTGAAGACATCAGCAGTCTCAATCTCCATGCTGCAACGAGCAGAAAGATAAAGATCAGTCACAGCGGTAGGATGAGGGAAAGGCGCAGCAGGAAGTCGAAGACGAGGAAGGACGTTTAAAGTGGGGAAGCAAGAGCAAGAGCAAGAGCAAGAGCAAGAGCAAGAGCAAGAGCAAGAGCAAGAGGAGGACGAGGAGGAGCAGGAGAGACAAGGGCGGCGAATTCACCCGTTGAAGGCGTCGGCCGGCCACTTGCCAGCCATGTCCGACATGTACTTCATCATGTTCTCTGCCTGGGCTGCGGTCCAGTGAGTCTCCTCCGCAGCAGATTCCCAGCAAATACCCAGCTCGACCCCCTCGTAGTCATAGCGCACGTAGTAGTTCCTGCCGTACTTGCTCCAGTGAGCTCTCACGATGTCCTCTACGGTGACCAGGGGCTTGCTCTGCAGTGCTTGTGAGGGGTGAGGAAGAGAAGAAAAGAAAAAGGAGGAGAGGAGGAGAGGTGGAGCAGAGGTGGTGAATGAACGTGGATCAGGCATACGATAAGGGAGCCCTGGAAGCGAAGGGGACAGGACTAGGGAAGGGAGGGAGGGGAGGGAGGAGTAGACTCGCAGTGCCTGGTCAGGGTTCTTGGAAGCAAGGATCTACATTCGAGTCAGGAGGGATCAAATCTAGAGCTGGAAATCTCTACCTGCAGCCATGCAAGCACGGCCCACATCCCGTCCTTCTCGCGGATGTGGTTGGATCCAGTTCCAAAGCTCTCCTCTCCGCAGAGGAAGGGCTGGTACTGCTCGCAGTCCCTGCCACGTTACAGTCATGCGGTGCACAGCACCTCCTCCTCCTCATGCATCATGACGTCCCTCCTGCTCCTCGACGCCCCACTCACCTCACCTCACCTCACCTCACCTAACCTAACCTCATCTCATCTCATCTCATGCTCTTGCTCCATCACTTACATGAGGTTGCCGAAGAACTTCCATCCGGTGGGGGTCTCGAAGCAGGGAATCTTCTTGGACTCACAGACAAGGTCGAGAGCTCTGCTGGTCGGCATGCTCCTTGCTGCCGCCTTGAGGCCCTGAGGTGGAAGAGATGTCACTCGAGTACATCCAAAGCGTGTGAAAAACTTACGGATTTTTGGAAGAAAGGAATGCACTCGCTGAAAGTAGAGTGTCAGAAATAGGCATCAAGTTCCAAGAGAGAAAGTCTATCGCCGTCACTCCATCTTCTTGACAGGAACACCGATCACAATCTTGACCACAACATCATCGTAATTGCTATCATCGCTCCAAAAGGGAAAAGCAAATTTTCTCATCGCATATCATTCCCAGCAGTACATCAAAGAAGCAACTACTGCAGAGGAGAAATCAAATTCTCACATGTTGTCAGCGATGATTGCAAGAGAATCTGAGGGGCTAACGAAGACCTTGGATCCTGTGACATGTCGAATCAACCTTCCCTCAACTCATAGACTCTCTCCTCCTCCTCCTCCTCTCCTCCTCCTCCTCCTTCCCAACACCAACCCAGCCTCTAGCCGCAGCCATCCCTCTCACCCAAGATCATGTTGCGGTCAGCATCCCCGTCCGCTGCAGCGCCAAAGGCGGGGATGTCTCCTTTCTGTGTCTGAGTGAGCTACAACATGCTGGCAACGAGAGAAGTAGGATGGAGCGATCAAGGAAGAAGAGAGGATAGAAAAGAAGATGGGAGTGGGGCAGACGTGAAGTACGTACGTGTCCCTCGATCGGCATTCCATCCTTGCCAACTCCCATGCGGTCGCAGAGCTGTGCATCAGTAAGGATGAGAAGGAGGAGACATGGAAGAGAAGGAAAAGAAGGACGGGGAGGAAGAGGGAGAGGAGGACGAGAAGAAAGAGGAAGAGGAGGACAAGAAGGAAGAGGAAGAGGAGGACGGGAAGGAAGAGGAGGAAGAGGAGTCTCGTTCCCTACCTCTCTTGCGTTAGCCAAGTTGGGGTCAGCGTGTCCGTGGGAAGGCGAGTTGGGTCCTCCGAAGTCTTCCTATGGGTTCTGGTGAGCCGCTGCAGCAAGCAGGTCTTGTCCTGACCTTGGGCTCACAATTGAGGAGGATGGATGAGGGAAGGCCGAAGGTATCGCAGAAGACTTTCTTGGCATAGGGGCCCTGGGGACGCGAAGAATCAGCGGAACAAGAGCCTCTACTACCTTGACACCTCCCTCTCCTTCCTCCCCATCTTTCAAGTATTCACCTGAACGCCATGGAGGGCATCGTAGCACATGCTGAAGTCCTTCCTGGAAGGCCAAGCTTTATTAAGGCTAGAAGGCGAACGAATCCTTCACATACCTCGAGACGAACTGCTTGATCTTGTCGAAGTCGAAGCACTTCTTCAAGAGGTTCACTGTTGGGACACACGTCAGTCATCTCTACCGCACAATCTACTGGGATCTTAATCAGCTATCATGGACCGCCGTCGTCACACTCATCTCCCTCCCCCCCCTCCTCCCTTGACATGTCGACTCACCGTGATCTTCGGTGCTGTCGAACACTTCCACCTCGAGGTGCTTCTTCCCATCGGGAGAGTCGTACTGCATCGTATCTTGAGCATGCTCCCTTCATCAACCAGGGCTGTTTTTGCTTCACCTTCGTCTTTCCAATCTTGCTGATGTCGATCTCGGGCAGGTCATCGGCCATCTTCAGCTCAGAGATCTGCTTGGTCTGAACAAACGAGCCCACGTCATCCTTCAGCCTCTAGCATCTCCCAAAAGCCACCTTCTCGAAGATGCTGTTGGTAACTTGCTCAGGAGCAGGAGCTCCATTCATCCCGTTGAACTTGATGCCTGCCAGCCCAGCAAGTCAGGTCAGCACGGTAGAGAGGCGATTATTCACCGAAATCCTCATCGATGCCACCAGGATTGTGGGATGCAGAGAGAATAAAGGCGCCGATGGCCTGCAAAGGTCGTCAGGGAGTCGCCAGGTGACGCGGATGAGCTCGCCTTGAATCCGCCTTCACGGTTGCGCAGGACTGCCGAGGCCTAAGAACACTATCAGAACTTCCGACGAGTGAAAGCTCGAGGGACCGCTGGGGTAGAAAGGAGGCCATTCTGTCCGATCCACAGTCTGAGAGAGCACGCTTTAGCGAGTCATCCGTGACAAAGGTCTCAACCAACCTGTCCACACCAGCAGCAACTGCGATCTTGGCGATGATCTGGATGGCCTCTTTGTTGAAGTAGCGCCCGTCTCCGGAGATGACCAAGGTTCCCTTCTGTTGGGGCGATTGGTAAGGCATCTTTCTTTGCAGAAAGGAGGTGATCGCACCTCGACAGGAACCTTCTGGTCAACGAGAGTATTGAAGACACTCTGGCCACGGCAAGTCATGCCATTGCAGGGTAGTGGATCATTGGCAGTATGCATACCTGTACGAAGTTGGCAAGATAATCCTTCTGCATGAAGTCACGAGTCTTCTTACGAAGTCCTGGAGAGAAGATAAATACATGCTGTGCAGAGCTCTACTTTCAACACACCCGAGGTTCCAGGCTTCTGACCGCTGTAAGGGGTCGTGGGTTTGGTGGTCACCTTGAAGATATCCGGTTGTCCTCCCCTCAACCTCCTGCAAGAGAAACAAATTCAGAGGTACACATCACCAACTCCGAGAGACTGGCATCACATGTTGGTAGAGCTGGTCGTCGCCAAGCTAAGCCTTCCAAAAGGGCTGCAAACAACAAGCAGACATTTCAGGTTGAAATAAGCGTCGCATGCTGATATATGGAAGGTGATTCGCATAGCGCTGCTGAATATTGGTAGAACAAAGCATAGTGGTGGATGCGTCTCAGAAGATGCTGGAAGATTCTATAGAGAGGTGGTTCCAAAGCATCAAGATTGAACAGGCTGAGGCAGAAAGAGCAAGGAAAAACAGAAGAAGCAAAGAAAAACACATCTGAGATGAACATGTGTAAAAGCATCTTGCCTGGCATGGGGATAGAGCATGGAATTCGCCGCGGCAGACGCCAGGAGCAGCAGCAGTGACGAGCCGCGCAGCATGACGGCGACGTGAGGTGTAAGGTTGGGGTGTACAACAAGCTACGATGGGTGGGGTGGGGTACGTGATAGAATTTGAGGGGGTAGTGTAAGCCAGGCATCCGAAACAAAGGGTGAAGGGAAATCAATACCCACCCCAGGAATTCCAAATAAAGTATTAGAAAGGGGGGGTACTGAAATACGAAATTTTCCTTACTGGAATAGATGGGTGGGGTGGGGGGATATAAGGTCAGGACTTCAAGCACCTGTCCCGGCGGGCCCGCGGCCCGGCGGGCGATCAGCGGATGAAGTTCATGACTCAGTGACATGATCCGATCGGCGGTGACGGTGGCAGCGAGTCACTGAGTCGGAGTGTACGGTATACTAGGCTCCGTATGGCGGCGGCACAGAGCCCGGACTCCCGAAGGCTGATGGATCGTATGCCAGCAGTGCCAGTCAGATAGCGCCGAGTGACAAAAACGCTTTCCTAGCCGTCTTTCTCAGTAAGGTCCTCTCATGTCTGGATGCTTGGGTTTTACATCCTAGCATACAGTCTCTGATCTCTCATGTGCTCCTCAATTCTGGTTTTGTGTGCATTAAACTCGGTCTTGAGCAAAAACTGTGTTGTTACAACTAAGCCGGGTCGATGTGATATCTGCGTGACTTTGGCATAGTACAACTCTAACAAGTTGAACAAACTTTCAAACTTGTGCCTCCCGGCGTCAAAGGCAGCCCCGGGGCAAGTGTTATGGGCCCGGCCGTGTGCCAGGAGCCTCAGTGAGAGTATGATGGCAATCGTGCTGAATCCGACGGTGTCACTTTCAACTTCTTTTTATTTGATAGTCGACTCCCGGTAAACAGACTAAACCGGCCCGGCCGGCCCTGGCATGCGGCCCAGGACTCAGCCGGGACTCGCCGCCGGGCCGCCGCCGGGGGCAGCCTAATGAATGTAGTCCCGGGCCTACTTGTCCCGTTGAGGGACCCGAAGGGGGTAGGGTATGAGTTGCAAAGTTTCAGAGGGGTGGGGGTGAATGAATGCTGGTGGTCCGATCGTCAGCCTTTCTGAGCAAAGCAGAGGGTGGGTGGAGTGTCGGAGTGGTGGAACCCGCTCGAGGGTAGGTTATGAGCACTTGTTTTGAAATAGGGTAGGGGTAGTGCCCAACCGCCGAGGCAGAAGGAGTCCGCAATGCAAACGAGACATGCGCGGGAAGATGAAAAAGGGAGATGCGAGCAAGAGATAGATGTCAACAATGCACAGGATTGAGGTTAGACAGAATTTGCTGATGTCTTGCAAGCGATTGTGATGCATAGAGATCAGATTGCCCTTCAAGCTGTAGGTTTGAAACCATGGTAATGGGTAAGATGAAAAACAGGTGGGTTGCTGTTAGCAGACAAGATGGAAAAGTAACTGTGCCGGTGTAACCCTAATTGCAAATGAGGGAAATGCCTTGAATCTCTGTAGAAGGCGAGCTGTAGAGCTTAGATAGCACAAGTACTTCAACATTTTGTCCATTGTTGGCGAAGTAGGGTGAATGAAATTTCTCTGTACAGATATGATCTGGTTCATCTCGACTGATTAACAAGCTTCCATGGTTTGCGTGAGTTCATTCTATTCCGCATTGAACCTAATCTTGACCTGCTGTATCTCTTCCACAGGAGCAAGGAACCTGTCTGTGGGAGGCCCCTGAACAGTCAGGCGAACGACCCACAGGGAGGAGGTAAGTTGAGTGCGATCCCACCAGAGAATACTGAGATGTGCTGATCAGCGGCCACTCTCTGAATATCGTTGGTCGGCGAGCAATCGTTTTTGGAGGCTGCACAGAGCAGGATGATAAGCCAACGATACTCAATGAAGCTTATTGCATTGAATTGTCATCGAATGAGTACAAGTGGTTGAAGTTAGACCCTGAGGATCGAAGCATCCCTCCACCACGATGGAGACATACGGGTAACACCATCAGGTACCTTTTACCATCGCTGTGTAATGGAACTCATGATTTCCAAACCAAGTGATACCGAACTCTTCGTTTTCGGTGGAATTGGAGAAAAATGTAGATTGAATGATAGCTTCATACTTGATCTGGAACCTGAAACACCAATTTGGTCTGATGTCTCATCGAATGGAATTCCTCCAAGCCCAAGGTCGTACCATACTGCATCCCTTTGCAACAAACGAATATACGTGAAGTTTTGCTTTGTTCATGAAAATATATTCCTAAATCCTTCGATAGGTGTTTGGGGGGTATGGTGGTCATGGAGAGAGGAGACAGCATTTCAACGATATGCACATTTTTGATATCGAGACAAGGACTTGGCTAGGAGAGGAGAATGGAATCTCTGTAGAACGAGAAGGTTTTCATCGTATCAAACCAAGATTGATTCTAAACCACCTGCAGGTGGCATCAAAACTGAAGGCAGTCTGCCCTCACCAAGATGCAATCATACCACGAATGTGATTGAAAAGACATTCCTGATTGTCACTGGAGGGAGAGACTCGAATCAGTACTTTGATGATACTCACATTTTCTGCACGGCAACGTTTACTTGGACTCAAATACGTATGCATGTACTTTGTTTGTGAGGTAAACTCAAATACATCTTTTCAGGAAACCTCGCAAATCCGACCGCTCCTACACGCTTATGCAGCCATCTTGCTGAAGGAGTGCAATCAGTACCAAGCTACTACCTGTTCGTTTTCGGAGGTCAAACTTCACATGAAAAAAATCGTGAGCCCCAAAACATGTCGAAAATCAGACTGAATGATGTTGTTTCAGGGACTGATTGGTCTTATCGATCGAAGGTTGATGTTTTAGACTGCAAGTCAATGACATGGTTGTCCTCGCAAGGAGTGGTAAGCTCTTTATTTCAAGTTACCGGGTACAAGATCATGACCCAGCTAATACACGTAATCACAGGTGCAAGGAGTTGGTCCGAATGCTAGAGAGGATGCAGCTTGGGCCTTTGACCCAAAGACGGCTAAGATTCTTATGTTCGGAGGGTGGTCCAATGATTGGCTTGACGACTTCTTTACACTTGACGTTTCCGGAATTGTTGGCCCCCCATACGCGGTTCAACGTTTAGAACCAGATGAAGGTCCTATCACAGGAAAAACAGAGGTGATCGTACATGGACTTGATTTCTCCAAGGGAAAGATCACGATCAAATTCACGGATGGGAGAAATGAAGAAATTTCTGAAAAGACTGAATTCATATCTCCTACACAGCTTCGATGCTTATCGCCAGACTGGAGCAAATTCGGACCAGGAGAAGTCTTCGTCAGAGTTTCAATTGGTGGAGAAGGATTCACTGTCAACCGCGTGAAATGGACATACTACGTCAACACGAAACCACAGAAGTGTATTGCATATGGTCCTGGCATCTTTGATAAGGGAGGAATGTGGGGCTTCCCTGCTGTCTTCAAGATACAAGCCAAGGACACCACTGGTCGAAATCGATCATCTGGTGGAGAGGCGGAGTATTGGAAGGTCAAAGTAAGATATGGAGAGATCAAACTCAAGACAAAGCTGGTTGATAACAAGGATGGCACATACGACGTCTCTTATATCCCACCAGGACAGGGAGGAGTCGAAATAGAAGTAGCCTACGATGATCCTGTACAAGGAAGTATCATTCCTATCCGAGGATCTCCTTGGAAGTCATATTTCGAGAATCCATGGGTCAAGTGTAAAGTGCAAGGTCAACCGCCAAGATACAGTCAGGGCATGCAAGCTACCACGCTGATGAAAAAGATTGTTTACTATGGCGGAAGCTCATCGGTGAATATCTTTGATTCGGAGCAACTCAAGTGGGAAATTCCCGAAATCGAAGGGAAAGCTCCTGATGACCGTATGTTTCATTCCTTCACTACTCTAGACAACGAGAAAATGCTTGTTTTCGGAGGGCAAAAACCTGCACCCGAGGACGCCGATCCTGAGACTCAGCCTCCTGCTGACTTCAACTCAGTCCATGTCCTGGTATGTGAAAAAGGGACTTGGAAATGGGCTCCTTCTACAGACATTGCCGGCGACAAGCCAGGAATTACTGCAAAGCATTCTGCATGTTTAATCCCTCTTGGGAAGAAAGTGCTTGTGTTTGGCGGTGTTGACAAAGAAGGTAACAGGAATGATGACCTCCGTATCTTATCAGCACAGAACATCAACAAGATGGATTGGCTTCATATTGGCAAATCTTCCAACTCAGGAATTGAGAGGATCAGCTCCTCCCAAGAACCAACAAGTGAAGATGCAACAACGAACAACCAGTCGGAAACGGGAGCAGAGAACGCTCACGACACGAACGCAAAGGACTCCAAGACAGAAGCTGATGCGAATGAGCCTACGGGTCAAGAACCACCAAAATCAGAAAATGAAGAAGCTGAGCCAGAAGAGGGTGAAGCCGAAGCGACTGAGGAGGATATGAATCTTCCTTTGACAGCACCAGGCAAACGTCTTGGAAGTGGAATTGCTTTTCTCGAGGGAAAGGTCTACTTGTTCGGTGGTGACGCAAGTCACGATGATGGTACGAACATGTTCACGAACATCATGTCTATCGGTACAATCAAAGGAAACAATCCCAAGAATTTCGAAAAAGGAGACCAAATATTGTGGGAGAATTGTGAAGTTTCTGGAGATGTCCCGAAGCCTAGATCAGACTTTATCATTAGTGTCCTCGATGGAAAGATCGTTGTCTACGGTGGTTACGACAGACAAGGCAAGATGCTGGATGACATGTACCAGTTCGACCCTGACACGCAAGAGTGGACGTGCATTTATTCGTCAGATGGTTCGATGGCACCATTGAAGCCCATATCTACCTTCGTCCAAAAACGATTGTTTTCCGTCAGTGGCAAGAAGGACCTGGAGGATGTCCGTGTGTTAGAATTTGGAAGAATCGCAGAGCAGTCCAACTTCTTCGCAAAGATGTCGACAAGAGTTGTTGAGGAACTTGAAAGGCTTTTCAACTGGGAAAGATCAGCTCTTGCAGACTTGAATGTCGATCCAAATGCTGGAGAAACAGAAGATAAGCAGAGAGATCTGCTTTTGAAGGTGAATGGGAGAATCTTTGAGTATAAACAAGAAGAACCCAACATTGAGCTTCAGCTTGATGTCCTGAAGGATGCAATCGGCCTAATTTCAAAGAACGGAATCAATGTTGAGAAGAGTGAAGCTCAAATGACTGAAGTGGTCGAACACTGGGGACATCTGAAAAAGCAAGCTCCGATTGCAAAAGAACTCGGCAAAAAAGTTCAAGAACGCGAGGCCTTGAAGATTAAGAACAACATTCAGAATTTCGAAAGCAAAGTCAAAACATACCAATATGAATTCCGAAAGAAGCCATTGTTTGAATTCAAGACTGGTGTCGGACAGGCATATCAAGACATCTTTCGGACAAGGAGTGAGTTGTTGAAGCTCGAAGATGAATTTGCCGATCTTTCAAACTTTGCGAGGATCTTCGAATTCCCTGAATTGATGGAGCCAACCAGAGCACTGCAAGACCAATGTCATTCTGAGCTGCAGCAAATTGTGCAAATGTGGCATATGGTGGATATGATTGAATATCAGGTTGGCCAGTGGAAGACCACCCTTTGGAACGACATCGATTGTGAGTCGATGGAAGAACGAGCAAAAGGACTTTTTAAACAGCTGAGATCACAAGACAAATTTGTGAAGCAAACTGATTGTTTCGTAGTCTGTGAACAGAATGTGAAGAACTTTCTTTCTACAATCCCCCTCGTGTCAGATTTGAGACATCCTAGCATGCGGGACAGACATTGGAAAATGCTCATGGATTTGACAGGCGTCAAATTTGTCATTGACGATGCATTCAAGCTGGATGATTTGTTACGACTTGAATTGCATAAGTTTGAAGATGATGTAGGAGAGATTGTAAACAGAGCTCAAAAGGAGGAAAAGATGGAGCAGGCTCTGAAGAAAATCGGTAGTACATGGATTGGGCTTGAGTTCAATTTCATCCAGCACAAGGACACTGATGTGCAGCTGATAAAGTTGTCAGAGGAAGATTTTGAGACCCTCGAAGATCATCAACTGCAAATTCAAAATATGATGGGGTCTCGCTATCTCTCTACTTTCGAAGATGAAGAAATCTGCCAGGGTGCTCAAGTACAGACTGTGTCAAGCTGGCAGAAGACACTGTCAGCAGTCTCAGATGTGGTTTCTATCATGAATGAAATTCAAAGGACCTGGGCTTATCTCGAAACGCTTTTCATTGGGTCAGATGAAGTCAAAAAGGAACTTCCTGAGGACACGGAAAGGTTTGCTGGAATTGATAAAGATGTAAGGAAGGTTCTCGCGGATTTTTCTCAAATCAAGCTTGCTGCTAAAGCATGCACGGTTGATGGAGTGCTGAAGTTGTTGGAGGAGACGCAATACAAACTAGAGCTTTGCGAGAAATCCCTTGCAAATTATCTTGAACAGAAGAGGAGAATATTTCCAAGATTTTACTTTGTGTCAACCTCTGATTTGCTTGATATTTTGTCAAATGGTATATCTTTGAAGGGCAACTGATTGTTTGAACTGACTGATTCTGCACAGGAAATCAACCGGACAAAGTGAATTTTCACATGCCGAAGATCATCGCTGCTGTGGATCACCTCGACCTCAACCCAGGTCCCAGTCCGCAAGATAGACCATCAGCCACAGGGTTGGAGTCTTGTGTTGGAATAGAGCATATCGAGTTCACAAAACCTCTGAAAGTCGAAGGAAGGGTTGAGTATTACCTACAGGACATTCAGAACAGACTCACCGAAAGCTTGCGTGACATTATGTTCCAGAGCTTGCAATCATTTGCCACTAAATCTTCTGTTGGAGAATGGTTGAAGTCTGTTCCCAATCAAATCATTTTGACAGTGAGTCTTTTAGATTTCACGACTAAAATGAGAGAAACTTTCCATAATCTTTCCACAAACCCAAATGCAATGAAAGAAATGGCAGATTCCAAAATTGAGGGCCTTACTTCGTTGATCGATTTGGTTCGAACGGACTTGAGCAAAGCGGACCGAATGAAAACCATGTGTCTGATTACGCTAGACGCACATTCAAGAGATATTATCTTGAAGCTTGTCAACTTCAATGTGACAGATATAAATCATTTTGAATGGCAGTCCCAGCTTCGCTTTGAATGGAGAGAAAGTGAAGGGGATTGTTTCGTTTTAATCGTTGATGCAGAATTCAAGTACGGATATGAATATATCGGGAATGGAGCCAGGCTGGTAATTACGCCACTGACTGATAGAATTTACGTCACTGCTACTCAAGCTTTGAAACTTTGCATGGGATGTGCTCCCGCTGGACCCGCAGGAACAGGAAAGACGGAAACAACGAAAGATCTGGGTGCAATGCTTGCAAAGTGTATTTATGTGTTCAATTGCGCTCCAGAGATGGACTACAAATCAATGGGAGACATCTGGAAAGGTCTTGGTGCATCAGGTGCCTGGGGTTGCTTCGATGAATTCAACCGCCTCATTGCAGAAGTTTTATCGGTCTGTTCTACACAATATAAGAGTGTCCTGGATGCAATCGTAGCCCAAAGAAAGACCTTTGTGCTTGAAGGAGCTGAACTGAAACTTGACCCCACGTGTGGTGCCTACATCACGATGAATCCTGGGTATCTTGGAAGGACACCTTTACCAGAGTCGCTGAAGGCTTTGTTTCGTCCAGTTACTGTTGTTGTCCCAGATTTTGCTTTGATCGCCGAAAACATGCTAATGGCAGAGGGGTTCACGCAAGCAAAGCTTCTTGCGGTGAAATTCATAAATCTTTACACCCTTTGCAAGGATCTCTTGTCTAAGGCTATGCATTATGATTGGGGTCTACGTGCTATCAAGAGTGTTTTGAGAGTGGCCGGCGACTTCAAACGTAATGAGCCAGAGAAGTCAGAAATCACTTTGTTGTTCCGATCTCTGAGAGACTTCAATCTTCCCAAGATTGTTGGTGACGATTTGATCATTTTCATGGGATTGTTGGGGGACTTGTTCCCAGGAGAAGATGTTCCTCGGCAGCGCGATTGGGATCTCGAAAAGAAGATCGAAGAATGCTTTGTAGATGTTGGATATCAGCCAGAGGAAAATGCCGTTTTGAAGACTGTTCAACTGTCTGAGTTGTTGGCTGTGCGACATTGCGTATTCATCATGGGAACTTCAGGAACAGGAAAATCAACCTGTTGGAAAATATTGGGTGCTGCGAATGGTAAACGCGGATTGAAGACAACAATCAAAGATTTAGATCCAAAGGCTATCCAAACGACCGAGTTCTATGGATATATTAATTTGACGACTCGAGAATGGAAGGATGGAATATTTTCCATGCTCTTGAGAGAAGCTGCCAACGCTCCCGGAACTGATCCAAAATGGATTATCTTGGATGGAGATTTGGATGCCAACTGGATCGAATCGATGAATTCTGTGATGGATGACAACAAGCTGTTGACACTTGCATCTAATGAAAGAATAGTCATGAAGCCTCATATGCGATTGATTTTTGAATTGAGGGATCTCAAATATGCTACTCCAGCAACATCATCAAGAGCCGGGGTTCTATATATCACAGAAACGAAGCAGTGGTACAATTTTATACAAACATGGGTGATGAAACGAGAAGACGACTCTCCTGAAAGGAAAAGCCTCTTGTTGGAGCTATTTTCTACTTATGTTCCTGACACTCTCTTTGCAATCAAGAAAGAGTTTCGTCATATGCTTCCCGATTTCAACTGTTTAGATTTTAATATGGTTCAGTCATTGACAAGGGTCTTGGACGGTCTGCTGACCAGTGAGAATGTTCCCAAAGACATGGCGAACGAGGCTACCGTCATTGAAACATACTTTGTCTTCGCTGCAATATGGGCCTTCGGGGCTGGTTTCACAATCACAGACGGAATAGACATGCGAAAAAATTTCAGCAACTGGTGGAAATCGAAATGGACTCGAGTGAAACTGCCAACAAAGGGGATGATCTATGACTTTTTTGTGGACAAGGCCACCAGTAAGTTCACCCCATGGGCGCAGGTAGTGCCACAAATCGTGTACGAATCGAGCGTACCGATGGACTCTGTGACTGTACCCACTGGCGAGACTCAGTCGATAACCTTCTTCCTCGATCTGCATGTTGAGCTCAGATATCCTGCTCTGTTGATCGGGCTTGCTGGTGCTGGCAAGACCGCCATGATCAACGGCAAACTGAGAAGCCTCAGCGAAGACTTCATGTCTCTCACTATGAACTTCAACTACTACACTGATGGTAGTGGCTTCCGGTCTATGCTTGAAGCCCCGCTCGAGAAGAAGGCTGGAAGAAACTATGGTCCCCCGGGAAGCATGCGCTTGGTCTACTTTGTGGATGATTTGAATATGCCCCAGCTTGATCCATATGAAACTCAGTATCCCATCTCGCTGCTCCGTCAGTACATGGATTACCAGCACTGGTATGATATGGCGAAGCTGCAGCTGAGAGTCATTCAGAATGTTCAATTCTTGTGTGCTATGAATCCAACGTGTGGATCCTTCGTGGTGAACCCTCGACTGCAGCGTCATTTCATGATCTTCGCGATAGGGTTCCCCGGCTCAGAAGCCCTGATGACTATCTTCTCAACCTTTTTGAAGGGACACTTGAAGAACTTCGGGGACGCTCTCAATGATGAACAATTTGCACATAAACTTATCCAGGCAGCACTTGAATTGCATAACAAAGTCGCCAACACCTTTCGCAAGACTGCCATTAACTTTCACTATGAGTTCTCGATCAGGCATCTTGCCTCGATCTTCAAAGGCATGCTCATGTCCGAGCCTGCATACTTCTCTGAGCAAGCGAAATTCGCTTCTTTGTTCATACACGAGTGTGAAAGGACTTACGGGGACAGGCTTGTATCCACCAAGCATTTGGACGACTTTCAAAAGATTGCCAAGGATGTCGGCAAGAAATACTTTAAGGATTTGGATCAAAGCATCGTATTCCCAACCCCTCTGATCTTCTGTCACTGTTGGAAGGATCTTGATGAGAAGAGCTACAACAAAGCTGAAAGCATGGATTCACTCAGCCACATCCTCAACATGGCTTTGAACTCTTACAATGAGACGAATGCCGCCATGAATCTCGTTCTGTTCGAAGATGCAATGAAGCATGTGTGCAGAATATGCAGAATCCTTCAGAACGGACATGGATTGATGGTCGGAGTTGGAGGGTCGGGTAAGCAATCTCTTTGCAGGCTTTCTGCGTTCATTTGCAACTGCTCTGTGGTTCAAATCGCCATCTCTGGGACGTATGGAATGGGTGATTTGAAGGAAGATATCAAGCAGATGTACTTCAAGGCAGGACTGAAAGGAGAGCAGATAGTCTTCATGTTCTTGGATTCACAGATTGCTGATGAGAGATTCCTTGTGTATTTGAACGAGATGTTGTCATCTGGAAAGATTCCTGGTTTGTTCGCACCCGACGAGGTTGACACCATTTACAACACGATTCGAAATGAAGGGAAAGGAGAGGGTGTCCCCGATGCGAAGGATCCTATGTTTGAGTTCTTCATCGCCAAAGTGAAGAAGAACTTGCACGTGTGCCTCTGCTTCTCTCCTGTTGGAGACGCTTTCAGAAGGCGAGCTTCGCGCTTCCCTTCTCTGATCAACTCGACTGTCATCGATTGGTTCCAGCCATGGCCCGAGACTGCCTTGTTCGATGTCGCCAAGAGATTCCTTCATGACAACGACCTCGGAAAACCAGAAACCAAAGAAGTCATCACCAAATTTATGCCATTCTCCTTCGGTCGAGTCAATGAAGCCTCAGAAGAGTATCTAGCGCAGGAGAAACGATACAACTACACCACACCAAAGTCATTCCTAGAGCTGATATATCTATACAAGAACATGTTGGCCAAGAAAAGATCAGATTTGGAAGCAAACATATTGCGTTTAAGCAATGGTCTCGACAAATTGGAACATACTGCCTCTGATGTTGCCATTCTCGTTGAGCAAGTGAAAGTGAAGTCTGTTGAAGTAGAAGCAGCTAAGGTGAAAGCTGACGAAGTTGCGGAAGTAGTCGGAGGAGAGAAAGCCAAGGTTGAAGAAGCTGCGGCTGCGGCGCAAGAGGAGGCAGCCAAGACTGCTGTGATTGCAAACAACGCATCGATCATGCAAGAAGATTGTGAGAGAGACCTCGCTGCTGCTATTCCCGCAGTCGAGAAGGCTGAAGCTGCGCTCGATACCCTCAACAAAAAGGATCTCGGAGAGTTGAAGAGTATGGGAAAACCACCTCCAGGTGTAGACGATGTCACTGCTGCAATCTTGGCTATTCGAGGAGAGGGGCCCAAGAACAGAGATTGGAACGCAGCAAAGAATATGATGAAGGATGTCAACAAGTTTATCGAAGACTTGAAAGGATTGAAGCAAGTCATCGACAATTCCCAGATGCAGGCAAAGTTTGTTGAAGCAGCAAGGCCATATTTGGCTTACGAGCATGTGAAGGACACTGAAATCATGAAGAAAAAGTCAAATGCTGCAGCAGGTCTTTGCGAGTTTCTTCTCAACATTGTCGTTTATTACGACATTGTTGTGACTGTCGAACCGAAGCGTCAAGCTTTGAAACAAGCACAAGACGAGCTGGAGGCAGCAAACACGAAGCTGGCTGAGGTCAACGCGCATGTGGCTGATCTCGAGGCCAAGCTCGCGGTCTTGATCCAAGAGTATGACAAGGTTGTAGCCGAGAAGAACGCTGTGGTTGCAGAGGGCGAGCGCCTCCAGAACAAGCTCGGTCTGGCTCAGCGCCTGATGGCTGCCCTCGGCTCAGAGCAGGAGCGATGGGCAATCAATGTCCAACAGATGAAGGCTGATGCTGAGCTGCTACCTGGTGATGTCTTGATAGCGTCTGCTTTCGTCTCGTACGTAGGATGCTTCAACAAGCTGTTCAGGAACAAACTGATCAACGACGTTATGCTTCCCTACCTCAAGCAGAACAACGTCCCGCTGTCCGGCAACCCCGATCCCATGTCGATCCTTACAGACCCTGCTCAAGTAGCGCGCTGGAACAGTGAGGGCCTGCCGTCCGATCGAGTTTCGATTGAAAATGGCGCAATCACCACCTACGCCGAACGCTGGCCGCTCATGATCGACCCCCAGCTGCAAGGGATTGTATGGGTGCGAGAGAAGGAGAGCAAGAACAACTTGCAGGTCACCAGGCTGGGTACAAAGAAACTCCTGGAGACGATGGAAAGAGCCTTGGAGTCTGGTTGGTCAGTGATGATTGAAAACCTTCAAGAATCGCTCGATGCGGTGATTGGCCCAGTCATTGGACGTCAGAAGACCAAGAAGGGAAGAAACTTTTTTGTGAAGCTCGGGGACAAGGACGTCGAATATAACGACAACTTCAAGCTCATTCTACATACCAAACTTGCCAACCCGCATTACCCCCCTGAAGTTCAGGCGGAGTGCACTCTGATTAATTTTATGGTCACCGAGGTGAGTCAACCGCCGTTTTCTTCAGTGATCCTGTTACAATACCCGCTTGACTTGTTTCTTTAGGATGGTTTGGAGGATCAGCTGCTGGCGAAAGTTGTTACCAAAGAAAGGCCAGATCTTGAAGAAGAGAAAACGACCTTGATAAAACAGCAGAATGAATTCACCGTGAGGCTGAAGCAGCTTGAAGACGATCTGTTGAGAAAGCTGGCCGAAGCTCAAGGAGACATCACTGAAGATGTCGCCCTGATCGAGTCCCTGGAGGACGCGAAGAAGACTTCGATCGAGATCAACGAGAAGGTAAATTGCCATGAGAAGTTGTTGCACGAAGAGCGCTGATGCTTCATGTGATAGGTTGCAATCGCCAAGGAGACAGAGATTACCATTAATCAAGCTCGTGAGGATTACAGAGGTGTGGCGAACAGAGGAGCTCTGCTCTTCTTCGCTCTGGGAGAAATGTTCAAAGTGCACAGCTTCTATCACTACTCCCTTGCAGCCTTTACTGCTGTGTTCCTCAAATCCATCGACTCGGCAGGCAAGAAGTACGTGGGCGATTCCATGCACGTCCAAAAGTTGATACAATGCACCAAAGGAAACAACCCGTGAGTGTTGGAGACTTCCCCTGGTGTGGTTGTCATTGACACTTGACTTCAGGTTCAAGAGGTTCCGTGTTGCTGCAATGATGATCAAAGCTGGGCTGAAAGGAAAATTGGAGAATGGGGAGATACAAACAAATGAAAACATCGACCTCTCCAACAGATTGAGAGAGTTGACGTATTCGATCTCGTATGGTATTTACAATTTCACAAGGAGAGGGCTATTTGACGAGCACAAGCTCTTGTTCGTTACCAGCATCTTCTTGAAGATCTTGCAGAGAAACCCTGAAATTCATGTCTCCAATGAGCACAAGGGCGAGCTCAATCCGGATGAAGTGCAGTACATGTTGAAAGGGACGAAGAACATGAACGCACCTCTAATGAGTGCCGAGGTCTCTGCTTTCATCAACGAGAATGCCTGGCAATCGGTCTGTGGGCTTGCAGAGATACCAGCCTTCCAAAAGATCACACAGGACATCGAGTCCGGTGCCAAGCAGTGGGAAGAGTGGGTGAAGCTGGAGCAGCCAGAGTTGAAGCCACCTCCTGGGGAGTACGGCAACTACGCAGAATTCCAGAAGCTCTGCATATTGCGAGCTCTGCGTCCGGATCGTCTGACGGCTTCCCTGCGGACTCTCATCATTCAGAGGTTCGGGAAGATGTTCATTGATGAGGAGGCATTCAACATTTTCTCAATCTACCGCGAGACGGCCCCGCAGACCGCAGCCTTCTTTTACCTCTTTCCAGGAGCGGACGTAGTGGCGGATCTTGACCCTCTGCTGAAGAAGAAGGGCTTCTCCGTGGAGAATGGAATGTTCATCAACATCTCCATGGGTCAGGGCCAGGAGCCAGTGGCAGAGCAAGCGCTGGACAGGTGCATGAAGGAGGGAGGATGGGTGTTCCTTCAGAACATCCACCTCATGTCCTTGTGGGTCAAGGTCCTCGAGAGAAAGCTCGAGGCCTCACAAGAGGGGACTCACCCTGACTTCCGATGCTTCTTGTCGTCGGAACCTCCTCCTCTGCCCTGGCAGCAGACCATTCCTGAAGCGATCCTGCAGAACTCCATCAAGGTGTCGAACCAGCCAGCTCAGTCCCTCCGCGCAAACCTGCTAAGGGCCTGGCAGGCATTCGACCAGAACTTTATAGACACGTGTCACAGGAAGGAGGACTTCAAGCCTGTGCTGCTAGCCCTCTGTTGCTTCCATGCCCTCATCAACGGCCGTCGAAAGTTCGGCTTCATCGGTTGGAGCTGCAGCAACATCTACGGTTTCACCATGGGCGACCTGGCGCAATGTGCTCAGGTTGCGGTGAATATGTTGAATGCAAGGACAGGGTCACGAGCGAACGAAGAGGTCCCGTACGCGGACCTGAAGTACATCTTCGGAGAAATCATGTACGGAGGACACATCACTGACAAGTGGGACCGACGTACCAACGTGACCTACCTCGAGACCCTCGTGATCCCTCAGATCTACCAGGAGGGGCACGAGCTCTTCCCAGGGTTCAAGTCCAAGCTGAAGGGCAACTACGAGGAGTACCTGAATCACATCGACTGGAACCTTCCACCTGAGACCCCCGTCGCCTTCGGGCTGCACCCCAACGCGGACATCTCGTACCTGAACAACGAGTGCTTCAACTTGTTCAAGCAGTTAATGGAGCTTGGAGGAGGAGGAGGGGGAGGAGGAGGGGCCTCGAAAGAAGATGTCATTGCAAAGCAGGTGACAGACTTCCTCGGGAGACTTCCTGAGGACTTCAACATCTTCGACATCAAGACCAGGATCGGACCCCCCGAGAATCTCACCCCTTACCTTGTGCTGCTGCTCCAGGAATGCGAGCGAATGAACATCCTACTCGGCACCATGCGCAAGTCGCTGATCGACCTGCAGCTGGGGCTGCAGGGAGCCCTGAACATCTCCGACATGATGGACAAGCAGATGACGTCGATGTTCATGGATCAGATCCCATCGGTGAGGCCTGTGAACACTCTTGTTTGACCTCTGACTCGCTCTGCAGACGTGGGAGAAGGATGCATGGAGGACCTTGAAGTCGCTGCCTGTCTGGTTCCAGGACGTGCTGGATAGGATCAAGCAGTTCGCAGACTGGGCTGACTCGCTGAAGATGCCTCCCTCCGTCTGGCTGTCGGGGACGTTCAACCCGATGGCGTTCGTGACTGCCGTCATGCAGACGACAGCGAGAGCGCACCAGTGGCCTCTTGATGACGTGGAAACGTTCACGGACATCACTAAGATGGAGTGGGAGCAGCCGGAGGGGCAGCCGGAGGAGGGCGCCTACATCCATGGCCTCTTCATCGAGGGCGCTAGATGGGATCGTGAGGTAGAGCTGGAGCATGCTGCGAGGGAGATGACTTTCCTGACTTATCCTTGTGCAGGCCGACGAGCTGCGAGACTCTATTCTACGAGAGCTCGCCCCCCCAATGCCAGTCATCCACCTCAAGGCCATCCCGACCAAGGAGAGGAGAATGACGGGGTACTACGACTGCCCGGTGTACTACGTCTCGCAACGAGGCGGAGGCAACCCGCCCGGTTCCTACGTGTTCTTCTCTCAGCTCAAGACCTCCGAGCCTACTGTGGTGACCCTCTACGGCATCTACTGTTACAAGTGGGTGCTGGCAGGAGTTGGGATCCTGTTGCAGATAGACTAAGCACAAGTCACAGTCTTAGATCGAGCCAGATGCATCTGGCTCACGTACACTAGCGCTAGTGTATGTTTGTTGAAGAACAAGTGCCTGATACTGCTAACTCCCGTACTTGGCACTTGTCCAGGGCTGGACAGGCGGAATGGGTGAGTCTCGTTGATTAAAGTTGTGAATCGACCAGAGGGTTCGAACCTGCGACCAGACGTCACACGCGCATGTGCGGACGAAGGGAGGAATGAGCGTACGAGGTAGAGGGTGAATATGCCCAGCCACACGGTGGTCATTCCCAGCTGCAAGTTCTGCCCGCAAACAGGTCAATCAAAGTGCATCCGGCTCCAGGTCGCCCACCTTGCCCGCCAGCAGGACCAGTGCAAGTCCACACGCCCCGAACATCATCCCCCTCACCACGATTTGATAGAACTTGGCTGCAAGCGCGTCAGTCCTGCGCACGAGTTGTCGGTCCCTCACCGGCGATGAAGATCGACTCCACGACGTCGCACAAGGCCGACAGGGGCATGATGCAGGCCACCAAGGGAAGCTGCTGTGACGCGAACGACTGGTGTGGAGTGAGACTAGCGAGATGCTGGTGCGATTGCTCCACCTGAACGATCTCGCTGCTTGTCATCACCGATGGAATCCACGAGCTTCCTAGGATGACGATAGCAGCTCCTGTCATGCCGAGCGACGTGCTGCATGAGGAGAAGGAGGGGAAGGAGAGGGCGAAAGTCAGTTTGCAACAAACAAGTGGTAATGATGAGTAGAGTGACATTGAGGAGGTGGAAGGGGATGGCTTTACCTGATGCCCATAACCCTCATGGAGACCTTCCGAGCCTGTTTGCCCTGAGCACTCTCGACTCCCCCCCACTCCTCATCGCACCTGATCGAGTTTCGACATCTTCTTGGTCGCATTCCACTCAGCCAGCAACGTCGCCACGAGCGTCTGCTCTAGTCAGGCCTCCCCTCCCTCCCTGCACTGCATCCTCACCTGGCCTGCGACCGACATGGGCCACCAGAGCACGGAAAGGAGGGACCAACACTGCCCAGTAGCTCAGAGGGTCCAACGAGCCAGTAGGGGAACCTGACGAACGATCTCCGAGCTTGCGACAGCGGCAGAGCCGAAGGATGAGGCCATCCGTGTGGTGGCGGTGAAGGAGAATTGCTCGACGAGCTGAGAGGTTGGTGAATGAGGAGGAGATGAAGGCGAAACGAGGAGGTCAGACCTTCCTGAACGTCAAGGCCCCTCCGGGAGCGCAGAGGTCGAGGAACAAGCTTCTCTCAGGCAGCCTGCGATGCGTGAGCGCGTCTGACGTTGGAAGTGAGGAGACGATCTGACCGGCAGAAGTCTTTGAGTCGCAGCCTCTCGTGCTTGACAAGGAGGAACGTCAACGCTATACAGCTGCCCAGACTCGTCACGTCGTTGTCTCCCTCCATCGTCAGCTTGCCTGCAGTATCGAGAGAGAGCGTCCGCGAGCCCAGCACCCGCCACACCCTAGGCAGAAGCATAAGAGACAGACAGGAGCCCTTGCGATGGTGCATACCAGCCCGATCTTGAAGAGGAAGATGTATCCCATGCACACCTTACACAAGCTGGTGCGGTCAGAGGTGAGATGAGGGCAGCTGGAGTTGTCCTACCTGCTCAGGACGTTTCCGACGAGAGGAGTAGTGAGATCTTTGTATCCCCGATAAGCTCCGATGATGGAGAAGAAGATGATAGTCGCTGGGATCCCCAAACTCTTTCCTTACCGTCACTGAAAGTAGCACATCCACACCTCTCTCACCTTGCTCCTCATGTATGCTACTGCATACGGAAACGCCTCGGCACTGTTGCTTCCTCCCACCAGCGCGACGAGGTTGGGAGCGAAGTACCATGCCAGGCTCGAAGACGCGAGGCCGAGGATGGACGCGAAGATGATCGAACCGGCGATGACTCTGGAGCCTTCAGCTGAAACCTCCTCGAGGCTTGCGCGAGGCTCTTGACTAGAGAGTTCGTGCGCGTCAGCTGCACTGTAGGACTTGGCCAGGACTTGAGCGAGAGTTGTGGTGGTGGTCACGACCATGAAGAAGAAAGTGAACCCAAAGTAGTTGAGGATCGTGTTTGACATCCCGACACCCGCCAGGCTGAGCGCTGCTTCCGGAAGCCGCCCGATGAAGGAAACGTCGATGAGGGTGGTGATAGGATCCAGCAGAACGGCTGTGTAGCTGGGTATAGCCATGCTGATGATCTCACGGTCGTACTTTCTGTCAAAGACCGACCATTGCTTCCATGATTGACCCTCAGCTTTTCCCTTGTCTTGCTGGTTATGCTCCACTCCTTGTGGGATCTTGTCTGTTCCTGACACAACTTGGTTGATGTCGGTGTTAGATTTTCTGTCGCCCTCGCCTTTGAAGTCATTGCTCACGCTCATGTGCATGCCTCTCATGGGGCAACGAACAGACTTCATGGTCCGCAGACACAATCGCCTGAAGCTCAAACCCGACGAAACTACCTTCACCTCCTCGTGTACATGCTGCTTGAAGCTCATCATAGTGAAGGAGTCGGTCAAAGTTGCGACGCTCATCAGCATCATAGCAAGTAGATGACCCCTCATGGCCTTGCTTTGGGCGATCCTTATGCACTGGGGCGATCACGAGCCGCAACAGACTGACATTCCTTCTCTTCTCTTGGATGTCTTCCAGTTCCACCCAGCCATTTCTACCTGCACATCTTCATCCCATGATCATCTCCTTCTCCCACTCCTCCTCCTCGGCCATCTTCCAACTGTCGCGCTCCCGCTCCCGCTCCCGCTCCTCTCGCGCCCTCCTCCCCTGCCTGCATCGCTTGTATGTCTCCCACAAATTTGACTAAAATGTCCACAATTGACTGAAAATTACATGGCCCTCATCCCCACGAGGAGACGGCATGGCGGGAATTTTTTGTGGAAAGTGGAGGATCCGAGGCAGAGGAGGAAGGGGGGGGAAGGGAGGGAGGATGAAGTGAGAGGAGGAGAGTAAGAAACGAAGTTGATAGCCGAGCAGCAAGAGAGACGCAGGGGTGGATCAGGGAAGGGGGGCGGATTGGGAGATGTGACGCGTGTAGGAGACACAGGACGGAAGGGGATCCGTTGGGTTGGCGAGCGAACGATAGTTAGGTTGACTAGGAAGATCTCTACAGGATTCAGAGGATGGATAGAAGATCGACTTTGTTGAAAACTTGGAGATATTCTGAAGATGACGGGGCGGTAGCATGGTCAGCGCAGGAGCAAGGAAGTGGTACACGCTGTTGGACTGAGGGTGACGATGGGCTGCATGCAGGACGAGGTTGATCATGGGGTCTAAAGACAACGACCAAAATGATGAATCCAAGGACACGGTATGAGACTGATGATCAGGTGGATGCCGAGCTGACTTGTGAGTGCCCAGGTTCAGTCAAACAACTACCAGCAATGGAAGAAGCACACCCCACTTCTCTATGACACGTGATCCTGCTGGTCTCTCCTCGAGCACGTCGATAACATCTTGTTGTAGACTCATCAATCATCACCTGACTCATCCTTCCTCTTGCATCCGCTGGGGGCATCGCTTGGGCGAAGAACAGAACCATATCATTCAGCGGTGAAAAAAGCCGTGAATTTTTTCTTCACTACAGGCTTGAACTTGCTGCAGTGTGTACTACTGTGAGCGCGGTGCTGCTCCCAACACAATCATATCCGCCAATGTCAAGATTGCAAAGCCAAGGACAACAGATCCAATGAAAATGGCAAGACAACCCAAATCACGTTCGTCATTTGCTGAGAAACAAGAACTGTGACAGGACAAGTTTGAAGAGACTTTGTCTTCACCTTCTGTGACGGTCTCACCAGATTCCTCACAACCATACTTCCTTCCGATGACTGTATGCAGGTGTTGACAAGAATACCAACTCCTAATGGTACGGAAGTGAACAAGATTTACACTTGCGAGCAGGTACAACACTTGGCAATTTAGCTCGTTTCCTCTTGGACAACCTCATTGCAATTTGCAGAATTTGAACATTTTGTTCACCAAATCGGATCTGAATGAGCTTCATGTATGGGATCTGTCATCGCCTGAAAGGCAAGTGGAAAGAGATGTTGAACATGTCGATCTGATTCGTTCTCTCAGTTTCATCCCTGTTGCGACCTTAACGGGCCATAGCGAAGGAAGCTGCGACTCAAACTTTGCTCTAGATTCTTCAGTCATCGAGCCGCGGGTGTTCTGCCATGTGTGCCGCCTCTCCCTCATCCGGTACAGGTCCTTAGTGGAGATCGTGATGGGATCATCCTTATGTGGTCGTTGGACAACAACCCAAAGAGCACGTATTCTAGTCAAAGATTCTGATTCAATGGTCTCGTTGAAATTCTTTGCAGCCCAGGAAGAGACGCCAACGGGATGATTCCTCCCCTTTCAAAGTAGCTCTTTGATATGAGAAGATGCGCTTTTGCAGGCGTTGAAGTCCCGTGGCAGGTTTGAAGGGCACCAAGCTACGGTCGAGGACGTCTGTTTCAATCCCTCGTCATCCTCCGAGTTTTGTTCTGTACTTCGCTCATGTTCAAATGAATTCGGCGGTGAAGAGCTCTGACAGGTTGGAGACGACCAGAAATTGTTATTTTGGGATGCGAGGGCCTCGAATTCGAAGGTTTGAAATGCGGTTGAAAGCTCTTTGGATTCATTTCGCTGTGAACATAGATTTCGGAGGCGTTGCAGAGAGAATGTGTTGACCTGCACTGTGTTGGTAATTTCAGATTCTCAAGGAACTAGTATAGAAATTTACGTCAAACTAGATTGGAATCCATCGGATCTCAATCTCTTAGTCGTAGGGACTGCAAGCGGAGCAACTTTCGTTGTTGACCGACGCAAAGTGATTCTTGACTGCCTTGATCTTTGTGCTCACCTGATTCCCATCAGATCGGCGGCGGCGAAGGTATAGAACCTTTGCACAAGTTGCATCAGCACCAAGAACCTGTTTTCCGTGTGGTGAGGACAGTAGACGGCTCACTTTCTCGGTCACAAGGCTGCAGGGATGGCGACCAGACTCGACTGTTCACTATGCAAGCGGGGGCGATGACTGCTTCGTCTGCATCTGGGACATCAGCCAACTGGGCGCGCAGAGCGAGAGCATGGGGGAGGCCCAGGAATCGAAGGAGGTTATCTTCAAGCACTGCGGGTGAGCATGTGGAACAGCCAGAGGGTGAGAGTGAGCAGACCGTCTTGCAGACACAGAGGGAGCGTACAGGACCTTCACTGGAACCCTGTCATCCCCTGGACACTTGCTTCTGTCTCGGAAGACGCAGCATGGGTAATTCTCTCTGAACCTTTCCCTCCCTTATCCTCGTCAACTCCCGTCTGCCGTTCCTCCTCTCGTTCCTCTTAGCGTAAGGATAGGCCATGGGTGGAGGCACCATGCAGGTTTGGCGTCCCATCGACTTCTTGTACCGTCCGCACGGTGACACCCTTGCTCAAGCCGCATTGCGTCGGACTGAGAGCTTGTGGCAGACGAATGTCTGCGGGACTTGGAGAAGATGCAGAACGATCTGAAGGGCTCGGGAGAGTGAGGGACATTGATAATGTCACGATCAGGCGTAGGAATGTATTCTAAGTCCAATAACACAACAATCTCTCAATTCTTCACATGTCGGATGTGATTTACTTCTCTTTCTTGGGATTCGTCTTTTGCTGCATCAAAGTCAGGAGAAAAATCCAGCCGGCAGTTTGATCTTAAAACAAAACCTGTATGCGATTCACGACAAACATGCTCGTATCCAAAAATCGTTCCGAACAGTTCGCAATGCACTGTTGATCAGAGTTACATCCTCGTGATGTGCCAATAAAATGGGATCACATTCTTCTCGGCATCGGTGAGCTCCTTGCCCGGCTTCGATACGCACTTGTCCCAGCAGATGTCTGTGATCTTTCCTACAATCGCTTGAATCTTCCACGCGCAAGGTCAGCGGTTGTGCATGTCTGGAATGGGGCGTACCTGCTGAATCTGATGTTGTTGTTCTATGAATGACTGCACTTCTTTCGCACTCTGCTTGTCGAGCTTATCAATATTTGCCTGAACATCACGAGAGTGAGTAAATTTCTCCTCTCCGCCAGCCCCTCCATCCCAACTCTTGTAATTTTCTTTGTCCCTTTTCACTCCCAGCGCCCACAAGCATGCTGGACCTCCTCCTCCCACCCAACTTTCTGATACACCTCCTGCTCTCTCGTACCCAATGTGAGGAGCACGGCTTTCCCTGAAGACCTGCTCCTGTCCTCCGCCTCCCTCCTCTCCTCTCCCCACCCCACCCTCCCATGCTCGTGCATACCGCCTGCATGCCGGTCCAGTGCTCCTCTGAGGCAGACCCGGAGGAGCGACAGAAGAAATATTACTACAAGGCTTTTCAGTGATCGGCACCGGGCCCGCCGGTCCGGTCCGAAGAGTAATAAACCTGCAAAAGATTCCAGAAGAGCCGCCGCCATGTTCAAGTGCAAGCTGGGATGGAGCGAAGAGCGCGTAAGCAGAATCTGCCTCGGAACAATGACCTTCGGCGTGCAGAACAGCGAGGTAGACATGCTCACTCCCTCGATACCTGCTCTCCTGTCGTCTCCTGTCTCTTCTATCATCCTGCTCCCCTTTGCGCTTCTATCTATTCCTTTCCTGATGTGACCTGGTTACCTTGAGTGATGTGCCCGCTTACGACCGGAACACAGGAGGAGTCGCACGCAATTCTCGACTACTACGTGGGAAGGGGAGGGAACTTCATCGACACAGCTGAGATGTATCCAGCTCCTGCCTCTGATCCTCGCTGGAAACCAGGCGCTTCAGAGGAGATCATTGGACGTTGGCTGGCCAAGAAACCTGAGATGAGATCCAAAGTTTTCATCGCCACCAAGGTAGCAGGCTTCAGTCCAAGCTCTGAAACTGCCGGGAACAGGAAGGTGACTCTGGGCACGGGTGGGGGGATCGGGGAGAACGGGAAGCCCACGCCAGCCCCTGCAAGGCTCGATGCTGCTTCGATCATCGAGGCTTGCAATGCTTCGCTGAAGCGATTGCAGACAGATTACATCGACCTCTACCAGATCCACTGGCCTGATCGTTATGCTCCTTTGTTTGGGAGCTTGTGTTACAATCCACAGAAAGAGAGGCCTGATAGCATTCCAATCGCAGAGCAGGTGGCTGCCGTGAAGCAACTGATCGACTCAGGAAAGATTCGATACTATGGCCTGTCCAATGAAACCACCTTTGGCGTTTGTCAGTGGGTGCAGGCAGCGGACAAGATCGGCTGCCCGAGACCTATCTCGATTCAGAATCAGTTTTCGCTTCTGTACCGCCCGTTTGAAGGAGAGCTTGCCGAGGCCTGTGCACCCTCGAACTACAACATCGGCCTCTTGGCCTGGACTCCTCTCGCTGGAGGCATGCTGACCAACAAGTACTTCAATGAGGATGGCCGGCTGAAAGATAAAGTATGCTGATTTGATATTTGGACGATAGATCGTTGATATTCCCACGCAGAGCAGCTTTCCTGAGAAGTGCCGACACACCATGTACCAGAATTGGATGGTTCGCTTCTTGACGGTGAGGAAGCACTAATGATTGTGTGTTCAGCACGTTGTTGTTAATGTTAATGACTATGCTTCCTCGCAGCCAAACGCAACCAAGGCGTGCGAGAGGTATGCTGTAATCGCCAAAAACGCAGGTGGAAGAGCTTCCGGCAGGAGGTTAATCAAGTATTTTCTCATCGTTCACCAGGAATGTCTATGGCGACGCTTGCACTTAAATTCTGTGTGAGCCGTTGGTGAGTTTCAAAGAGTTCTACTTGAGACCTCATATTGATCGTCCTGAACATCCTTGTCACGTAGGTTCGTGGCGTCGACCATCATTGGGGCTACAACGGTGGAGCAGTTGAAGGAGGTAGAATTCATTCGTGAAGACATCGGAATGATGTGCATGGCTGATATCATCCTGGTAGAACATGGATGCATTCGAGGAGGCCTCTGCCCAGCTGCCAGAAGAGGTGAAGGATGTGCTAGCACGCTACTGTGTAGACTGATGTTGCTTCAGGTGTTGAAGCAGATCGACGAGGTGACGATGTTGAGATCAACGAAGGTGATGGAATGTCTCATCCTTGCTCCACAGGTGCACTCGGACTGTCAAAACCCAACCATCGCCATTGAGACCATGCCGTACATGCTGAACCTCAACTCGTAGTTGAATTTGGAATGGAATTTCAAGCAGTGTCTTTGTAGTAGCAATTGTTCCAATCACATATGAATTATTCCAATCATCACGCATTTCTAGATGTGTGTTCACGTAAACAGATGTGGAACTTTGAACTATTTATTTACATAAAATACAAGGACAACACAGGGAAAGTACCCACACACATCTACTAACATTGTTTGGGCACGGGTGAGGTTTCTATCCCGTTTGTCAGAGCAAGTGAGAGACCCACTTCCTGGTTATTCGACGACGTAATCACCACTTCTCTATCCGGGCAGTTTCTTCGCAGGTCTGTAGTAGCGGCCTTCCATATTCGCTTGTGCTGACATTGCTCGACTTCGTCATCTTTGGAAATGATCTGCATCATTGGAGTTCTGATCTCAAATGGGTTTTGGCTGTCCATCGGGAAAATCAACATTTCGATCAATGGGCATCCATTGGAAGCCTTGCCCAGCGAGAAAGCAATGATCATTCGCTCGTGCTTGCAGTTTTGTGCTCCAGTAATTGTCAGGTATGTCCTTACTCTGCCGTCCTTGGCTGCCACGGATGCGGCTTCAAACAAAGCATGGTGAGAGCAGTCAGTGCCATCGGAGAGCAAGCGCAAGCTTCTGCCGATCAGTTCGGTTGAGTTTCTGCCAAAGAAGTTGCACACCGTTCCATTGGCATTGGTGATGAGATAAGGGAACGTCGTTTCAAGTCCTATCCTCCCTCGTTGGCTCAGCAGATCCATGGGCAAACTTCGGATTCTTTCCTCCACCTCCCCTCTTGTCCCATGGCACGGCATGTGCGCTTCCATCGTCCTCATCGTGGCTGTGGACGTGCAGCTGGAATCCTTGGCCTCGCCTCCTTCCTCTTCAGATCTCAGTCGCGGTATCGTGACTTCTTACTGCCCTCGTGACCCACCACCTGACATCCTGCGACCCCCACGGAGTCCACCTCCGACAAGCAGCTTCTGTAAGGTGTCACCGGTTCTTGCTTATCCCTGTAAAGCGCGAAAACAATAACTTTCGTTCCCATGGTATCCGTGAGCTAAAAGCTGACAGCATCGAGCATCATTGCGCGGCCTCTGCTCCAGTTTACGACACTCGGAGGACCGGTCCGAGCCACGGTCCGTGCGGAGGCCATGGTATCCGCGTGACTGACAGGTAGTAAGAAACTGCTTATCTCCTGATTGCGGAGATTTCTTGTCATTTGTATCCGTTGATCGAGTCCTTTCCAACCAAATCCTTGAAATTTCAAAAATTGGAGCCTGATTTCGCAAATGTCGGTATTCTGCCACCTTTCGAGTATAGTCCACTAGCATTTCACTTAACTTTGAGTAAAAGGCATTCAAAAAGCCTTCAAAGTCAAAAATCAGCGCGGCGCCTACGGCGAACCACGGAGGCTGTCACTGAGGTGACCCGGGAGTGAGGCGCGGCGCCGGCCGGGCCGGGCGGCTAACTTTAGTAACCGGTGACCGGCGGCGGGTACGGTACCGTACGGTACGGTACGGTACCGTACTGTACTTCTTTACTGAAAGTACTGTACCATCATGCACTGACTAGTACCGTACTAACTCAAAAAACTAGTACCGTACAACCGATCACTGCCGCAGCAGTGCCCGCAGTCCGATCAGCAGTCACTGAGTGTACACGCCGGGCTGTCGGATCGGACGGCTGGAGGTTCCGACCGTCTGGAACCGCCTTCCTCCGAGGCCGCCCGGGCCTGAGTCGTCGGAGGGCCGGGCCCGGGGCGGGCCGCAGGCTTAGGGCTGGCACTGGCACTGTGGCACTGATCATCGTGACGGTGCGGCGAGCGCCGGGCCCGGCGCCCGGGAATTTAGGGGTAGGGGTGTCTACCCACCCCCTGGATACTCCAAGTATAATGGAGTACCCCACCTACTCTCTGTCATGCACGTTGCACCGAAACTTGTAAGACCGACATCACCCCACCCTACCCGAGATCAGTACCCCTACCCAGGTCGGTGTGCAACACCGTCACCTCCAACCACCCCCTCAGATTCCCAGAACTTACTACCAGGTCAATTCGACACACAGATTTACAAACCCCTTACAGCAATCACCCCTCTTTTTACAACAAAGTACCCCCAATTCGCCTCTGCGTCTGGGGCACAATATACCCCTACCCCCTATTTGCCTACCAAAATGCAAAACGGGCTGGTCTGGTATCACCACCCCGCCGTTTGCCCCCACCCTACCCCATGGTGGATATAAGTGGCGAATGAGGCATGTTGATGGTGCCACAGGATGAGGAGCCGACGTCATGGGAGGGAAGGCGGGGGAAGAGTGAAGTAGGAGGTAGAGGAGGAGGAGCATGACGTAGTAGTGGAAGAGGAGATCGAATGCATGGTACAGATGAGGAGAGGAATGAGCGCTAGAACACTCGAGCCAGTGAAGTGAGTGGAAATTAGGTTGAAGAAAAAATGCGATGAGGAGCAGCTGAGGAGGAGCGTGGAAGAGAAGCAGAGGATATTGGGTTCATGATATCACTTTGCAATACGATAGCGTGATATGAGAAATGATGAGAAGGAACAGAGAGTCAAGAAATCGTCGTTCGGGAGAGGTGCTAGCGTCAAATCAGAATTTTTTTTTGGCGATGATGCGAGCACCTCTCTGAGAAATTTAGACAAGAGAACAGTAAAAGCTGCAGGGGAAGAGTTAGGAGGAGTCAGCAGTAAACTGCACGCAGCAGCTCATGAAACACCGATGAGGTCGTTTGACCGATTTTACTGTTCCACCCTCCAACAAACCACGTCCTCACCTAAGATCTTGCTCGTTCTGACTCCTCGCTTCTCTTCACAGGGTTGCTGCTCATAGGAGGAGAGGAGTGAAATGTGCATGAGCGAGGAACGTGTCGTCTTATGACCTGAGTCTGGCTGAAGTTATGCTCTCCTTGCTGCTGAGAGCAGGGGGTCACCCCGCCAGGGCCTTCATCTTCCTTATCTGTGCCTTGGTCTGTGTTGGAGGGACTAGCATCGACGGTTCCTTGGGCTTCTTGAACGTGGCAAGAGGGCTCTTGAGGAGCCAGCAGGCACCAGCAGACTCCCAGTGCCGATCAGGCGTGAGGTCATGTGAGCGGAAGGTCGCGATCTGTAGCTACGGCACTAGGAAGCAGGCGACATGGATGAGCATGCGATCTGACAGTGACGGCAGTGCTGATGCTCAGTCAGAACCGAAGCAAGACAAGGTAGCAAGCTCTCGCTTCTCCAAGAGACAGGAATATCAGGACGCTGCTCTTGGAGGGCTCATAAAGCCAGGCCAGCGTATCCCCGACGACTGGATGCCGGGAGATCAGTTTGCCTTCTCTGACGGGTACGAGTTCACCATAGGAGAGATCGCTGTGCTCGAGCTCAACGACGGGAACCTCTGCTTTGTCAAAGTCGTCTCAGTCTCGGAGCCGTCCGGAGCTTGGGATGCAACGGGTGAGGTTAGATATGTGGTGGAAGGACCAGCCAAGCCGTTTGGCCCCAAGAATCAAGTGCTGGCTCCCTCGAAGCTCGGAAAGATTCTCCCGCTGAGCCTGCCGGAGATCCAACGGCTCGGGGCCATCTTCCTGCAATCCAACAATAACAAGGTGAAAGGGCAACCGAGTATCTTCTCATTGCTTCGTTCCATCATGGACGTCGAGAAGCAGGTCGAGTTTATCTTCTCATGTGCTTTCTACTCCTCCTCCTATCTCCTCCCTCCTCCTTTCCTTCCCACTTCCCCCCTCCTCCCACTTCCCTCCTCCTCCTCCCCGTCTGGTGGTCACTTTTGCTCTATTCTGACCTTCTCGCTCCCCCCCTCCTCTGGTCCTGTCTTCCTCCGTATCCTTGACCCTAACTTTCGTCCTCGACGTCCTGCCCTCGTCCTCCTTTCCGCATGGTGGAGTGCAGATTCTGAAGATTCGTTGGCAGGCACCTCGAGATTCGCTGCCTTTCCAGCCGATCCTATCGCGGAGGTCCGAGCCGGACAGCAGGAGTTCCTCAGCACAGGACGCTGCTACCGAGGAAGGACGCGGTTACTGGGGCGAGCTCGACGGGTGGTGGAAGGACGAGACAGGAGGAGTGGAGACGTTCGAGGTGCTGTTGAGAAAGCCGATGGGGATGGAGGTCAAGGAGGTACAAGGGGAGGGAGTCTTCGTGAGCAGTCTGGGGGAGAAGAGCAACGCGAAGCTAGCAGGCATCCGGGTGGGGGACCGCATCTCAGTCCCTGGCTCCCATCCTCTCATGAACTGGTTGGACGACTTGTCGTCGATCATGAGCGCCATCTCCTCGGAGAACCCACAGATACGCCTGCGATACAGCAGGACGACGTCGATGCTCGAGGAGCGGGGGAGAGGGGAGGCCTCGCTGGCGGGGAACTTGATGAGCAGCAAGCTGACGGCAACCAACTCGAGCACGGGAAGGGAGTTTGAGGTCACGATCAAGAAGCCAGCGGGCATGACGGTGACGCTGGTAGAGGGGAAGGGGATCTTCGTGGAAGACGTCACGCCCAATGGGAACGCCATGCGAGCAGGGCTAGTGGTGGGCGACAGGATCAAAGTTGCGTCCGAGCTGCGCTATGAGGCCGGGGTCAAGTTCGATCGAGGATCCTCATATTCGGATGCGGTGAGGGGGGAGGGGAAGGGAGGGGAGGGCAGGGGAGAGAGGAAGGATGAGGATGAGGGCCTAGTGGACTTGAGCAGAGCAGACGATGATAGCGAGGGTGTCGGGAGTGGGGAAGCATGGAGGAAGGAGGTTTGGGGTTGGAGTGTGTGAAAATTGGACGAGCCGCCCGTGCGCTGACGTAGAGATGGTGGCAGTTGAACAATGTGGCCAACCCCAATGAGCTGGAGGAGCTGGTTGAGCTGATGTCGGACTCCTCCGCGCCTCTCGGGTCTGTGAAGATCTCAGTGGTGAGGAGCCAGGAGGGTCAGAAGATCATGGAGAAGTTTCGGGCGCAGAAGAGGATCGGCAACGTGGATACGAGACTGTCGGAGAAGGTCAAGGGGACGCTGCTGGACAGCCTGGCCCCCTTCATCGACGGGTCGGAGAGAGATTCCGTTGCCCCTAGCAAGGTCCTCAAGATCAACCTCGACCTCATGAGCTATGCCGCCCGAAGAGCGCTGCAGGTGATCCTCCTCCTCCTCCTCTTCCTCTTCCTCCTCCTCGTCCTGCCCCCTTGACCACCTTAGTCCTCGTCGCCCTCATCGTCGCCCTCGACCTCCTCGTTCTCTTCTCCACCCGATCGCTCTGCTGTCCTGACATGGATGCAGAGGAAAGAGTTCGACAAGAGTGAGGATCTGTACCGCAAGTGCCTCCAGATGGATGCGTATGACGGTAGGGCCTGGGTGGGTCTCGCCAAACTTTACGAGGAGAAGAATCAGATGTTCAAGGTTGGTGATGTTGAGATCCTTTATATCTCATGCCTCCTCCTGCCTCCCTTCTCCTCTGCTCTGTCTCACTCCCCTTTCATTCCCTTGCTCGCTCTCAATCTCACTCGTCCTCATCTTTAGGCGAAAGAAATTCTGCAGTCTGGGCTCCAGAAGCTCCCGCGCAGTCCCTTCCTTCTCCAGGCCCTTGGCTGTATCGAGCAGAAGCAGGTGTAGATGGGAGGAGGAGGAGGAGGAGGAGGAGGAGGAGGAGGAGGAGGAGGAGGAGGAGCTTACTTTCGTGGCGCAGGGTCAGGTGGTGGAGGCGCTCAAGCTCTTTCAGCGAGCTGTGGAGGAGGATGAGACGCATGCTGCCTCGTGGGTGTCGCTGGGGAAGTTGGAGGAGAGAATGAAGAGGAGCTGGAGGGCAAGGCAGTGCTATGCCAAGGTACTTGCTCCTCTCCTTCCTTTCCCAGTCGTTGACGTCTGTTCCTTCAGGCTGCTTCAGTGGAGCCCAACAGCTTCTACGCATGGCAGGTGCTGCTGCTGGATGTGGGGAGGAGGAGGAGGATGATGACGAGCGGATGCAGTGCCTGGCGGTGCTGGAGGCGAGGGAGGGGAACTTGAGGGCTGCCCGGTCGCTGTTCCAGAAATGTACAGACGTGAATCCGATGAATGCGGCCTCTTGGCAGGTGAACAGCAAGGAGAAAGGGAAGGGAGGGGAGGGGAAAAGGGCAGGGAACGGAAGGGAGGGAGGAGATAGTAAAGCGTGTTGGGAGGAGAGAGTGAAGAGGTTCTGAACTTGTTGCAGGCGTGGGGTACGATGGAGAGGAGAGCAGGAAACCTCGATAAAGCAGCAGAATTGCTGCAGAAGGGTCTCAAGGCGAGCCCGAAGAACACGTTCGTTCTGCAAGCTTTAGCAAATATTGAGGTGGGAAAGAGGACGAGGAAAAGAAGTCGTGGGATGGGAGGGAGGAGGAGGGGGGGGAGGAGGAGGAGAAGTGGCTGACAAATGATTCAGTGCGAGCGAGGGAACACTGAGAAGGCGATAGAACTGCTCGAGCGGGCGATTGAAATTAACCCCAAGGATGGAGGCGTGTATCAAGCCTACGCTATGCTGCTGGCCCGTTCTGGAAAGAGGATGCAGGTCCGTCATGCTAACCCGCTTGTCTCCTCCTCCTCCCACTCACTCTGTTGCAGGCTCGCGAGATGTTCAAGCGCGGCTGCTCCGAAGCCAAGAAGCATGCGGCTCTTTGGCAGGCATGGGCCGTTCACGAGGTGAGAGGAAGAGAGAGGAGAGGGATCAGAGAGGAAGACAAGGGCTGGAAAGGAAATGCAAGAGAAGAGGGAGGAGGGAGGAGACAGGCGGTGAAGGGGAGGGATCTTGACACTGGCGATAGCTGGAGAGGAAGAACGTGAAGGAAGCTCGCTCCATCTTCCAGCAGGGCGTGTGGGAAGCAGGGTCAGACAAGAAGATCTTTGTCCTCTGGCAGGTAAATTCCTCACTTCCCCTCCCATCCCCTCTCCTTTCCTCCTCTTCTCTTGCATTCAATTCCAGCCTACTCCTCCCTCTCCCTCCCTCCTCTCCCTCCTCTCCCTTATCCCCTCCCTCCCTCCTCTCCCTCCTCCTCTCCTTTCGGCTGCTCACCATCACCTCAGGCCTGGGGTCTCATGGAGGCGTCTGAGGGGAACCTGGACGAGGCTCGCAAGTACTTCGCCAGGGCTGTCGATGTGGCCGACCGACCATCACCTTCACTGGCCGCTTGGGCTAAAGTAGAAGAAGAAGCAGGAAACTTGATCGAGAGCAGGTGCGAGAGCGAGTCTTCTTCCTGTCTTGCCCTCCATTCCTCCTCTTCTTTGCTTGCACTTGCTTGTGTCCACCACCACCACCACCACCTCCTCCTCTCGTCGCTGCCGGTCCCCTCACGTTTTCTTACAGAGAGCTGCTTGAGAAGGCTTTGGCGATCGAACCGAGTAACGAGTATGCATGGGATGTAAGTCAATCGCTCCTCATTCTCATCGTTCCTCTTTCCTCTTCTTTCTCTTACCTCCTCTCCTTCTATTCTCACTGCTCCTTGCTTTCACTAGAATTCTCTCTCCTCCCCTCTCCCCCTCTTCCCTCTCCCCTCCCCTCAGGTATCCCCCCTCCCCCCCCCTTTTCTTTCCTTCTACCCTCAACCCTCCCTCCCCTCTCGTCTCTCTCCCTCTCTCCTCTCGCTCATAGCTTCTCAGGGTCTGCAAGCTTTCGTCAAGAGAGTCTACGGGGAGGGGAGCGAGGAAGCCAAGGAAGTCTATCAGAGGAGGATCGTCGCACAGATCAGCAAGCGCATCGACTCGGAGGATGCCTTGTCTAAGGTAAGAGCTCCTCTCTCCTCCCTCTTCCTCTCTCTCCTCCTCCATCCTCCCTGTCTCCTCTGTCTCCTCTTCTCTCCTCTTGCTGCCCCTCATGAATTTTATCCCCTTCAGGCTGTAGACAACAACTACCAGCAAGATTCGAAGCAGACGGTGAGAGCGACACATCACCTCCTCTCCTCTTCCTCCTCCTCCTTCTCCTCCTTCATCATCATCATCATCATCATCATCATTCGCACGCCCCGTGACTTTCCTCACAGGAGGAGACCGTTGTTCTACGAGCGAGGTGGGCGAGCAGGAGGCGTCGCGATCAGGACGCAGACGGATACAGCAGCAACTTCTTAGTTCCTCGTCAGCTCTAACAAGTGGCTGCCTCCTCCTCAATCGCATCCTGACTGCCGCAAGATTCGCTTCTCCTCCTCCACCCAGTTCTTGTCCTTGCTCGCCTACATCACCCTTTAGTGCTCCCGAGCACGAGGATGGAGAGGAGGGGGAGGACCTGGCCCAGCTCTCGCTTCCTCTTCTCTCGCGCGTTGAAGCTTATCTGCTTCTTCTTGTCCTCGCTCTGCTCCCCTCGTCAGCTCTTCCTCCTCCTCCTCCTCCTCCAGCTCCTCACCGTCTGATTCTTCGAACTTATCGGCCCGTGTCCTCCGCTCTGCCTTTCTGCGTCAGATTCCCCTCCCTCCTCTCCTGCCTTCTTCAATGTCCTTCTCCTCATCCCTCCTCCTGTCCTCCCCTTCCCCTCTCGCTTACTCCTCCTGTCCTCCCCTAATATCTCACGCCTCCCCTTTCACCTTGGGATGGGGAGGGAGTGATACGCCGTCCAACCTTGGAGGTCCCTCAGGCTGCTGGAGGTCAGCTGGGTAGAACGAGGGTCACAAGACCTTCACGGCTTCTTCCTTGCGAGCTTGCTCTGGCTCAGCCTGTGCGGGTTGACTTAGACGAGAAAGTCTGGAGAGGGCAAGGAGGGGACAGGGATTGATATGAGATGAGGAGAGGAGAGAGCAAGGAGAGGAAAGGAGAGGAAAGGAGGAAAGGAGAGGAAAACAGGGAGAAAACGAGACGAGGAGGGGATGAAAGGAGCAGGGAGCAGGGAGCAGGGAGCAGGGAGCAGGGAGCAGGGGGGGCGGGGCGGGGAGCAGGTGGGGGGGGAGGTCACTTGCCTGCTTGATCTCAACGATCTCATCCTCGTTGTCGTTGGAGGTCAGGAACGTAGGTGCAGCGACCTCAAGAGCTTCGAGAGGGTTCGGCAGCTTCTTCTTCTTCACCTTCTCACCCATCAGGCATGGCAGGCACACATGCAGGTGATACAGGAGGTTCTGGTTGCTCGGGAGCATTCGAGCTCGTCGTTCCTCCCTCTCCTCCCTCCTCCCCGTCTTCGTCTTCGCTCTTGTCACTGCCATCATCATCCATCTGGGAGCAGGATAACAGGTCAACGCCTCGATGATCGAGCATGACTCGGCAGACCTGCCATGCTGGCTTGAAATCTACTTTCGCTGAGCCTTCTCCCTCGCCATGTCCTTGCTGGTCCTGTTCGTCCGAATCTCCGCTGCGAGCATCTTTACATGAGTGCTGAACAATGACTGACAGCTCTCTCCTCTTCTCTCCTCCTCCTCCTCCTCTCTCCTCCTCTCCTCTCCTCTCCTCTCCTCTCCTCTCCTCATCCTCATCCTCCTCCTCCTCCTCCTCCTCCTCCTCCTCTCGCTCATCCTCTCATCCCTCCCTCCCTCTCTTTGCCCGCCTATTCCCATACTTCCCAACTCATCTGGTTTGCCCTCTCCTTCCCCCACCTGTCCTCCTCGTCCTCCTCCATGTCCTCCTCCTCCTCCATATCCTCCATCTCCTCCTCCTCCTCCATCTCCTCCTCCTCCTCCTCCTCCTCCTCCTCCTCCTCCTCCTCCTCCTCCTCCTCCTCCTCCTCCTCCTCTACCTGTCGTATCCTCCTAGAGCATCCATGGCCACAGGGACGTCCCTCATACAGCCCCAACTCCCTCATCCCCACACATTCCCACCTAGCAGTTGCTCCGACACCAGCGACATGAGCAGGAAGCAATGGGGACTTGCTGCCGGCCGGATGGCAGGAGGGGGGGAGAAGACGATCGAGGTATGAAGAGAGGAGAGGATATGAGAGGAGGGAGGAGGGAGCAGGGAGCAGGGAGCAGGGAGCAGGGAGCAGGGAGCAGGGAGCAGGGAGCAGGGAGCAGGGAGCAGGGAGCAGGGAGCAGGGAGCAGGGAGCAGGGAGCAGGGAGCAGGGAGCAGGGAGCAGGGAGCAGGAGGTTACAAGAGGCAGAAGAGGAGAGGAAGAAGTAGTGGGCTAAAATCTGTGAAGGGGACAAGGGGCACAGCATGAAGATGGGAGAGCATGTAGACAACCTTGACGATGCGTGGGATGGGATGGTTGGACGATGACGGGAATTGCGTGCGGACTTCGCGAAATCCTGAGCTACTGGCAGGGCCAGCATCATGTCAACTTGGGGGAGGAGGATATGCAAACCCAGAAGAAGCCCAAAGCAGCAGAGAGGAGAGTCTCACAGCTGAGCATCGAGGAGAAGGAAAGTGAAGGGCCCAAGTTCGATCAGTCAGTCTGGGTGGTGAGCACGATGAGAAGAGCTGAGGGGAGGAAAGGAGGGGAGTGGGGTGACCATGACGGCAGGGATGGGACGAGATGGAAGGAGACAAGGATGCGAGCGGTAGCTATCTCCCTCCTCCCCTCCTCCCTCCTCCCTCCTCCCTCCTCCCTCCTCCCTCCTCCCTCCTCCCTCCTCCCTCCTCCTCTGCTGCCACTTGCTCTCTTTGAAAGCTTCTGGCAAGGTGACATCTCGTTGGACGTTGGCATCCTTTACGGACGACCCCCGAGTAAGTCTTGCCGGGTCAGGTCACATGCGAATTGACAAGAATGCAGGAGTGAGCAAGCTTTATTAAACGGCCATCCCTCCCATCCCATCTCCTCCCATCCCATCCCGTCTCCTTCCATCCCGTCTCCTTCCATCCCTCCCTTCCCAACTCTACTCTTTTCTTCCCTAAGATGGAATCGTCATCGTCATTGCCTCTCTCCTCGCCATCTTCCCTTTCCCCTCCTTCCATCGTTGCTCTTTGTCTTTCATCCTCTCTCCTCTTCCTCCCTCATGCGCACACAGTTCCGTACCAATCATCGTGGCGGCGACGTGATCATGAAAACGTCTGACATCCCTGTGTTCGCTTCCGGGTTCGGCATGGTGAGTTGATTTCAACATGATTCTTGTTGTTTCCTGAATGACTTACGAACGCTGACTTGGTTTTTGATGCGCTTTCCTTTCTTTCCCCTACACAGAACATCGGACCAAGTATTTCAGGTCATTGTCAGTGGCAGTTTGAAGTCATTCACAGGGACGGCAACATGTACATCGGGTACCTCGCAGACTGATGATGAGACATGCGATGTTGACTTGTTGCTTGCAAGTTTGATTCTTGCAGAGAGACTGGCAGACGAGCTCGATCGAAGGTAGGATGGCCAGAAGAAAGCCAGTGAAGACTTTCAGCAGCAATGATGCTTCTATCAACCCTGATATCTCCATCCACAATCATACCTCCATCTAGCAGAACACAAAAAGTCACCTCTCGCTATAGACATGAGAAAGTGCCGAACTTTCCCATCTCCCTCACTTCACAACCACATCCCGTCCACTTGTGCGCGTGACATGTTGGTGTAGGTGGGATACCAAGTGCTTCTTCGATCACGCCTTCTTCTGGTCTTCTCCCTCCGGGCTCCTGATGAACGGTCCGCATGTCATCAAAACTCTTCCGACGGACAAAGTTCCTTTCTCGCGCTTCAACATGGGGGATGTTGTCACCGTTGACCTCAAGGTCTGAGTGAAGGCGACGCTGATGATGCTCTTGCTCTTGCTCATTTTTTGATTTTGTGTTCTAGTTGTGCATGATGATGATGATGATGATGATGATGATGATGATGATGATGATGATGATGATGATGATGATGATGATGATCTTTATGAAGAATTTACTTTCAATCTTTGAGCGCAGCTGGACGACCGAGAGCTGGGGGCGGTGGTGATGCGAGTGACGAGTGAAGGAAGCACGTTTCCGGGGGAGAACAAGGTGTAGTGAGGAGGAAGGAGAAGGGAGGAGGGGATCTGAGAAGAAGAAAAACTTCAAGTGCGTCTTCAAAGTCGCCAAAGAGTTCGAGATGATGTTGAAGGACCTCGAGGTCATCTTTAGCTCTAATCTCCTCTCTCATATCCTGTTACTTCCTCCTCCTTCCCTCCTCCTTCCCTCCTCCCTCGCTCCTCCTCTCTCCCTTCTCCTCTCCCTCTTCTCCCTTCTCTCTGTCTTCTCCTCCTCCTCCTCCTCCATCCCGATTCTTTCCTCTTCGATTCTTTGGATCCTAATGTATCTTCAGGCTCTGCCCGACTTGTACCTCGACGGGAAGGTGAGGAGAAGATGGGGAGGTCGTCCATAAGAGGACGAAGACAAGGACGAGGACGAGGACGAGGATGACTAGGTCGAGCAGATGTAACGGTTGTGCAGATCTTGCGTCCGCAAGGATTCAACAAGAAGGAAAACACTTTCTGGTTACAGCTGGAGGGAAAGGTAAGAAGAGAAGGAGGAAGGACAGGATAGGAGCTGACTGGGGTGAACAGCTCCAGGAAGGAAGCTTGGTTTGTTCCAGCTCACGGGTCAAGTCACGTTCAAGTTGAATGATGCCTACGCCGGAGTTATCCGCGGAGTGCCGTCAGATGTGAGGCGGCGGCGGCGGCGGAGGAGGAGGAGGAGGCGGCGGCGGCGGCGGAGAGCTGAGGATTGACAAGGTTTTTGTCAGGTTGTTCCTGCCGTCTGTTTGACGAACAAGGGCGACAAAGTGGGACGTCTCCTCCTCCTCCTCCTCCTCCTCCTCCTCCTCCTCCTCCTCCCCATGTCTACTCCATGCTTCCTTCCTTCGTCCTCCTCCTCCTCCTCCTCCTCTATCCTCCCCTCCCTCCCTCCCTCTCTGAATCTTGCAGGTGCGGCTCAAGGGTTTCTGGTCAGCGAGAGACCAGAAGATCATCGATGAGGTTCGCAAGAACCTCGAGAACTTGTACGACGCGTAAGTGCAACGAGAGAATCGATGAGATGACTGACTTGTCGATCGTTCGTTCTCCTCCTCTCTCCTCCTTCTATCCTCCCCCCTCTCTTCCTCTCTTCTCTCTTACTCTCTTCTCCTTCCTTACCTCGTTCTTGGCTCTTCTCTGCCGCTCCCCTCCCCCTCCTCTCCTTATTCTTCCTTCCCCCTTCCTCATCAAAATTTTCCTCCCTCCCTCTTTCCTCATCAAACTTTTCCTCCCTCCCTCCCTCCTTGTTCTTTCTCTTCTCCCTCGCGATCTCCCTCTCCCTTCCGTCAGGATGAATCAGGTCGAGCTGATGAACTTCGTCGCGACATCTCAGCGGGGACTCACCGACTGGGTTGACATCTGTGACGAAAACGCTCTGAGTCACGGAGCACGAGCAGACAATCTTGAAAGCGTTGCGAAGAATGAGATATGACGTGGACGAGACTTGCGAGTTCCTCCTGTGAACCAAGTTGAAGCTGAAGGCGAGATGTAATGGTGAGGCACAGGTCCCAGTGTGAGAACCTGTGTCAACATCGCAAGATGATCGATCACGACTTGAGGGTCGAGGTGAGATTTTACAGCATGTGACAGTCTCGTGACTAGCTTTCTTTCTCCTCCCTCCCTTCCTCCGTTATCATACAGGAGATGAAGGCGAATGCGCTGACGTCCTTCCAAGACCATGTGGATGACAGGTTGCCTGCTCGTTTGTTTGTATCACTATCAAAGTCGTCCTCGTCCTCGTCCTCTTCCTCGTCCTCGTCCTCGTCGTCATCTCCATCCTCCTCCTCCTCCTCCTCCTCCTCCTCCTCCTCCTCATCATCATCATCATCATCATCATCATCATCATTAAGAAGTCTGACAAAGTTACTAACAGCAGAGAGTTCAAGATGGGATCAAGCAAGTACAGTGCCAACCCTCCATCTATCCACGAGGTGACTTTTTTGATGAATTCTCTCCTTGACCAAACTTTCTCAGATGTTACGACGACGATGATAATTAATGTGATGAGATTTGTACATATGAACAAACAAGTGAGAACCAGCTGAATGAACATGTGAGAAAGAACAAAGATGGAATCGTCATTCTTCTCTCATCAACAACATTCTACATCTAAACTCTCAAAAAATATCTCCCCAACTTTCAATTCGTCATTTATTACTCCCAAAATTTTGGGATTGTTTGATCATCTGCCACTGGCAGAAAAGAATGAAATATCATCGGTCGAAAGAGTCTGGCATTTGACAGTCAAAAGCAATGAGACAAGAAATACAACAAAAGTTGCAAATCCCCGTAACAGAAGCAGAAACAGCAGCAGAAGGAATATGAATGAATTCGATATCAATAAAGGCAGCAGAAACAGGAGCAGGAGCAGGAGCAGGAGCAGGAGCAGGAGCAGGAGCAGGAGCAGGAGCAGGAGCAGGAGCAGGAGCAGGAGCAGGAGCAGGAGTAGTCACTTATGTCTGACCTGTGGAGCTGTTTGCTTCTTGAGCTCTGCCTGCAACAAGTTTGTTGATCTTCGTAGGTACATGAAGCACTTCGTTACCTTGACGAAGAGCCATGGGTGTCAGGTACATCTTTTGGAATCTCAACTCAACAGATGAGTTGCAATCTTCACTGATTGATCAACAAGTCAACAGGTGACGATCAGAAACAGTTCTTCTCACTTCTCCCTTCCTTCATTCTCCTCATCTCGCCGTTCTTTTATAGTCTGCCATGCGCGTCAAGCTTGAAACAAAAAGCAGAGGAGAGACCTCAAACGTCTGATTCCAGTCTTGCTCGCCGTCGATCTCGTTCACAGTCTCATCGTCATACACCCTGTGAAAAGATGTCAGGAATACAAACATCACGACTGCAATCATCGTTATCATCATTATCGTAATCATCATCATCATCATCATCATCATCATCATCATCATCATCATCATCATCATCATCAGGAGCAGCAGCAGCAGCGATATCTATGCCTTCATCTACCAACCTGTAACAGCAGAAGCCGGCCACTCTCTGTATCTTCCGCGCGTCATGTCCAGCCTTCACCTGATTCCACGCACGTCAAACATGCGAGCAAAATCTGAACGGCTGAAGTTCTGCACTTGTGGGCATGCGCTCAAGATTGTGCCTGATAGAAAACTCAAGGAGATGACATCTTGTCTCAGAAACCAACCGGACAAGTAAGTTGAGAAGTAGCTTGAGGAGGCGATCGATGAGATCGGAGACAATGCTTGCTGGAGGAGAAAGAGAAAGGATTAAGAAGAGAAGAAAAGCAGGAAGGAGGCAGGGAGGTAAGGAACAAGGAAGGGAAGAGTGAGTAAGTTGTAACAAGGTAAATTTTAAGGATGAGTTGCAGGTTGCAACCTTGGAAGAAACTTCAGGAGATGTGGCAAGCAGAACATCGATGTCATTCAACACTTCTTGAAGATTCTGTCATCTATGTTAAGGTTGAAGGTCCTCCTCCTCCTCCTCCTCCTCCTCCACCACCACCACTTACAGGACTCCTCTGACTCTTTCCCTCTCCATAATCGCCCTGATCATGATCTTCGTTAGTGATACAGTACAACTATCATTATCCGCAGCAGCAGCAGCAGCAGCAGCAGCAGCAGCAGCAGCAGCAGCAGCAGCAGCAGCAGGAGGGCAAAGGTGTCAAAACTTGTGTCTCTCACCTGCTTTCCTCGTTCTTCAACGGCTGATCTGCTGAGATCTTGACTTGTGAGGTAGCTGAGACAGTACAAACTCATCTAACGTTGCAGAGACAACTCCCGCAACAGCACTAGCGTTACCATGGCGGAGTCAAAACCACGTCCGAGGTACACTGGGAGTCCGTTTCGAAGTGACTGGCAACAGTAGTCAGGCAAGAAATCAAGGACGATGAAGTGTAAGAGAGAAGAGCTAGAGTACATGCTCGACACGTTCACAATGCCACAAGAAAAGTCTTCACCTGTTGGACTCCATCCATCTCGGAATGTCAGACACTTGTGAAGCATGAAAATCTCCGGCCCCGAACACCTTCGCTCGTCAGCTTCGCGCCTACCTGCACTTACACAAGCTGCTCACCTCCATCGACTTCTCTTCTCCTCCCATCCACTCGTTGACCTCGACGATCTGGAAGCGGAGGATCAAAGGACACGGAATTCCCCCAGACCCTGCTAACCTGATCCCCTCCCAGCTCAAGCTGAATCTCAAGCTCGTCCAAGTGCTCTGTGAAGTCAGCAATCAGAGAAAGGCAAGTCATCACACAACGACGAAGGAGACAAGAGTGCGGACCGAATTCGTCTCCTCCATCATGGCTAACAAAGTTTGTATCGCACGTCAGATTTCTCTGGTCTTGGTTTTCTTCCCATCTGTCCATGCTAGGCACCAAATCTGAAATTGTACATTCATCAAGAAACATACATGCAAGAAGTACATCTTCACCGGACTTGTGGTCGATTGACCTCTCTTTCATGATCTCAGAGAAATCAAGATACCTGGGCGCTTGAATGCTCTCCAAGATCTTGTCGATACTCTTCAAATCCTGCAGTAACATTAGAAGATGTGTTCATATGTGTGCAAGCAGAAGATGTGTTCATATGTGTGCAAGCAGACCTCTTCTTGATTTTCCTCGGCCGATAGAGATGGCATTTTCATCCTGAAAGAAAGATCATCTCCATGCCATGCACGGTCAAGCCTCCTCGACTCTCCTGATTTTCTTTGCCTGCTACACATACCCTTCAAACAGTCGTCTTTCATTCCTTCATTGATTGTTGTATCTAGGACGCTACATGATTCTGCTTCATCTCACTTCTGCTTTCACTCGCTTTCTCGTCCATCTCTGTCCCTCTTCTTCCACTTTTTTCTCCTTCTCTCCTCCCCTCACACGCCATTTTGAAATCCCTACGAAACGCTTTTTGCAGGGTGACCCCCTCAACCCACTGGCACTACTACCCCATTCTGGAATAGTGCAAATCACCCCCTTTTGATCCCCGACCGTCACGGGCCCGGGCGGCCCGGGCCGGCCCGGGCCGGCACTGCCGCAGTACTAGTACGGCATGCCCAGCCCCAGGCCCGGCGCCGCCGGCCGGCCCGGCGGAGTGCTGCCCGGCCAGCCTGAGCCTGGGCAACGTGACTCGGGCGCGGCCGTTCACTGAGAGTCAGCCGATTGTCGCCGTCCCCGGGTACTAGTGACGCTGCAGCGGCTCAGCGGCTGCCGAATCAGTGCCAGGCAGTGCTGGTTGGACGTTGGCCAGAGAGACTCGATAGGACCTCCGGTTTGATCACTGAGCGGCGGCGGCCGGAGGTGGCCGGGGCCTGGACCTGGGGCGGCCGGCGTCTGGGCCTGCCAGGCTGGGCCGGCGCTGGGGCCGGCGTCCTGGTATGCTGGGTATGAGGGAGATGAAATACAAGAGGGGAATGAGGAGTGGAGGGAGCCTTTAAATGCTTAGGGGAAAGATGGAGTTGGGGATGAAACTGTGGTGGTGGTGTTGGTGGTGGTGGAGGAGGAGGAGGAGGAGGAGGGCGTGGAGGAGGGCGACCATGAGGAGACGAGGAGGAACAGAGCGAGGATAAGGATGACATCGAGGATTGACACGAAGGGGATAAGGA